ATCGTAAACTCGTGTTTTGGATCATCGAGAAGAGCCGAAAAAGAAAGCAACCGACGGCGTGGGTTTCATCAAGAATCTTTCAAATAAGGTTATCTCACGAAAAACTGTTAGCCGTCTTTTGATTCAAGCTGGATTGGTGACTAGAAGAGCTGCCAAGAAACCCCTAATGGTTGCCAGGCACCGAAAACTCAGGTTGGAGTTCGCGAAAAAGTACGCAAGTTGAACCGCCAACGATTGGGCAAATGTTATTTTCACTGATGAGTCAAAAGTCAATCTTTTTCAACCGGATGGGAACCATTTGGTTCGGAGACCTGTGGGACAACGATTCAGCTCTAAATACTTGCGTCCGACGGTGAAATTTGGTGGTGGAGCGGTCATGGTATGGGGTAAGAAACTTTCTCTTGTTATGTATATTAATCTTGTTCTTTTAGAAGCTATGGCAAGAAGTTCACCGGGTTCATTGGTCCTTCTCAACTCGACTCTTGATGCCCAGCGCTACAAGACGATCCTGGAGAACAATATTCTTCCTTTTGCGACCGCCAGCATGGGACAAGGATGGCTCCTCTACCAGGACAATGCTCCTTGCCACAAGAGTCAGTTGCTTATGGACCGCACTGTTCGACTTGCCAGTGGAGGAAGAGCTCGACTACCCGGATGGTTCCGCGCAAATCGTGTTCAACTTGTTTCAGCTCCTCCATATAGCCCCGATTTGAATGCTATTGAACACCTATGGGCGTTTATCAAGACGAAACTCACGGGAAGACGGTTTAGCTCTAAGGCGGATCTTTGGTACTTCGTATGGCGAGTTTGGGCGACAATTGCGCCACAAATTTTACGTGATCTAGTTGTCAGTATGCCCCGGAGACTCCAAGCGGTCATTGCAGCTAAAGGCAGACCTACAAAATATTGAATTTTTCGCCTCTAAGTCTGTGCCGCCAAGACTTTTGTCCATTGTTTTTGTGACCTTTTTGTCGTTTACGCTTATTTTTGTTGTTTAAAATAAACTTTCGAGTTCAATGCTTGGTCATAACTAAAAGTAGAGTAAAAACGCTCAAAAATACTTGTGACAACTTTTTTATAGCCTCTCGGAAACGTTCCTAAATTTGCGTTTGAAGGTTGCCACCCAGGAGTCGCCAAGACTTTTGTCCATGACTGTATATACCAGTCATCAATACTTTTGGAGGAGTTATTCTTTCACCGATGAGAAAGTCGAAAATCGATCGATAAACTGCCGCTTCTTTACTTCCAATGTAGGCAAAGAGACAAGGAATGAAGAATTGATCCAACTAAAGCCAATGTTTGAATTACAAAAACTCAACAAACTTGCACTCCGATGATAAAAAGTTGAGCAAAGTCCTTGGGGCACGAGAAAAACGTTGCATCAGCTGCCCAGAACTTATTCTAAATTTATTTACTACAAAAATAATGCACGTAATTGTAAGGACAACCTGCTTTAGTAAAGCTAGACCGACATCGTGCTCAAATATCTTCAAGGCTTTTGCATCTCCTTTTTTGAATTGGGAACACGTATCCTTTCGTAGAAATTTTGTTGCTAAATAAATAAATATGGTTATGTAAATGTTATTTTTAAAAAAATAAAGAAACGTCAATGTTGTGCAGCCAGTTAGTGATCGATCCTTTCTTTTTAATTCGCTTTACCGTTGGAAGCATGGCCTCTTCATTCAAATACGGTTGCAAGTGATTTTCAACATCGCGAACGTAGCTATTGATGATGTGCCAAGTTGGAACACCCTGCGCGCTAGCGTTTTTAACTTCTTTTTTGATTAGACGTAACTAAAAGACAAAAACAAAATAAACCTCAAATGTTAGCGTTAACCTCTTTTCCAAAATCAGGAGACAAATGCTGATGTTCTCCAAGGCACTTTACATGTTTGCCTTTTGCCCTCGAGCGAGCCTTAACGTTGCAGTCTTTTGAAAGACATCAATTAGACAAATTATAATAGAAAAGAAACAAAGGAATACCTGTAGTAAATTTTTCCTTTGAATTTTCCCGATAAAAGCGATATACAAATCCAGTCGCATCATATAAAACCTCCTTACCTCTGTTGGAGCGAGGTGTTGATGAAAGACCCCTAAAATAAAAAAAGGTGCTATACTAGTCCGGAGCGCAAATGGGCGTGGCCAAAGAATTTGGCGGGTAAAACTGCCAAATATTATTTATTAATTGATTGATTGTCGATTGAATGAAGCGGTCGCGTTTTTCTATTAAGCTTTCTGCGTGTTGACGCTTGTTTTTGAATAAAGAGAATCACAGTTTAATTCCAGTTGGGATTGTGTGAATCCAGCTGAATCAAAAAGAGAAAACTGATCAATGCGAGCAATTTCGGTATTTTCAATTATATTTCACCAGCATTTCACCCTTTGAAATGCTTTTTGAAAATTTTTGTTCTACATATTATGATCATTTAGTAATATATATAGATACTTTATTCAGGACCTGAGATAAAGTGCGCTAGGTTTAAGATTAAAACACATGAATTCATACACATAACACGAAAAGGGCCGGTAAAAAGCAACACGATATATGTCAATTATTTTGCTCATAAACACCAATCTACGACTAAAGCAGACTTGCTAATTTATATTTAAGCATTACAGAATGTTCTTAAATATACCAGGCATTGTTAAACAATAAAAACAAGCAAATCAGAATCAAAATAAATTAGACCATGTTCTTAGCAAACAAAGTAAGCCTAACAAATCCTTTTTGTGCAATTTTTAGGTTAGGTAAACGCTTCAACTTCACGCTGCTCGTTTGACCGAACTCCCCAACTAAACGAAACTTTTTTGATTTCATAAGGATTCATTATCATACCTTTTTATTTAAGTTCGGCAATTTCAGCCTTCTCAAATTTTTTCCTAATCTTCTCTATTTCAGCTGCTGTTTTTCGTTGCACCAAATCTTCTGGTTTTGTTTGGCGCATCGATTGTCTTTCTTGATTGCGAAAGAAATTTTTGGCGCCAGAAAATCCAGATTTCGCAACTTCTTCATCTTTGACTCGGCCACTTGATTCGGCTTGAGGTAATAGAGTTTTTGTGGGCAATTCTTCAGTTGATAAAATAGGAGTTGGTGGAAAGCTTTTTAGCTCTGAAGGAAGATTATTTTCGGAGTCACTTAACAAAGATACTTTGGAAGGAAATGTTTCTGGTTGTTCACTTGGTTTGGTTTCACTTGGCTTTCTGATTTCGCTTGGCTCGTTCTCTACTTGATCATTAGAAGCACGCTCTTCCGTAGTTTCGGTGATGATTAGCTCCTCTTGATTGTTCGGATTTTGATTTGACTGATCAGAAGTTGGGCTTTGGATTGAACGAGTTAACCGTCTAGACCTTGGAATCCGGGTCGAAGGTAAGTTTGTTGTCACCTCTTGTTCTTCCTCTTTGTTGGGTAGCTCTGAAGGAAGATTATTTTCAGAGTCACTTAACAAAGATACTTCGGCAGGGAAGGTTTCTGGTTGTTCACTTGGCTTATCATCGTTCTCTACTTGATCATTAGAAGCACGCTCTTCCGTAGTTTCGTTGATCGTTAACTCCTGTTGATTGTTCGGATTTTGATTTGCCTGATCAGAAGTTGGGCTTGGGATTGAACGAGTTAGCCGTCTAGGCCTTGGAATCGGTAAGTTTGTTGTCACGTCTTGTTCTTCCTCTTTGTTGGGTAGTCCGTTGTAGTCAACGATTTCAAAACCATGATCCATAATTTTCTTTTCAATAGCTGAGTCACTTCCTTCAAGTTGTGAAAGCTTGTTCAAATTTTCAAGAGACAAGTCTAAATCTTCTTTTGGATGAGCTCTATTTCCCGGGTTCGGTTTTGACTCTAGGCCTCCAGCTTTCACTTTAGCAACATCGTTACTAGTTTCAAGTTTGGCAACTAAAAATCAAGTTATTTCTGGAAGCATTCTTTTTTCACCTGCAGTTAGAGGTTCTTCATCAACAGTCTCGTCTAGATCGAATAAAAACGACTCTCTGGGGAAAGACACTGTCAGCGATTTTCGGACCAATTGACCTATCCAAATCACTGGCTGGGTTGACGTCAGAATGTTCCCCAAATATCTTTCCATCAGCAACTAGATCCTGAAAAGTTTTTGAGTAAAAAATCTAAACAAAACTTTTGATTTACCTTCAATTCTTTTATGGAAATCTCGATTTGTGTCACCAATCGGTCAAGGATTTCGAGGAGTTTTGTAGCTGAATATTCATCAAGTTCTTCGCGGAGAAGATTATCCTGAAACTTCTTATTTTCCCAGTTTGATTTCACCTTTCACTCTAGATCCCGAAGAAAACTTTTGTTTTTCAAGTTTTTCAGAAATACCTTCATGATCTGATCCACCATTTCTAGGTTCTTCAACAAAAGCCGTTTCTGTTGGAGAATATTTTTGTGGAGACTTCCATCAGATTTTTCCGAAGCTTGAAGACTTCTTGTCTGGAATATTTAACTATAAAACGAATCAATTTAAAGGCGTCTCACGTTTATTTGCCCCATTTGAGTTGTTTGTAATAAATTTGACAGCACAGTTGAAATAAATGAGAAAATTTCGGACCTATAATCTTTAACCGTCCTTTTATAGGTGTTCCATTTTTCTTGCAACAAAATATTCCATTTTTCTTGCATGAGAATAGAGCCAAATTAGATTATTTGGTTTTATTTTCTTGCAAAAATACTGTCCTGTTTTCCTTTACCTTTTTGTTGACTCTCTATAGATCAATCTTTTTGAGTTTTGATCGAATCTCGTCACAGTCAAAATACCTTCTTTTTTTTATCAAGGTGATCAATGAAGTGATAGTTCTGCTGAAAGCAAACAAGAAATTGTTGATTGTTTCAGTTCAAAAATAACGATTGCCCTTTCTGTTGTGCTTTTGTTATCAGTTTCTATGATTGATCCTTGTCAGTTCTTTTTGCAGCCTTCCAAAAGAAGTTTCATAATATTTACTCTGCTGTAAAAATCAATAAAACAACAATCATAAGTTCATTGATTTTTGATCTATTCTTTGATTGGATGGCCTAGATGTGAAGTGCAGTAGCTGATTTTGATGGAACCATCGGCCCGTGTTGATTCCTAAATATAATCAAGTTGAAAGAGTTAATTTAAAAAAAACAACTCTACAAATTGGTTTTAAAACAAAATGTAACAATAGATCTTTGTCTTTATTTGTAACAAGCCTTTAAGAAGAATGTGCAATATCCTCGGAAAGTCGTGATCTTCCGTCCCTCAATTTGCTCATATTCACCAACACAATGCCCAGTTCGGACTCCTAAATTACATTTGAGTTATTTTTAGCCTTTTTTAGCTCTTTCGATTTACCTTTGCCAATATTTTTGGCATCTTTCTTCATGAACGCCAAATACTTCATCTCGTCGCTTTCGTAGAATTTCTAAAAAGTTTGTTTTCAATTTTGCATTGTTGTTTATGCTTTGGTTAATTTTCAATTTTCATTTACCTCCAATTCTTTACGTGTTGCAAAATTCTTTGTGCATAGTAAAGTTGATTTCTTGGACAGCTCTTTCATTTCATCTCGATGGGCGTTAAATGCGTGGAGAGCAAGGGTTTCCCGTGAGGCACCAACATATGGACAACTGTAGATTGGGCAAGCCACCACATGTGCCTGAAGATCGTTTTCTGGCGTCAGAACAAATCAGAACAAATTTCCCAATAATAAACACAATCAGAACAAATTTCATAATAGCTTAACTTGCTAGAAACGAATCCAACCTACCTTCTTTATCTCGAAACCATTTGTCGTTGTACTCTGATGTGCCTCTCTCATATGATCGTTCAATTGTGATTTCAAATAGAACTCTTCATTACATTCTTCACATCTGAAAATTGCTTTGTAATATTTGTTGAATGATGTAAAACTAGCCTAATAAATTTGCCACAGATTTTTCGATAAATCCTATGCACATCTTCTCGGTGTCTTTTGAGAACGCGAGTGTTTGCGAACATTCGATTGCATTCGGGACAGCTAAAAGCAAATAAAAATAAACTTCTTTTCTTGATTTAGAAAATTTAAATTTTAATTAAGTACATTACTTAAGTACGTTACTTAAGAAGTACCTTTGTGGCTCCCCTTGATTCATCAAGACGTTGGCAAGTGTTGATGGACTGAAATCAACATTTCATGCAATATTAACTCAGCAATTAACAAGTTTGTAGTGTAGCACATTGCAACACAAAATAGAGAGATGTAAGTACATTGTAAATACATTCAATATATTTATTTAACAACTTACGAAGGCTTCACATCGTCGGAGACTTCATTTCTGTCCCCAAGCACCCAAATTTGCGTGATCTCGTAAAGAATACGATTCATTAGATTTTGATGACCAAAGTATTCTCTAAATTCTGCTAATTAAGTTTTAGCTTTCTTAATATTACCGGAAAATGTAGTCATGAAGGAAGACTTCTGGAAAAGGATCCTTTACTTGGTAAAGAGATTGTATCCGCTCTTTGTTCTCCCTGAAATTGTAAAATAAACTTTGTTAAACAGCGTTTTCTACTAGAGATTAGAATGTTTTGCTCACAATCTTACTCACAATCAATTCTTACTTGTAAAACGCAATTAGATCGACGGGTTTCGCATTTTTAGCAGCCACAGTAGATTCTTCGGCTTCTTTCTTGACCGAAACAGTCTTTTCTTTTAGATCTTTTGAAGCTGAAATATGAATATCATCAAACATTAAGCACAAAGAATTTCGGTACTATTCGGTTATAAATCCCCATGCCAATTGACTCAACCATTTTGGATTTATAATATTGTTTTATCTACTTGGAGCAGATTTTTATCTAATCTACGCTTGGTCTAAAACTATAGCCTAAACATATCCTAAACTTAATCAAACACATGATTTTAAAGTAGTCTAACTTGAACAAAACGCGTGGGGATGTATAGCAGGATAGTACTAGAATTTCTTAAACTGTTAGAATCAGAAATCTTACCATTTCCAAAAAGTGTCGTTACATCAAATGTCTCACTTGTCGGCTCGTCTGGCTCTTCTAACTTAACCCTTTTTGCTAAAATAGATAAAGATTTACATTTATAGTGTTTAGCTGATTACCTGTCTTGAACAGTTCAGATTCTTCTTCTTTATCTTCTTCTTTATCTTCTTCTTTAACCGGCATTCGTCCATTGACCACTTCTCGAACAAGATCCGGATTCTTGTTACACCATTGCTTGGTGACACTCGCTATGCTAAATATTCTTTATTATAACTTTATTATTTAATTAGGTTGGCAGTTTTCCTATTGTTAGTATCAAATGCTTACTATTTTTCTAGTGCCAATATTTTGTTCGGCGTTACGGCAAATTGCATTGCGAGAGCATCACGAGGTAGGCCTGAAAGATTGTTTATTGATTTAAAACCGGCATTTAAAAGCTCTGCCTCATTTTTCTTTTTAAATTACCTGGATTCAAACACCAAAATGCCATCAATTGCATCATCAAGCGAATATTTAGAACATCTTTCTAAACAAATGACTTTTCATTGTACTCACAACATTTCAAAACCTCGAAAAACGATCCGGCTGTCACAGATAACATTTGGCATTCACTTGGGCATTTCCAGAAAAAGTTATCGGCAGAGTTTCTAAATTTTAGACATTTTGGAGTCAATGCAAAATGCCAACAAACCTCACTAACGACATTTGCTCAAAACATTTGGGGCAATCCTGTTTGTCAGCCAAGAGACGATATCTAAAAGTTATTTTGCTGCATTTGTTTGAGGAATTGTTTAATTTAGAAATAAAAACTTACTGAACCATCTTTTTCAAGAAAAGACTGAGCTTGTCGTAGAGCTTGAACGATTTCGAATTTGTTCCATTTCGTAGATGAATGAATTTCTCGTTTTCTTCTGGAGTGAGTGAGGGTAAATCGAGAAGTTTGATTGGATCTGAAGTATTTTGTTGTGTTTTTGCTTAGTGAGCAATTTCTTATAGCTTAAACTAATGCAAAATATAATTTTGAAAAACCTAGAGGCTTCTGATCGACATGTGGCTCCAGAATCGTGAAGATCTTCTTGTTCAGCCGTGTCGCAACGGTGTAGTTGAGCTTCTCTCCATTCATTGTCAATGAGACTGAAATTGGTTTAGTCGTTTTTTTCTTAAACCAGCTTATGTATAGTAGATTGTTCATTACCAAGTTGAGCTTTTTCCTGAGTCGAGCTTGAACCTTGTGACAAACCAGGATCCGGCTTCAGACTTGAGAGTGTTGGCTTTGATAAGTATTGGGACACATTTGGCTTGCTGTTGAAAAGCTTAGTTGCCTAGATTAAGTCATTACAAGTTTTATGTTTTGTATCACCTTGCTGGTTGCGAGGAAATGCCTTCTGCAAATGTAGATCCTTGGCTTTTGAGCGTGATTTTGTGCAAAATTCGTTCCCAACTTTTGATCGATCGTTTCTTGGCTCTGTTTTGATGAATAGATGCACACATCGACTCCCAGATCTCCACAATAATCGCAAACTGTTTTTCGGCTTTCAACCTGAAATTGTTGGACTGTTTAAAAGGCTGTTCAAAAGAGATTGTTGGACTGTTGAAAAAGTTGTTCATCAAAAAGTAGTGGAAGAATTGCTAAATGAATCCAGTCCTATAATTGTATTAGATTTCCTACCACAGGAGCCTTTGCCTGTTGTTCGCATCGAAGAAATCTTGCTTTCTCGGAATTCAACGTCGACACAATTGGTTTCTTGATTGGCGGAATATCGACTTTTTCAGGTACAATCTATTCAAAAAACATTGTAAATAGGATAACTTTTTTTTGCCTTACCGTTTTTTCACCGTAAATGTGTTCTCGGCAAATATAAATCCGAACGATATCGGTTGGATAATTTTTTGCATAATGAGTCCCCAGTTTGCTATCGACAAATTGAAGACTTCGACGACCGGCGAAACTTGAAGTGTTCTCGGAGAAAGCATTGCAGTAATGACATTGCCGGCGGCCCACCTGTGAATATCAATAAATAGCTTAAGCTCAATAAGCTTAAAAGAATATTATCTCTTCTTCAAGACTTACCGATCCCGTTTCTGGAGATCTTTCCCCATATAATGTGGCTTTGGGGCGATGCTGGGTCTTCTTCGAAAACAACGACATCCAATCACTCTCGATGCCTTCTAAATATTGTTGTACATGTACGAATTAATTAAGTAAACGATATTTTATGCCTTTAAACAGTAGCTGGTTTTACTTTAACTAGCTTTCTCGATCTGTTTGCAATGAAGCAATTTTTTTAAACCCACCACCAGCAGTGGAAGACGTTGGCTGATCCTCCTCACCGTAATCAGACGATCCAGAAGACATCGGAGAGTAATCTGGAAAAGTTAATTGCTAATTTTAGAACTATTCAGATTAGATTTAAGGATAATGAATTTAAAAAAATAAGAGATTTTGCAAATGGTCGAAAAATTTGAAAAGAACCCATTTGCTCTTGAATGCTAAAGTGCGACTATTTCTCTGCCCGCCGAGCAGATGCGCGTTCGAAAGTGGGCGCATTTTAGAAAGCACAGGAATGAAATCAATTCAAAAATTTTTCTTTTAAAACAAAATCTTGAGTTATTGACCGAAAATGTTTATGAAAATGTTTGATTTGAAAATTTTACTAACAGAAAACCGGTTTAAAGTGATGCAGTAACAAAGTGAACAGATAAATGCCAGTAATCACTGTAATTATCACACGTTTTTTGTAATTGGCTATAACAATTATAATGCTAGCAATTAACAATTACATTTGACATAACAAAATTGTTGAAAACTATAGTTCAAGCTTTGGAACTTTTGCGAGTGGTTCAACTTTGGGCATGACAAGATGTGGGTGACCGCTTGAAGCCTGAAAAGATTTTGATTTTGGTGTTGATCATTTCAGAATTTTTAATATAATTAAGATCTTTTCAAAAATCACTTGTAAGTTTAGCGGGATTGATGGAAAAGTTTGAATTAATGGGATCTCAGCTGCTCGTTGGCTCGTGGGCTGCTCAGCATCGACATCCCACAATTGAGTGATCTCATACAAAAACCGGTTCATCAACTTCTCTTCACCGAAGTGTTTTCTAAACGAATTTTCTTGTTATTGTTGTTAAAAATTGAAATCTATCTGTTACCTCATCAAGAAATCATAGACAAACACTTCGGGAAATGGGCCGATTACTTTGTACTTTTCAATCAGTTCGCTTTTATTCGTCCTACAATAAATTTTTATAAAAATTTGAGCTGTTTAAATAATTTTGAAGTTTAAGGTAATATTTACTTGAAAACGGTAAGGAAGAGATCCGGTTCTGGCTCTTTTTCGGCTTCTTGCTTGATGTTGTTGATCTGAAAGAGCACATTGAGATAAGTGATGTTAAAAACCATTTTGACTCTACCTCTAAAAACTCTATACTTTTCATTTTGCACCTTATATTATTATATATTATTACGCTACCTTTGCAAAGCAATCCTCGATTATCTCTTGCTTTATTCCAGAAGATGGTCCACCTAAAAACGATGTCAGAGATCTACAAAAATTAGCTACTCACCCAAAAGTGATGTCACATCCATTGCCCCGGAATATTCTTCCGGGTCGACTACTTCTTGTTTCACCTTGTTCTGGAGTTCTGAATTTTTAAGGTTTAAAATCTGCAGATAGAAATGATTTTGTCAAACAAACCTTGTTCCCTTTCTTTCTCTTCTTCTTTGTGCCGCATATACCACCTTTTTGTGGCTGTAGCGAATCTGAAAGTGTGAATAAAATAAGTATTAATGAAAAATCAGATATATAATAAGATGCTTTTGTTTGTTGAGTCCAATGAGGAGTTTGTTGAGTCCAATGAGCCTCCAAAAGGAGGCCAATAAGTCTTACTTCTTTTGAATATTGAAAACCATTTGCGGAGTTGTTCGGAAAAGTTGTCCCAGTTTTGTCCGATCTTCTCCGGGATTTTCACACCAAGCGCCGAGTAGTCGCACCATGCTTCGAAGATTCAAGAATTCGTTCTGAATTTAATACTGTTTTGATAACTTTTGAAAGTCTTTAGCTTTTTAAGAATTAAATAAATTTAGTTACTCAACTTTGCTTTGCCCTCCTCCCAGCACTCACCTCAAAAACTGTTTGTGCTCTCATCGTTTCCCGGATTCCTTTGTTATCAATTCGTGGATCTTTCCAACATTCTTCACAAGTCCATCTGTAGCAATCAACTGTGTCTCTAAAAAAGTTTCATTAAAACCTTTTCAGCGCTAGAATTCATGAAGAACGGTTTGAGAAACCTACCTGAATAAGGTTTTCAATCGAAAGCAATTCTTGCATCGACGCGTGTTGCTGATCAACTTGTATCTAAAGCCGTTTTAATGCATTTTTATTAATTCAATACTCACTTGGCTAAAAACTTTAAGCAAACGTCCAAACACTCGTTGAAATCAAGAAGTGGAAGAACGCTTTGGAGTTGATGAGGAGCAAAGACATGTTTATCGAGTTCTTTACAAGATAAATTTGGTAGACTCAAAAGTTCCATTGGATCTAAAATCCTTGTTGTAGATTGTTTTCCACCCTTGAACACCTACCTTTCACTTCATCATCTTCGAGTTCAAGAATGGAAAAGAAATACTCCCGAGTCCCGAATTTCTTGTTCCACCATCCTCTCGGTTTTGAAGCATCATAGTCTAAAAGGGTTACAATAAGCTACAATTGTAAAATTCTCGATTATAATGTAATATAAAAGCTGCACAAGTTACCATTTCTGCTTATCGTTGGCTTATTCGAAGCAAAAAGCGTCTGATCTGAAAAATTTCTGTCTTTCTTTTCAGCTCTATTCCAAACCATTATTTCCATTGCGCAAAGAAGGTGGCTGCTTGAAAGTGTGATTGTGATCCGGGAAATATTTGACTTTCATCGACCCATCAACATTGTAGATAGCCTTCAAAACAGTCGATCTTTTTGCGCCTTGAAATGAAAATGAAAACTTACATTGATGAACGATGAGCAAGCCCTCGACCGAGTCACGTCATCAGCCGTGTCAGCTAAATCTTGAGCGTACTGAATCTATCATTGCTTGTTACCTTTTCCATTACATCGATGATAAACACATTTCTCACCACCATCAAAATCGTAGTAGATCTGTGAATAGGTGTTCGGTATCAACCCGCCGACCCATGAACGAAATTCTGCACGAGTAAGGAAAGATTTCTCCACAAAGTTCCCACTAAAAAACTCTTTTTTTCTGAATTGAGTGATATTTGAATGGATTTTACCGTTTTCTTAACGTAAATGTCTAAGTTTGAAACTAAGACTGACTATGTTTTGTTGAAATGAGCCTCGAAGAAGTGTTTGTAGAAATGTTCGAGAGTTGGAAATGCTGCCGGACATTTATCGCAAAGAACATTGTTGACTGTCAGTCTTTTTCGGGTAATTTTCCTTGAATGTGAATGACACAAATGAGTGACAACTTCTTCTTTTTCTCTTGCTTTGAACGAACAGCGCTCGACCGGGCATAAGAACTTGTCTTCGGCACTAAAAGTTAGCTCGATAGATAAAAGTTAGCTTGATAGATTAGACCAAATGGTTTCAAAGGTCTTATGTCATTAAAGATCTTATGTTTATCAACTTTGACTTACCTTTTCACGACTGGATGGCATTCATTGACGTGATTGCAAAATGCTTTCTCGGTTGTTAATGATGACTTGCAGATTTGGCATAAATAGATTGCACCATGATTTGTTGAATGTTTTCTAGAAAGATTTATTGTATTTCTCGTTCTATTCATCTATTGTACTTCTGTTTAACTTTATGACTTGCAGACTAAGGCTTTATCGATTCAAAAACCAACAATCTTCGATGTCGATACAATTGATCCCTTGTTATAAACTTCTCCGAGCATTCCGAACACACAAACGAGGCCTCACTATTTGCGTTTTTACATCTTCTAAACAGCTATTTTTTTTGATATCCCTTTTCAGTTGTGACTCTAAATTAAATTCACTACTTGAAGCTATCGGAACGACTCGAAAGGATCGAGAAAGCTTTAGTTTTGCTATCGGAGCAGTTATTTTGTTCAACTTACCTAGAAGAGCTTGGTCCTGGTTGATCCGAACCATCAGAATCTTCTGATCCAGTTGCCTCCACATATTCTTCTTCTTCATCACTTTCGATCACTCTCTTTCTCGGTTTCTTCACATCAATTGTATGATTGTGCCGCTCACAAATGATTGCGTTCACTGTTTCACGGTCGGTCACAGTTGCCTAAAAATTAGTTTTCAAGAAATTCTTTCAGTAAACGATAACAGTCAACTTTTCGAACTTACATTCACAAAAGCCGTACAATAGGCGACGCGTCTCATATCTGCCTTTGCCGTCTTGTACTTGAGATCAACTTCTAAACCAGATTTTGTACAGATTTAAATCTAGTCTTGAATCTAGTCCAATCTAAAAACTAACTTTTCCCAGCCTGTGCACAGCGATAGTGCAAATACTTCTTGACATGAGAGGTCCGTTTTTTCATTTCACATTTCGTTGTCTTCTGCAAATCGTTGATCCATTCCTCAAAAGCATCAATCGATTCGAAATCTCTCTCGATAACCGGACTTCTGCATATTTTCTCATAAGCAAATCATTGAATTGCAAACTCACTCATTTTCTCCCATGTGCTCCAAGAAATAATGTTCGGAGAAAATATCTTGTCGATGGAAACACTCATTACATTTGTTACAAGTGATTGAGAGCTTCGGTTGCCCTTGCTTTTCATGTTTTCTGTAAGACTTTTATGCCTTTGTTTCACTAAGATTTATAAAGAAATATTCAGATATCTATTTCTAAAGTTCCAATGATATTTGTATATGTCGTAGCCGATTATGAATCAAATTTTTTAGCAAATCTTTCTGGTAGAGCAACCCTTTAATGTATGAGGACAATATTATATCGTTTTGTAGCGAATTGAATTCTGCGTCGATTGGTACCAAATTTGTGAGTTTAGGTTAAAAATTGCCGGCGCTACAACGTTTCATTCAAAATCGGCGGGATCCCCGTAGCCGATTATGAATGAGTGGGTCTAGGAGCGTCCAACCATCAAGTATTTAGTATCATTCAACGCAGAATCATTGATAATTATATTAAATTTTTTAAATTAGCAAGATTTGATGAAAAAAAAAATTAGAGCAAAAAAACTGTTTGTTCAAGAGAAAACTTTGAAGCCCCATAATTTGTGTTCTTTTTATCCAATCTTTCTAATTTCAAAAATTTAACATAATTATCAATGATTCTGCGTTGAATGATACTAAATACTTGATGGTTGGACGCTCCTAGACCCACTCATTCATAATCGGCTGAAATTCATAATCGGCTACGACATATATACTCACGTTCTGTTGTGTACTCTCAACGATTCCGGATTCACAAACGGGGCATTACATCTCTCACAGTAAAAATCGGAGTTCGGATCGGCTTTCTTTCGATTTGAGGCCGGCGCATGAAAGCCATGTTTCAATAAATGTTTTTTATAGTTTGAACCATCATATGTTGAATAATTGCATGTAGGAACTAGGCAAAAACGTCGACGGAGTGGCATTTCTGAAAATGGTCAGGTTAAGAAAAAGGGAAACAAAAGAAATAAGCATTTTGTTAAACAAAGATTGAAAGTATGTTAGACTTTAATTTACAAATGGCCTTTAAAATATGATTGGTGTGATTTCTGAGCTTTAACCCATCATCCCATATTCACAGTAGAAAAGAGCTTAACTGGGGTGGAAAAAGTTCACTTTTTGTTGGAGGAAGCTGTTTGTTATTATGATATGATAAAACATTATTCTGTTTTTAACAAAATCGAACGTAGCAGATCTACGGTTGAAAGTTTTACATTTTCAAGTCCACCAAAGCTTGCATTTCCGTAGATCGTCCGATTTTGTTAAAAACAGAATAATGTTTTTGCATTAGAAACACTAAATTACTAAACAAATTATATTTTTGGCAAAAGTTTCTTTAAAAATGAAAAAAAGCTGCATTTCTTTTGCTATTTTTTAGATAAACTATTGTTTGAAATTAGATTAATAAATAAAAAGAACGTAATTTCGATAGTTTTAAGCTAAACCTTCCGTTAAGGTACTAAAGCGCTGAACAAAAACTAGAATTATGTTTGATTTGATTAGATTTGGTCGAAAAATTTACTAAAAATAAAATCCTATTTTGAAAGTATTTAAAAAAGGACCTAACAGATACCTACAATGAAGCCAAATTTGAGAAAACTCTTTAATTTTTTAGAATTATCTATTCTTTCAAAAATTAGGGGTCGAGAATTCATAAAAAAACGTGTAATTTGTTGTTAAGAAAACCTAAATAAAATTATCTGAATCAAGCCAAAAACCAAAAGAAAAACAGAAACTGACCGACTGATATTTGGTTTTGCGCTATTTCTACCGTATCCAGACAGGTTCTTCTGTCGTTTCGATTCAAATAGATTCAAATTTTGAATGCTTTTATAACTATTACAACGGGAGTGGGACAAATGCGACCTTTTTTTGCGCACCCGGACATTTGCGCATCTTTTTTTCCGCACTTAGTCCATTAGCGCACCTTTTTTCGCGTTTTAAAAAAGCTCTAAAAGCTAATATTAACCAATTTCTATTCCAAAAGTTGTTTTTCTAGGTGATTTTAGGGCGTAGAATCGAAATTTTGGCATATCAGAGCTTGTGGAAGCGAACGGACGGAGTTATACAAAGAGAAAAATCAACAACCTAGCTGTTTTGTCTTTCAAATTGGTTCCACACGCTCTGTTATGTCAAAATTTGAATTCGACACCCTCAAATTGCCTAGAAAAACAACTTTTGGAATAGAAATTGGTTAATATTAACTTTTAGAGCTTTTTTAAAACGCGAAAAAAGATGCACTAATGGGCTAAGTGCGGAAAAAAAGGTGCGCAAATGTCCGGGTGCGCAAAAAAAAGGTCGCATTTATCCCACTCCCGTTACAACTATCTACAAGGCAAAATTACCTGGACAATTTTTTGGAAAAGTAGTTGTCCTGGTAATTTTGCCCAATCCAACCCAACCCAAATTTTGCCCAATCCTATATATTTAAACTTATTTTAAGATTCGTCAGAATGAATTTCTCCTTTTTATCTTTAGCTAAAGAAATGCAAAATTCTATTCTATCCTGGTTGAATTACGAAGAAGCAATTCAATTATTAAAGACAATTAAAGAGCCTTAAACACTATTATTTACTCCATGGATTATTTACAAAAAGAGCCACAAAAGTTTCAATTGAAATTTGCTTAGGGAAGTTTTACAATGAAATTGTTAAGATTCAGTCAAGTACCACCGAACAAACAGTGTGGATTAGAGTGTGTTCCTCGTCATTAAATAATTAATAAATTGGCATAAACAAAAAAAATAAAGTTGCATTTGAATAATTTAATCGATTAAAGATCAATTAATCAAGATTTTTCTCAATTAACGCGTCAATTAAACAAATCGATACATATGCAAATTCACTCGGCTGAATCTCTTGCATTGCATGAATTGTACTATATAAGAAGTGCGTTAACGTTTTTCACTTAAACTAGAGAATTAGAAACAAAGTTAATTGAGGGAAAAATTTCCAAAAAAGTAGTGTGAAATGGAAAAGGATCCAAAAGCGAAAAAAGGGACGATTTACAAAAAAACGTTAGAGAAAGTGAATGGGAATTCAAGAGAAATTATCTTGGTCTCTCTTAGAGTCAGAGCTAAATTAGTTTTTGAGTAATTTTAATTTCGGCCAATACGTTCATCACAAAACTCTTCAAACTTGGGTAATTAAACCAAGTTGGAGAAAAAAGAGCGAAACCAAGTTTCGGTTCTGTCCAATATCCCTAGAGGCCGTGTGCCAGAAGCCGCGCGATTACGTATAAATGAAAATTTCACGTTTTCTGACAGCCTTCTGACACAGGGGCCTGGATGTGGGGTTACACTCGGGGAACTAAACGGGACGAAATATCCAAAAATACAACAGCTTTTTTAAAAACTAAGAACGGATTCGGATTTCTTACCCCCGAAAACCTCTGATTGCAAATTTTCAACTCCATCTGCCTCAAAAATGTGGTAAATCTAGGTGCGGTCCACCATACCCACTGCGCTACTCATTTCGTTTCCTCTTCCAAATAAAACCTTGATTGTTTAGTGACAAATTGAACAAAGTGTCATCCCACAACACATTTTTATTGAATCCGAATAAATTATCATATAACGAAATAACTTATCCGTAAAAACAAGTGAAAATAGACGCACAACTGGCAATGATGATCTTTTCCTCAAACTCGCTTCAATCCAATATGATCAATCCGCGCTTTTCCAGTTCTGCTTCCAATTGAAGAATCTGAATGGTATTCCTTAAGATTGATCAAGTTTTCAGTCATAAAGTTTCAATTAATGATTCTCACCCTTTCCTCAAGCATCTCGATCACGATGTCCCGCTTGCCAAGCAGCCTTTGAGCCTAAAAATATCTGCGTAAAATTTGTGACCTCTAATCTTTAACGTTTCAAATTTTTTCTTAAATATCTTGTTTTCAGATTCTCCCACTTACCACGTCTTTCTGATTCCTTTCGTCGGCCGCTCTGGCCCTCAACATTTCTTTCTGATTCCTTTCGTCGGCGACTCTGGTACTCAGCATGCCATTCTCGGCTTTCAATCTCACAACTTCTTGAGTCAATTGCTGAAAACAAAGAATTGATTTGAGTAAATCTATTGTTAAACCTGAATTTGAAAACCACTGTCTTGTTGTTGAATTGGTTGAATTCTTCGAGAGCTTTCATCTTTTACATCAGCGACAAAGACAAGGTTGGAACATCATTGGACTAAACAGAATTCTTCAAGTTGAGAAACTCCAAAGTCCTTGCTTACAGGAGGATTATGGTACTTGACTAGTGCTAGCAAAATGTTACCTGTAGTGAAGTATTTCCCGAGGTTGTTGGATAATCCGATCGGCGAACATCATTCATTGATTGTGAGCGCGGTGGAATTGGAATCAAGGGGGGCTCTTCAATCTGTCGACGACCAATCCTTTCCTCAGTGTCCTGCTAAAATTAGATTCTTCATTTGTTTTAGCATTCAGTACTCGAAGTTGTTTGAATTACTTACTGTTTTCTCATCGTCAACCTCAATTGTTCTTTGTTGCATAAAGCATGATCTCATTAGCAGACTGGTCGGCCTTGATCTTGCAGAGACATTCGCTTCCGGGAGTCTTTCTCTCTTAAATGGATTAAATATAAAAATGAAAAGTTTGATTTACGGAATTTTAATATTCATCAGTCTCTCGACTTCAACTAGAATTCATTCGCACTCACCTGACATTTATTTGAATTGTTCCGTGATTCCTCATTCATCTCTTCCGTTGCACCTTGATCGGGTTGGAGGTTTGACCCGGCAAGGAGCTAAATTTTAACGATTAGCTTATCAATAATCAAAACTTGATTTTCCTGCAAAACGGATTTAAAATGTCTGGATTTTTTGGGAGCATGAAGTCAGGTAGTCAAAAAGGGCGACAGCTCGATGATGCTATTTAGACACTTTAGCTAAGGAAACCTATCTTGGAGTCAATAGATAAAAGATAAAGCACACAAAAATTAGGTATATTGTCAAATTTTCAGAGAAATTGAGTCAGCCAATTTCTTCGTCGAGTTTTTTAGAGATTTTTGCGAAAAACGCGTTTTTACTCTCAAATTTGCTTGAAAGCGAACCAAAATTGACTTAAAAAGATCGGAAATTAGACAATAAATACTTTTTATTCAGAACACACCATAAGTTAATTGGTCAATTTGTTATGTTTCAACGGAGGTATGGAAAGGAAAGAAAAGACTTATTTACCAACCTAATATATCTTTTATAAGCGTCACACACAACGTACCCTTGCTTCTTTCTTTGTGATGTATGCATTATTTTCCTTTGCTCGTGTCGGATAGCAAATCCTTGACAATTGACGCCATTCGTCGAACATCCTCTGATCTCTGCAAAACCCATTTTTCAAACTGTTGCTTAAAACATACAGTTTGTCGACAATTTTTCCTCCACAATTTCCTTTTAAATGTTGAACAACTTTGTCGTGCCTATGGGCTGTGAAATCACACTCTGAAATTGGATAATAGAAAATTACAGAAAATATTGGTCAAATTTAAATATGCTCACCTGAACACTGAAATCTCCGTGAAGTATGGACAATCATATGTTCAAAGCATAAAGATGGAACGCTTGCTTGATATTCTGATTGGCAATCCGGGAACTAAAAAGCTTCTGTTTGATAAAATGAATCAAAAATTCTCAACTTCTTCACTAATCCAGTTGTTAAGTCTCACCTGGCACTTATTCCTATCACTCCGTGAGGTTTCCATAGGGGTGATTGGGGAATCCTGAAACCAACGTCTAAAATAACCAAAAGTTCAAAATATTCACCTCATCTTCTTCTGTTGGTGGATCTTCAGCGGGTATTGTGGACTTATTATGGAAACCATCCTTGACAAGCGACGAGTTTCTTGTGGATGCTTGCTAGATATCAAAAGTTGAACCTTATCAGTATTATATTAGGTTGACAAGAAAGCTTTTGGAACGATTTGAACCGGAATTTCTTACAAACGAATCCACCAATTCAAGAACACTTTTTTCTAATATTTAAAGTCGACTTAAAGAAATTACTCGTAAAAATGATTGCAGCTTTCGCTTAAAATTTTAGAGACTTTTGAAAATGTATCATTTTCCCGCTTAAATTCAGCCCACTTTTGGCACCACAAAAAACGATTCCTTATGGGGCAAATCTAACATAAATGAGCAATACGCACTATAATCTTTATTCTTTGGTCAAAAATTTAAAGAAAACCTTTGAAAAAGAAGTCGTTTCTTCCGGATCAGCGTCTGCTTTTCGTTTCATTCTCGAAGTTGCGGAGTTATTCTGACTTTTAGATCGATTCTTCACCCGATCCTCTTGCCTCCCATTCAAGACAGTCTATAAAGCAACAAGTTTAAAACTTCAGATCTGTGAATTTAGAAGTTCAAATCGTTTTCTCGAGTTTGTCCTTAAGCTTTGGAATTTTCTAGGCTTCCGTGGAAAAGTGTCATGCCTGTACTGTTGCTGTGGAAAACATTCGATTGATCTCATTGAGGAAAGGTTGGTTTTACGAGAAATAAGTTAAATTTGAATTGGCCATCAATTTAAAAGTTTCTGCGGTATTTTGTGGGTTAGGGCGACCTATTAGACCAGCCGATAAGTTCGTAGAATTTATTATCAAGTGTAATTCCTTAAAAACCCCACCATCCATTTTCTAACAATTTACCAGCAAATAAAACCTATCTTTGAAAATGTTTTTGTGAAAATATGAAAGCAATCTAACGACTAGTTGCGAAGATTTCATTAGTTGACTGGTTCCTGGCGCTTTTTGAGGGAACTGTTTAAAATCGAACTTTCCAAAGTCCAGTTTTTTGATAAAAAGATGAACCCAAAAATAAAACTAAGTGAACAACAATGGAAATTTTTTCTGGTGGAACCGTTTTTCATATAAAACTTTATTTTTAAAAACGCACCTTTCTTTCGAAAGATCTCTGGGTAAAACTGGAAAACTTTGGAAAAAGCAAAATTTTTAAGTGGACTTCTTTATCCCAAGTATGTGGCTAAAAATAATCATAAAAATTCTGACATGGGTTTGTGGTGCCCGACTTATTTGGTATGTGGTTTTTATGCTGAAAAAAATGAGTTTAAGTTACTGTCAAAAATAATTTTTTTCAATAAAAAGTAATAAGAGAAAGGAAGCCTCATCTTTTGGCAAAAACCTTCTACCCTAAAGTCTCGAGTATAAGTTCTGCCTTAATTTACATTTAAAGGGCTCTGATGGAAAATTTTCTTCTTTCTTTCATTTTTTATTGTTTTTTTTTAATTTTACTAACGTTTTTTCATTTTAGATACGATGAGGAGAAAGTCGTACACCGCCGAAACGAAGCTCGAAGCGGTCAAATTTGCGAGGAAATTTGGAACGAACGCGGCTGCGATGGAATTTGAAGTCGCCGAACAGATGATTAACCGCTGGAAACAAGCTGAGCCGGCACTGATGACTTCACCAAAAAATAAGCGAGCTTTCCGAGGATTGAGGGCAAAATGGCCGGATGTGGAGAAAGATCTGAAGGCATGGGTTCTGGAGAGGCGATCAAAACAACGCGCTGTAAATGGACCGGCAATGAAACGAGAAGCCATCAAGATTGCAACTAAACTTGGGATTCGTCCGTTTTCACCCAGCAATTCGTGGATTCAAAATTTCATGAGGCGGAATGGTTTGTCGATGCGGCGGAGGACGAGCGTGGGACAACCACTTCCAAAGGACTGTCAAAGCAAGAAATCATCTTTTCGATCGTTCTGTCGTGTTTATGATGTTTCACCAAACAATTTTGGAAATTTAGACGAGGTTCCGGTTCCATTCGACATTGTTTCCAACCGAACAGTCGAAGTAAAAGGAAAGGATGATATTTCAATTGCTTCAACGGGAAATGAGAAGACGAATTTCACAGTTGTGCTCGGAATTCTAGCCGATGGATCGAAACACACCGATGCTCATTTTCAAGCGCAAGACTCTTCCCAAAGGAAATTTTCCCGGTGTGATCATCAAAGCTAATCCGACAGGGTGGATGAATTCGGACTTGATGAAGGAGTGGGTCGATGAAATTTGGTTGCGAAGAGCAAATCCGGCGGCCAAATCCGAAGAATGTGCTCGTATTGGATTCAGCTCGCTGTCACTTAACCGATAATGTCAAGGCTGAAATTGAATTTGCCTGCGAAAACCAAACAGAACTTATACTCGCGACTTTAGGGTACCTTTATTAAAGGTTACTATAAAATTTTCTATAAAAGAGCCATAGCCTAGGTAAATAGCAATGACTAGAAAAACTCACACAAATTTAAAGTGCAAAAAGTGTAATTCCCAACGTGTCGAAACGCCGGTTTTTCAGTTGAAAGCCTATGCTAAAACTGTCAAATTCATGCTCAGCGCCCTCAACTACCCCTAGAAAAGTGAAAAATCAGAAATATAGCAGAATCAGTACTCTGTGGGTTGCCACAAAGTACTGACTATGCTGTCAAGGCCAATATTTTCAAAATAAATACCTGACTGCTTTTTCGTCCCATTGTTGGTTAGTCGATCCAAACCTAGGTTGAGTAGACAAAATACCGCTTCAAAGATGTTTGAGAAGATCTGAAAGTTGGTTAAATAATCAAAAGAAAACGAGACAAAACCAGATTAGAATTTTAAACAAGAAACCCTTTTCTAAAATGTTTTGACACGAAATCCGAGACAAAATAACAAGAAGATCGTGGTAGCCTATTTAGATTTGCGTTTTAGTTAAAAGGCAATGGTTACGTTGAGTCTAGATCGCATTTTTGACGGGATTCGAAACAATGAAGTGGAAGGAGCCGAAAAGAAAACGAAACCGTACTAAAATTTGAAACAAGAAACTAAGGGCAGGCAATATAAAAAGGAGGGAACGAACGAGGGTAGGGAGTACTTTAAAACGCGCTACGAAAACAATCGATCTTACGAATGGGGAAGAAAAATTAGTGAGACTCATTAAAAATAAAATAAGAGTAAAATTAAAGCCGGACAAAGTTCCCGACTTCATCACGGAATGAAGAAAAAGGAAAAGAAATGGGGAAGGCGAATTTGAGAGACGTTTTGAGGGGGTACGGTGGCCCATCCACGTTTTAGGAAGCGAACTCGCTAATGGACCAGTCTCTTAAAACCGTACGTTAATAGGAATCTAACGTTGTAATAAAATCTGATACATTTAAAAAGATTTTCACAAGACCATAGTCAGAGCTCACTCTTGCCTTTGGTGATTCAGTCAATTTCTCCACAATCCCAGAAGCAGCTGATGGAAGACTTTGTGGCTTATTGTGAGACGAACCATCTTCTTCCAACTAGACACACAAAAATGTAAGTGCTATGTGTGGAGTATATTAAAAATCGAACCTATATCAATTACTAAATTCACGTTTTCCGATGTATCGTCAATATCCATTGGTTGTGGTGCCCTCCTATATTCGAGAGTCTTCGCGTCGTTTTTCTCATCGATTCCACTCTGAAACTCAATTTTCATGGAATTTTCTTTGCTCAAAACCTGGTATTCAGTTGAGGATTCTGGTTGTTGAGACGTAATATTTAAACGAATCGCTTGTGAAATATCCGTTGGTAGAACGGATGATAGCCCGGGGTATTGTGATGGCTGTGGAAACTGTAAAGGTAATGAGACGAAGATCTCATTAGCCCTAACGAGAAATTGAGCCAACCCGACAAATACTGACAAGAAAAACCCAAAAAACTTTCGAGATCTACATAATTTTGTTCTATTTTTCTAAAGTTATTTGGCTTCTTATTGTTGGAACCTCACATTCTCTCGAAAATAGTTTGGTGGTTTTTGTGGAGGACCGGGATAACGATTGTCGTACCCAAAATTATGACCTGTACCTTGTGCCCATGGAGGAGCCTAAATTTAGCACAGACACAAGAACAAAAATGTAGTCTGCTGTCAATTTAATGGTCAATTCGAAATTTATCCAAGACATGAAGTAAAGTGAAAAGTTTTCAATACGCAGAGATAGAAACATAGAAATTAATAGAAACATAGAACCTTAAGAAACATAGAAATTAATGACAAACAAAGAGAGCAAGATTACAGAATAAATGAAATTCAATCAATTATCCACAAGAGAAGAGAGATCTAGGTTATCTACTGATTTTTTTTAAAGGACTCGAGACTTTTGCATTCTCTTAATTTGTTCGGTAGTAAGTTCCACACTCTCTCAACCCTGATTGGGAAAGAATTAGACACAAAGTTATTTGAGGCAATCGGGATTTTCAGGGGAAATGAACCTCCCCTTGGATCGACCACTGGGTTGAGTTTTTAAAAGGAGGACTAGAATGTTTGCATTTAGTGATTTTGAAGCATTCAACTAAATCCTCGACCAAGCGGCAGTGTCTAAGGAATCTTCAAAAATCTCTGATTAGGAAAGAATTAGACACAAAGTTAATTGAGGCAAAAATTTTCAAAAAAGAAGTGTGAAATGGAAAAGGATTCAAAAGCGAAAAAAGGGACGATTCACAAAAAAACGCTAGCGAGAATGAATGGGAATTCAAGAGAAATTATCTTGGTCTTTCTTAGAGTAAGGACTGAATTAATTTTTATGATTTCATTTTGAGAAGATTGAGGAAAGAAATGAATTGATGTTACTCTTGATGTTAGAGGATTGAAATGAGTAGATGAGTAGAAAGGAGTAGACTAAAATGGATACAAACAAAAATAAAGATAAGAAACAAAGATCGCCCGATCATCATCCAAAACGATTCGAGTGTATTCCCCTCAAGAAATAGTGTGAACCAGGAAACGGGTTAGGTCGCAATCAACTGAATATCTTAAGTATCTTCTACAAATTGTAAGATATTCAGTTTATTTTAAATGCACTCGTTTCCCATTTTGCACTATTTCTTGAGAGGAATACACTCTAAAAACGATGCAATCTGGCTGGTGATCTTGCAGTTTCTCTTCAAGTTCGTAAATCTTAAATTCCTTGCGACTATATAAATTATTATTCTCATTTCACAGCAGTCTTTAAAAAATATTCTTTTCACTGACCCTTGCCTCACCTTCCTTCAACACGACTTCTTTCTCGCCAAGAGAAACAGAAAGGGTCACCACCGTCTCTTGAAACTAAAATTTAAGACAAACCAAAGCTGAACTGATATCTAAATTAATCATAACATAATTTTTTTTTGATCTGTCTTTGCACTCAGATGTTCCTATTTGCGCAGATCACAACCTGCTTGCACATTTCTCTATCCCTTACTATTGCCATCCAGTGTTTCCTAGCTTGATTGTTCCTGGTTCGAAGTCTTCGACTTGCTGGTGCTGGTGGTGGTTGCGTTCTAGCCATCCTTTCTCTGACCGTCTCTGCCACTCTTGTGCTCCACCTCGTTGCTGGTCTTCCGATGGGCCTCTTCTGGTCTCGTGGTAGCCACTCTGTGATCCGTATCGTCCATCTGTCGCCTGTTCTTCTGGCTACGTGGCCGGCCCATCTGAGTCTTTTTCTCGATCACCTCCACTGGATCTCTGAGTCCCGAGAGCTGGAGCATATCTTAGGTCTTGGTCGAGCTGCCTCTTCCTGTTGTACCCAAGGAGGTTCCTTTCTTAGCATGAATTAGATGAGTTTTTAATTGCGCCATTGGAATGTTGTTGATTTGAGCTGAGGATGAGGCTTGTCAAAGAAGCGAAACGCCTATGATGTTTGAGAAATATATCACACTCAAATTTTCCTTTTATCGTCTAGTTTTTGCTATCACACCAAGCTGTGCTAAAAATTTATGTGAACCGCACCTTTCATAAACTCTGAACGCTTATCTTTGACTTCTCCTTGAATCAGGTTCAAGAATGGTACTTGTGTAGCTGGAGACTCTGTTCGTGACTCACTGTGCTCCTGAAATAAAAATCTATTCAAAACAAATGTAATTTTAAATAGGGTTTGATTTTATTCATATATTTTACTGCACCTGGATCTCCGGTACATTGTTGTCGATCGTGGCAGCTGTTTGAAGAGCTTCTCCCAACGAGCCGACTCTTTCTAGACAGTTGTGAAGTTGTCGAGGCGCATACAAGTCGCTTGTCAGTCACGCAGATTATGATTGGAGCTGGGTCAATCATTCGACAAATTTCGTCAACCCCTCGAATTCTACTGTTCCCACTCAAGCAATAGAGCGCATGTGGGCCGTTCAAAGATGCAAATCGACGAAGAAATAGAACGAAAACGACGAAGAAATAAAACGCACGCCACAATAATTGAAAGTTACATCGCTGAAGGAATTTTGCGATTAAATTTTTGGTCTTAAATCGTCTAGATCGCATTGATTGCGATTAAGGCCATGAAACCGGCATTTACTCAGCTGTCCATTCCGATTACGGTATGGCTTTGTTTGCATGGGATTTGGAAACAACCTCTAATGACCTTTTTTAGGTGATACTTGTCGTTTTCTGCTTGTATGATCTCTTTGGCTCGATGAGCTACGAATTGTTCCTTGATCCTCAAAAAGTATTGTAATTTGAAGTACAATAAAAATTGATGAACAACTCCTTTAAGAAACGCAACCAGTGAAGATTGGAAAAAGCAAACAGAGCCTTATGCCGAAATTATCATCAAAATTCGTAAGTATTGGCATACTATGGTCAAACAACCAAAAGCACTTTTATATGGCTTAACAAATTCACGAAAAAATCATTTTTGTCTTGGCTGCCGTTTCGGACGACAGCTATCTGTCAGCTGTAGACCTGCAAATTTGTAACCGGAGGCATTCTGGGATAGAGAATCTGAAGCCGTGATTAGTTTTTGAGTAATTTTAATTTCGGCATATACGTCCATCACAAAACTCTCCAAACTTGGGTAATTAAACCAAGTTGGAGAAAAAAGACCGAAACAAAGTTTGGGTTCTGTCCAACATCCCTAGAGGCCGCCGGATTATGCACAAATGAAAGTTTTGTGACAACCTTCTGACACACGGGCCTGGATGTGGGGTTACACTGGGGGAATTAAATCGGATGAAATATCCAAAAATATAACAGCTTTTTTAAAAACTAAGAACAGATTCGAATTTCTTACCCTCGTAAACCTCTGATTGCAAATTTTCAACTCCAACTGCCTCAAAAATGTGGTAAATCTAGGTGCGGTCCACCATACCCACTGCGCTACTCATTTCGTTTCCTCTTCCAAATAAAACCTTGATTGTTTAGTGACAAATTGAACAAAGCACAGCACATTTTTATTGAATTTGAAAATATTGAATGCAAATAAATTATCATATAACGAAATAATCCGTAAAAATAAATATTATCCGTATAAACAAGTGAAAATAGACGCACGACTAGCAATGATGATCTTTTCCTCAAACTCTCTTCAATCCAATGTGACAACGCACTTTTCCAGTTCTGCTTCCAATTGAAGAATCTGAATGGTATTCCTTAAGATTGATCAAGTTTTCAGTCATAAAGTTTCAATTAATGATTCTCACCCTTTCCTCAAGCATCTCGATCACGATGTCCCGCTTGCCAAGCAGCCTTTGAGCCTAAAAAATATCTGCGTAAAATTTGTGACCTCTAATCTTTAACGTTTCAAATTTTCGATTAAATATTTTATTTTCAGATTCTCCCACTTACCACGTCTTTCTGATTCCTTTCGTCGGTCGCTCTGGCCCTCAACATTTCTTTCTGATTCCTTTCGTCGGCGACTCTGGTACTCAGCATGCCATTCTCGGCTTTCAATCTCACAACTTCTTGAGACAATTGCTGAAAACAAAGAATTGATTTGAGTAAATCTATTGTTAAACCTGAATTTGAAAACCACTGTCTTGTTGTTGAATTGCTTGAATTCTTCGAGAGTTTTCATCTTTTACCCGCGAGTTCATCAGCGACAAAGACAAGGTTGGAACATCATTGGACTAAACAGAATTCTTCAAGTTGAGAAACTCCAAAGTCCTGGCTGAGGATTATGGAAATTGACTAGTGCTAGCAAAATGTTACCTGTAGTGAAGTATTTCCCGAGGTTGTTGGATAATCCGATCGGCGAACATCATTCATTGATTGTGAGCGCGGTGGAATTGGTATCAAGGGAGGCTCTTCAATCTGTCGACGATCAACCCTTTCCTCCGTGTCCTGCTAAAATTAGATTCTTCATTTGTTTTAGCATTCCACTCGAAGTTGTTTGAATTACCTACTGTACTCCCATCGTCAACCTCAATTGTTTTTTGTTGCATAAAGCATGATCTCATTAGCAGACTGGTCGGCCTTGATATTGCAGAGACATTCGCTTCCGGGAGTCTTTCTCTCTTAAATGGATTAAATATAAAAATGAAAAGTTTGATTTACACTTTCGTAAATATCTTTAAAGACTAACTTTAGCTGAAGAAGGTCGCGTTGAAAGGAATGCCTCCCAATCTTCGTTCTCATTCTTTATAGGAGCAACTATCGGCTCTGGCACCACTTGAACATCACGACGCTATAACAAGATTATTGGACCAATCAAAAGAACGGAATTTCAATATTCATTAGTCTCTCGACTTCAACTAAAATTCATTTGCACTCGCCTGAGATTTATTTGACTTGTTCCGTGATTCCTCATTCATCTCTTCCGTTGCACCATGATCGGATTGGAGGTTTGAACCGGCAAGGAGCTTAATTTTAACGATTAGGTTATCAATAATCAAAACTTAATAGTATTAGGTTGGTGAATAGGTCTTTTCGTACTTCCATTTAAAACCAACAAAGGCATTAGGCTTATAGCCAAATTTTGAGAGAAATTGAGTCAGCCAATTTCTTCGTCGAGTTTTTTAGAGATTTTTGCGAAAAACGCGTTTTTACTCTCAAATTTGCTTGAAAGCGAACCAAAATTGACTTAAAAAGATCGGAAATTAAACAATAAACAGTTTTCATTAAGAGGAACTCATAGGTTAATTGGTGAATTTGTTATGTTTCAACGGCAGTATGGAAAGAACGAAAAGACTTATTCACCAACCTAATCAGACTTATTCACCAAACCTAATATCTTTTATAAGTGTCACACACAACGTACTTTTGCTTCTTTCTTTGTGATGAATGCCTGGATTTCCTTTGCTGTTGTCGGATAGCAAATCATTGACAATTGACGCCATTCGTCGAACATCCCCTGATCTCTGCAAAACCCATTTTTCAAACTGTTGCTTAAAACATACAGTTTGTCGACAATTTTTCCTCCACACTTTCCTTTTACATGTTGAGCGGCATCGGCGTGTCTATGGGCTTTGAAAACACACTCTGAACTTGGATAATAGAAAATTACAGAAAGTCACAGAAAATATTGGTCAAATTTAAATATACTCACTTGAACAATGCAATCTCCGTGAACCATGGATAATCATATGATAATAGCGTGTAGATGGAAGCATTGCTTGATAATCTGATTGGCAATCCGGAAACTAAAAATTTTCTGTTTGATAAAATGAATCTAAAATTCTCAACTTCTTCACTAATCCAGTTGTTAAGTCTCACCTGGCACTTATTCCTATCACTCCGTAAGGTTTTCATAGGGGTGATTGGGGTATCCTGAAACCAACGTCTAAAATAACCAAAAGTCTAAACTATTCACCTCATCTTCTTCTGTTGGTGGATCTTCAGCGGGAAGCGTGGACTTATTATGGAGACCATTTTGGACAAGCGACAAGTCTCTTGTGGATGTTTGCTAGATATCAAAATTTGAACTTCATCAGTGTTATATTAGGTTGGAACGATTTGAACCGGAATTTCTTACAAACGAATCCACCAATTCAAGAACACTTTTTTCTAATATTTAAAGTCGACTTAAAGAAATTACTCGTAAAAAATGATTGCAGCTTTCGCTTAAAATTTTAGAGACTTTTGAAAATGTATCATTTTCCCGCTTAAATTCAGCCCACTTTTGGCACCACAAAAAACGATTCCTTATGGGGCAAATCTAACATAAATGAGCAATACGCACTATAATCTTTATTCTTTGGTCAAAAATTTAAAGAAAACCTTTGAAAAAGAAGTCGTTTCTTCCGGATCAGCGTCTGCTTTTCGTTTCATTCTCGAAGTTGCGGAGTTATTCTGACTTTTAGATCGATTCTTTGCATTTCCAGCCGCTTCTCGATTCTTCACCCGATTCTCTTCCCTCCCATTCAAGGCAGTCTATAAAGCAACAAGTTTAAACTTCAGATCAGTGAATCTAGAAGTTCAAATCGTTTTCTCGAGTTTGTCCTTAAGCTTTGGAATTTTCTAGGCTTCCGTGGAAAAGTGTCATGCCTGCACTGTTGCTGTGGAAAACATTCGATTGATCCCATTGAGGAAAGGTTGGTTTTACGAGAAATAAGTTAAATTTGAATTGGCCATCAATTTAAAAGTTTCTGCGGTATTTTGTGGGTTAGGGCGACCTATTAGACCAGCCGATAAGCTCGAAGAATTTTTTTATCAACTTTTTATCATTCCTGAAAAACCCCAACATCCATTTCTCTAAAAAAAAACTGGTGGAACCGTTTTTCATATAAAACTTTATTTTTAAAAACGCACCTTTCTTTCGAAAGATCTCTGGGTAAAACTGGAAAACTTTGGAAAAAGCAAAATCTTTAAATGGCCTTCTTTATCCCAAGTATGTGGCTAAAAATAATCATAAAAATTCTGACATGGGTTTGTGGTGCCCGACTTATTTGGTATGTGCTTTTTATGCTGAAAAAAATGAGTTTAAGTTACTGTCAAAAATAATTTTTTTCAATAAAAAGTAATACGGGAAAGGAAGCCTCATCTTTTGGCAAAAACCTTCTACCCTAAAGTCTCGAGTATAAGTTCTGCCTTAATTTACATTTAAAGGGCTCTGATGGAAAATTTTCTTCTTTCTTTCATTTTTTATTGTTTTTTTTAATTTTACTAACGTTTTTTCATTTTAGATACGATGAGGAGAAAGTCGTACACCGCCGAAACGAAGCTCGAAGCGGTCAAATTTGCGAGGAAATTTGGAACGAACGCGGCTGCGATGGAATTTGAAGTCGCCGAACAGATGATTAACCGCTGGAAACAAGCTGAGCCGGCACTGATGACTTCACCAAAAAATAAGCGAGCTTTCCGAGGATTGAGGGCAAAATGGCCGGATGTGGAGAAAGATCTGAAGGCATGGGTTCTGGAGAGGCGATCAAAACAACGCGCTGTAAATGGACCGGCAATGAAACGAGAAGCCATCAAGATTGCAACTAAACTTGGGATTCGTCCGTTTTCACCCAGCAATTCGTGGATTCAAAATTTCATGAGGCGGAATGGTTTGTCGATGCGGCGGAGGACGAGCGTGGGACAACCACTTCCAAAGGACTGTCAAAGCAAGAAATCATCTTTTCGATCGTTCTGTCGTGTTTATGATGTTTCACCAAACAATTTTGGAAATTTAGACGAGGTTCCGGTTCCATTCGACATTGTTTCCAACCGAACAGTCGAAGTAAAAGGAAAGGATGATATTTCAATTGCTTCAACGGGAAATGAGAAGACGAATTTCACAGTTGTGCTCGGAATTCTAGCCGATGGATCGAAACACACCGATGCTCATTTTCAAGCGCAAGACTCTTCCTAAAGGAAATTTTCCCGGTGTGATCATCAAAGCTAATCCGACAGGGTGGATGAATTCGGACTTGATGAAGGAGTGGGTCGATGAAATTTGGTTGCGAAGAGCAAATCCGGCTGCCAAATCCGAAGAATGTGCTCGTATTGGATTCAGCTCGCTGATTTCTACAACTACTTGACATCAGCGTCAATAAGCCATTCAAAGACAATCTAAAGGCTCACTGGGAAGAATGGATGTCCGATAGCCGAAACGACCAATTTACCCTGTCGGGCCAAAAAAAGAGAGCGAGCTACGAGACAGTTGCGGAATGGGTAAGGAAAAGTTTCGATGCGGTCCCCTCTTCTTGCATTATCAATGAATCTCCAAGAGCTTTGATCGATGAAACAGTTTCGAAGCTAAGCACAGAATTCTTTTTTATCTAGCTTTAATTGCTTTGAATTTCTTTTTGTTGGGTTTTCATACATTTTTATTGTTATATAAACTTTTATTCTTGTTCTTAAAAAGCAAAAGTTATGCTGCCGCGGGGTTCGAACCCTCGACACACTGCACCGGAGACAGCCGTCAATTTGCCTGAGAAAACCAAACAGAACTTATACTCGCGACTTTAGGGTGCCTTTATTAAAGGTTACTATGAAATTTTCAGAAAGATTGATGGCGGGTTTTGGCGAAATGACAATTTAAAAATTAATAAAAAATTCTACGGACTAGTCTGCCAGCCGAATATATATTTTAGATTTTTTTTCGCTTTTCTAGGGGTAGTTGAGGGCGCTGAGCACGAATTTGACAGCTTTAGCAAAGGTTTCCCCACCGAAAAAGCGACATTTGCACACGTTAAAAATTATCCTTCTATTTCTTAGGCTATGGTCCTGCACAACCGGAGACCTGACTGAGCCTAGGATACAGCCTGATTGACCAGCTCCGTAACGACCCACCTGAGCCATAGCCTAGGTGAATAGCAATGACTAGAAAAAGTCACACAAATTTAAAGTGCAAAAAGTGTAATTCCCAACGTGTCGAAACGTCGGTTTTTCAGTTGAAAGCCTATGCTAAAACTGTCAAATTCGTGCTCAGCGCCTTCAACTACCCCTAGAAAAGTGAAAAATCAAAAATATAGCATAATCAGTACTTTGTGGGTTGCCACAAAGTACTGACGATGCTGTCCAGGTCAATATTTTCAAAACAAATACCTGACTGCGTGTTCGTCCCATCATTGGTTGTTGGATCCAAAACTAGGTTGAGTAGACAAAATACCGCTTCAAAGATGTTTGAGAAGATCTGAAAGTTGGTTAAATAAACAGAAGCTCCAGCAAATAAAGTTTGGTAAAAAAAGGGAAAAGGGGGTGCTCCTAATGTAATATAGCCGGAAAATAAGGAAAATGTGCGGCACAAAAGCATTTGTAAAGCCCGAAAAAGTTAGTAACTAACTCCCTTACCCAACACCTTCAGAATTACTAACCCTTTTCTAAAATGTTTTGACACGAAATCCGAGGCAAAATAACAAGAAGATCGTGGTAGCCTATTTAGATTTGCGTTTTAGTTAAAAGGCAATGGTTACGTTGAGTCTAGATCGCATTTTTGAGGGGATTCGAAACAATGAAGTGGAAGGAGCCGAAAAGAAAACGAAACCGTACTAAAATTTGAAACAAGAAACTAAGGGCAGGCAATACAAAAAGGAGGGAACGAATGAGGGGAGGGAGTACTTTAAAACGCGCTACGAAAACAATAGATTTTACGAATGCTAAAGAAAACTTAGTGAGACTCATTAAAAATAAAATAAGAGTAAAATTAAAGCCGGACAAAGTTCCCGACTTCATCACGGAATGAAGAAAAAGGAAAAGAAATGGGGAAGGCGAATTTGAGAGACGTTTTGAGAGGGTACGGTGGCCCATCCACGTTTTAGAAAGCGAACTCGCCAATGTGCCAGTGTCAGTCGGCAGTGTCTAAGGAATCTTCAAAAATCTTTGCAAAAAGCCAATAGTGCAACCAAAATTTTCACCACGTACAACATGTTTACAATCATATTTTCTTTTCAGGAGCACTCAAGCGGTGGGCGTTGATCTTCTTTAATTCATTGTCTCCCTTGATTTTCCAATAGCTAGTTTCTTCATCTAGCGAGAGATTATCCCCAAAAAAATGTTTTCAATATTTTCTTTTTCGTTTCCTTTTTTCAAGACCCCAACTCTTCCCTAACCCCATCTACACTCGGTGCTTATTTTTTTTATATCTTTTATATTCTTTCATCAATCAATGAAGATCCTCCTTTGTTTTAAACTCCAAGATTCATTAAAAACCATAAGTCCTTGTTTATTTTAAGAACTTTTCGAAATCTTTCCTTTTATTCTCATTATTTCTATTATTTTTTTTATTTTGCAAAGATTTTTTGGTACTAGTCGTTTAAACTGGCCGTTTTTAAAAAAATTTATGTAAATTTTCAGACATATCAAGTCGATACACTGACTCTCTGTTCCAAGAAAGAGCAACAATTTAGTAAACTTTCATGTTCATTTTCTTGTTGTCATTTTTATTAGGTCATACAATAAGTCTTGGCGGACTTTAGAACCAATTATCTACCAAACTAAAACAAATTTTGCCTAAATTTTGGAACATAAATGACTATGTTTGCGGGTGTAATCCTCAAAAGTTCCAAAACTCGTGAATTAGTGAATTACTATGAGATTTTAACACATCTCATGGTAAAAGCTGATGAATTTTGGCTTGCTACTTTCTATGAACTTTCAAAAAATTGGCGCATTGTTTTATTTCAATTGTCGTTTTGCTTTGCCGTTTTGCCGTTTGCCCAAAGGAGAACAAAAACCGTCGGCCAGTTTGAAAAAAATCAACTACTCAACTCAAAAATTTACCCGGAAATTGATCAGCTTTCTAAATGACAAATTTTGAATTAAATTGAAATTTTAAAATTTTTATTTTGTTTAGGTAGAGGTCTATCGGTTTAATGTCAATCCTTTTAAGACGGTTTTGAATGAGACTCTAAAGACTGTAGACTCTAGTTATAGCTTCAAGAGAATATAAAATCGTTTATTTTCAAACAGATATAAGCCTGAGCCTGAGTCAAAATTATTTCTTCTTTCCAACGTCCAATGAGGCCACACAAGTCAAATCGCTGATGGGAAGATAGTAGTTTCGACCACCCTGCAATTTTTATTCAATATTTTAATTGAAACAAGAAGGCTAAAGATTTCCAACAAAGACAACATCAATCACATATTTCAGATCTAAAACTTACAAGTTGCCAGTTGTCATTGGTGGGATTTCTGATCACCCATCGTCCGGTGTCGGCACCGCAAAAGAGTTCAACGGGGGTGGTTGGCTGAAAAGGGTCTTTTTTTCACTTTTTATCAAATAAAACTATATCATACGAATAGTGAGAGATTAAAATTCTAACGTTTCCAAGTCCAGCAGTGTTGGCCGTTCCGAATGCATCAGAGAGGGCTGGGAGTTCAGAGTTGAACTGAAAATTAAACGAGTTAAGCATTCTGTTAGTGTTCTAAACCTATTGATCTCTTATCTAAAACCCACTCCGACTCCATTAATCCACAAATAAACGTGATGATCCTTGGAAGGAGCTGTGCATGACCAAATAGCTGTCACACCCTTCGCATCATCACAGCAGCTTAAATTTTGTGTAATTTGATTTGCAAATTTGTAAATAATCATAAATTATAAGAAAAGAAGCCTACTTATAGTGAAAAGTCGAGTTTCCGGTGTTTCCATCGTCTGGATGTCTTAACATGTAGGTGAGACGATAACATGACGGCGTTTTCGCGCAAACCGGGTCTGAAAAAATTAACCTAGTCTTATTTGGCAACTTTGTAAATTGTAAACAATACTTATACAACGAATTTACCTACAAATTTGCATCTTAGAAGTCCTGCTTTAATATTTAATCCTTTCAACTTACCATTTCCACATTGAGCATCGACAACAACAAAAAGTCCAACCACCAAAAGAATGGACAGCATTTTGGCAAGAGAAATTCGAACTGCATGCCGACGTGTCTATCGGGGTTTATAAGGTGAGAATGGTTAGTGTATAAAAACCAAAGAAGAAAACCCATTAACAAAGTCTTTCAATTACTTGTTTGAGTTTCGAAGACAAAGTACCCGTTTCGGTTTTTCATTTCGGCAAAAAGTCACACTTTGACGACCGAGGCGGAACGTTTTCCATTCTCTCGGGCGATTTTGAGGAGAAAATTCCTTGGAGAGCCAAATTTGCTGGAAAGTTTGAAAAAGTCTTTTTGTGTCTACGGGGGAACAATGGTGGCAAGACATTTTATGGAGTTGAAATCAAAAATCTCTGAAAATTTATAAATATATCATATGCTAGCAAGCACATAGCCAAGACAGCTCTATAACCAAACGTTGACCGGTTCTCAAGTGTTAGTTATTGTTGTATCATTCATCAAATTATCGATTTCAACTTTTTGATTAGTTGAGCGGACAACGAATTGATGTTAAACATGGTGAAGTAAACAGGTTTGAATCATGTTTCAGTTCAATTTGTATCCTTCAACATTAGCACAATCTCTGTTAATAAAGTGGCTTGCTATTTTTATATTATTCATCCAATTTGCATTTAGAAATGTTCTTTTTCCATTGAGGAATAGATTAAAATTTATTTTCACTAAACTTTTCACAAGAATCAATCAAGTTTTGTATGCAGAAACCCTGTTCAACAAAAAGAAAAACACTAAAATCAGAATCATCGACAAATATGGGAGGAATCGCAGGGAAATGTGACTAGGAAATGGTCATCAAAACCAAAAACGCACAAAATAAACGCTCAACTCTAGAAGTTCCCCTAACTACCTGAATAGATAAACTTTTGAAAGAGGGAATTTTTGGTAGATTGAGAGATACCACTGATACAGCGTAATGGAAGAGATACATGCAAAAGAAAAGCAAAGAAAAGAAACGAAGATCAAGAAACAACTGTACAGAATGGAAACATAGTAGATATTTTTTAGTTTAGAGATTGTACTTGAAGTGTCTTTTGAGATAGATCTCTTCACCCAATGGAGTCAATCTCACTTTACGCACTAACTCGCTCAACTCAAGATGTGATCTTTTCTTCTCGTTCAATCGCACAAAGTTTTCGATGTTCATCAAGTAATTGGCATAACGGAGTGAGCCCTAAATTTTTCGGTTTTGCTTCGAATTTGCCTTTTTAAAAAGGATTTTAAACATTCAAGTTTAAAGAAACCTTTTGCTCTCCAAGTTGAGCGATGAGAAGACGGTGAAGCGCCGTGCAAAGTCGACTTCTCTCTTTATCGACAACGATCCGTCCTTCATCTGATAGTTCACAAGCGCCTGAAAGTTTGGTTGCATCTTATCGACTCTTTTTTTAGATATAGCCAAAGCCCTTTTTAGCCAAAGCCTATTTGATTCTTGTTACTCACCTGGGCTAAACAGGACAATTGCTTTCATGAGTACATAATGTTGCTTCTCCATTCCACAAGCTCGCAGCATGGCAATTGGTCGGCAGTAATTCTCTCGGAAGTAGTCTTCGAATTTGAAATTACTAAAGAGGAATTAGATTTGAATTTTAACTTACAATCTGTTCAATCTACTTTTAATTTACAATCTATTCAATCTATTTTTAACTTACAATCTATTCATTTGAAAATCAAGGGCATCGGTTCCATCGGGGAAAAGAAGTTTCTCACTCTTTTGCTCCAATGAATAGAATGATTGGACGAGCATTATGATGAGACCAACGGCTTGTGAGAGAAGTATACGCTAAAACGATGAATGTCATTAAATAGTGAAGTAATCAGTGGAAAATCTAGACTTTATGTTTATTTACCCGATCTAACTCGCTGAGTTGATGAAATTGTCCAAACGTCTTCGCGTATTCACAAGCCAAAAACATGTCAGCGACCATCCAGAAACGGATTGGATTTTGATGATACGCTTGCAAGGTTGATTCTTCTGCTGTCACCTAGAAATTAGCAAGTTTATAAATTTGGTTTTCTTTCTTTACCTTGCACATATCTACGAAACTTTTTCCAAGAATACACGGTTTTTTCAAGAGTTCAGGAAGTGACATCTCGAATGACCAAGGACACTCGGTTCTTCTCATATACACTGATGACGTTTCTCTTCTCATCTGAAATTTAAATGATTGCTTTTGTTTGCAAATTCACGATCTTTTGGTCTTGACCCAGAAAAGAGCAGAACGAACCAAATTGTCAAGGAGTTCTGTGAAAGCGAGGTCATCTCGAGAAGCAAGAGAAACCACTTGGAGCTGAATTGAACTGTGAAAAAAAGAAACGGACGACTATTCAAAGGGTGATGTCAAAATTCTCGTCTAACTCAAGAATTGAAAACACTATTTTAGCATTTACGGACATCGCGAAGAACTTAAACGCCAAGCTGTTCCTACCTGTTGTTCATAAGCATCAGTAGAAGTACTCGGCATATCCTCATCATCGAAAATTTCTTGTTTCTCGGCTTTTGTTGGATATTGAATCGCTGAAAGTGAAGTTTGTTGAATAATTTTTGGCTTTGTCAAAACTAACCACTTGGATCCATTCCAACAAGAACGCACTTCTGGAAACGACAAGCTCGGCAAGCACATCGAAAATCTTTGTCAAAGCAACATCGGCCACCCTTCGAGCAAGTGAATTTTCGGTTAGCGATGATGGTTCTAAATTAATGTTATGCATACGAGATTGAAAGAGTTCGTGGACAAACAAATTTTTTAGTTTCATTACCAACCTCCTAAAAAATGTCTTGCATCCATTGCATGAGATCGTCCCGTAGTGGTAACCGGTTGGCTAAAGTTTTCAGAAATGTTTTATATTCATTTCATAAACCAACCTTGTCTCCACAAACCGCACATTTGAACTGGTCGGACTTGCGAATGTTTTTGAACTTTTTCATTGGTTGCGATGGAGTTATCACAATTGGCAATGGTGAGAGAAGGTTCTGCAAATGAATAGAATGGTTATCACAATTACAATATTATTAAAATCAAACTATTCAGCTGGTAAATAAATCTTTGCATTCCTTTCCATACTTCCGTTGAAACATAACAAATTCACCAATTAACCTACAACAAGGCCAACAAGTCAATCCAAAGGTGGTCGTCTACAAAACCCCCGCATCCAACAACTACCTAACTAATAAACAGTAAAAAAAAACTCTGATTCAAATCATCTTTCTATCATCATTCTATTCTATTCAAATCATAATCTCTTCACTTTCCATCAACGCTGAACTAAAGTTTATTTTGAAAGCAAAGAAAATCAAATCCAAAATAAATTGTTAACTTTCTTTAGAAGTTTTTTCTCAAAGCAAGAAGGTAAAGATCACAAGAAAGTACAGATTACCGTTTAAATTCACCAATTAACTTATGGTTAGTTCTAAATAAAAAGTGTTTATTGTTTAATTTCCGATCTTTTTAACTCAATTTGGGTTCGCTTTCAAGGAAATTTGAGAGTGAAAACGTGTTTTTCGTAAAAATCTCTAAAAAACTCGACGAAGAAATTGGCTGACTCAATTTCTCTGAAAATTTGGCAACATACCCAACTTTTTATGCTTTATTTTTTATCTATTAACACGAAGATAGGTTTTCTTAGCTAAAGTGTCTAAACAGCATCATCGAACCGTCGCCCTTTTTGACTACCGACTTGACGCTCCCAAAAAAATCCAGACATTTTAAACCAGTTTTAATGTTCTTTTTACAGAGAAATAATTGGCCTTTCTAATGAAACAAATCGTAGTTCCATTGGTGCATTTGTTGGTTTTAAATGAGAGTACAAAATGCCGAAAAGACCTATTCACCAATCAAATAGATCTGTAGACAGACCATGAATGACTCACCAATGGACAGCCAGTCGGAGATCCATCTGATCCAATCAAAGAGTCTTCATACGAAGTCGAATCGTTCTCGTCTTGCTGAAGATCAAGAATTCTGTACTTAGTTTTTTATGAAATCTTTTTTATCTATACGCTATAAATTTCCCTTTCACTTTTCGGAGACCAAAAAACCAAAAAGATATGGAGAAAGCAAAGTCCTAATTATATGCTGACAATTCGCATGAATTCCCCGTTAAGTGGATCAATTTTTGAGCTGAAGCGGAAGTTCGTGCAAACGCGTTTTGAGCTGTTTAGATTATGGGATCAACTTTTGGGATCAACTTTTTTGCATATTATTGGTCGTTTTGCATATTATTGAATCATACGGAATCCCTACAGTTCTTTACAGCTTCTAGTGTTTAAAAATAACCCAATCTCGCAACTTAAGCTCGCACCCTAACTATCAATAATCTTTTTTGTAATTTCAGTTCTTGGATTTTTCAGATTTTCTCATGCATTTGTCAAAAATTCGACTAAAGATGGTTCCCAAGACAAAGAAATGAAAGAGGTAAAGATGGAAACGAAAAAGATAAGAATCGAGGGGAAAATTTGTCCTTTCGCTTCTTTTTCTTATTGTTTTCTTTAAAAGATTGACTTTCTCAGCAAAAAGAAAAACAAGAATGAGCAAAAAGAAAGAATGGAATGATTCTATTCGAAGCACTTCTATTAGTTATATACTTTTTAACAGTTTTTAAATGCCAAACAAACCTGTGGAATCTCATCGGGATCAATCTTCATAACCGGATTTATGATCGGTTGTGCACGAAGAAGAAATTGATGATAGAGATCATTTGAGGGTGGAGAATCTGAAAGCTTCTCCACCACTCTTCCCCCATTCCGAACACCTCCACTACTTAGCCATTGTTGATGCAAATCGGTAATCATACCTGGAAGTTAAGTAATAAGGACTGATAGTAAAAGAAAGAGTTTAAAAAAGAATTTGAACCAAAGTTATTAATAAAATCAAAGGGAGGATCTCTGAATTATCAAAAGATTTTTGAAATGACACCTGATTTTACTGTAATATGGAAAGTTAAAAAGTTATGAGTTTATAAAGCAAAAGCACATGTAAAATAGCAAATTCATTCGCAAATTTTCCTTCTCACTTGTAAATAAAGTGCCTGTGAATCGGTGACCCACTCAAAAGTTGAAATCAATCACCAAAATAAAAGCCTCAAAAATGAATTCTAAAGAGAGACAGACAAATTGTAGTCTATTCAGCTCTCAATCTCCTTTTTAACAAGGAAGTGTACACAATCTTCAAAGAAAATCGAAATAATCAAAAAAGCCTCTTTTTCTCCTCACTCATCCAGGAGAATCCATAGAAATCTGGGCAAATCCCAAGATACCGAGGTTCGAGTACTTATTGATAGACTTGTTGTGTAGTCAAAAATTCAAATGATCAAAAAACACGATGACTGAGCAGCTTGATATTTTTGCGCAAGGAAGGACGTAATGGTGACTTAAGAGATGCTTATGAGGTAAAAGTAAAAGCTCATGTTAAAGCTTTGATGTGGCTCAAAGTTTTAAAGAAAATCTCAAGAAAATAACAATTGTAACTCTTTAGAGTACAGAAAACCGGGAAAACTCGCAACAATACCAGTGGTCATTCAATTTCCGGATTACTCAAGCATTACCCTCGTCAACAGATCAAAGAATCTTTCATGACGCGTCAGTCTTTTCTTTTTTTCTTTTTACATCTCCATCTCCCGCAAATTGATCATATTTCTTTTCCGTTCTTTTTTTCTCCATTTCGTTCATTGATATCTTTTCATCATTTGTATCTACTTTCGATTTGGAGAATAGGAAAAATCCCAAAGATGGATGAATTCTTGAAAACCAATCGATCAAAGCACACGAGTTGTCCTTATTCAAAAAAATAACCGAAAAGATTAAAGCAAAACTTTTAAATGTTAATAGATTTTGCGTACAGGTGCACTCAGAGTTTTGAAAAGAAATAAGATGAAAATGATTGAAAGCAGCTTAAAGAGAAGCTAATCTATTCCGGGCACAGACTGTTACGCATTTCGACTCATAAAAAGCGAGGATTCAGCTGCAGCTTTCAATTCAATGTAAATTCATGTAGCAAATGGTTGAGATTGATTCTACTTAGCCGGGCTCTATGCTCTTTTTTGGAAATCAATCCGTGGTCAAATGGAGCGTTATGAAAAGCAAAGAGGAACTGCTCTTTGCTTTTCATAACGCTCCATTTGACCACGGATTGTGTCTGGTAAAAAAAGAAGTCGGATTAGCAACTACATTTCTTCAAAAAAGGCTAAAATGATCGGAATTTGTGTAAAACTTGGGTATTTTTTAATTTCAAGGAAAGCAAAACCAGTTGAAGAGAAGGGAAATATGGTAATGAAAAGAGGTAAAAATGCACAAAGCCCTGGTAAGCACGAGTAAGTCTGTTTCTCGAAAAAGTGTCGTAAGAACGTAGAAGAAAAACTAAATTAACCAAAGGACAGTTTTAATAGTACAACACGAAGAGGAACCGGGAACAAAATACGGCAAAAAGCTTCGAGAAGTCGTAACGAAAAAAAGGAAACGGTTTTCAGAAAAGCGAAGAGGGAGGGATCGATTTGTTCTCTTTTTCTCTCATTCAACAAAAAGGGGCGTGAGGGGAGACAGGGCGAAGATTGGGAAGAATCACACGGGAATGTAAAGAGAAAATGAAAGAGAGGTATAAAAGAGAAACATGAAAAGGGAAGGGGAGACTGTGGAGGGGAAACCGGTGGAGATTGAAGGGGGAAAGAGGGGAAATGAAGACCGAAACATGACGACAAGCACAACATACACAAATTAGAGCCACACGAGTCAAGCTCCTCTTCATCGTTATTGACTTGGCAGATCTTGTGATTCATTATTTCATTGATAATTTGAAGAATTAGTATTATGAAGATGGGTGGAAACCCCTCTAAAACCGGAACCGGGCCATAAAATTTTGCATGGTCTTCCTTTCTCTTCAGAGATAAGAAAATGATTTGTTTCTTTACAATATTTAGATGGAAGAACGAAATATACGTACTTAATCATCAATCGATTTTGCAAAGTTCTTGTTTACTTCAATGCAAAAAAAGATATTTGGCGGAAATCGGGTGAGCAAAGAAAGGAGAAATTGAGAAATTTATCGATTTGGTAGAGGAAATAAAATTTTGCAAAATCACTGCCGTACTTATCTTGCTAGCTACCGTTTTCAATAGTTGTTCTCCAAAAAAAAGTCTCCATAGTAATTACCAATACCTAATTGTTCTAAACGTTAATCGTTGAGAAGAATGAAACTCTCAGAAGTCAAACAACAGTGAATTTTGTTCCAATGTTTTGAAAGAGAAAAGTTTCATGAAATTCAAAGAACATCTTTCTGTGAAGAACATCTTTCTGGGTAAAACAATTCTGGTGACGACATTCGAAGTCTTAAGATTATCAAACAACACACAATATTTTTATTTGAATCCTATGGAACTTTAGCTTAAAGTTCAAAAGTTCAACCTTTTGATCATAGAACGTTTTGCTAACCATTGACTATGACGTAACTCATTCACAAAAGACAGAGACCAATGCCGTATGGGTCAGACTCTTCGCAAAATTTCCCGATAAGACGCTGAAATTCAATGAAACAATGATCGATCAATTGAAGAGAAAGAGCAGAAAAACTCACAGAAATCTCCACCAAAATATTTTGAGACTCCATTTTTGGTAAGAGGCAATAAGGGTAGAGATAAAAAGGCGCATGATAAGGAAGAGATTACAAAGAGATGAAAGGTTCAAGAAGAGGTCCGTAACATAATTGTTTAAATAAATCATAATTAGAGTTCTAAGTCTAAAGCTTTGCTCAGCAGGTAAAGCTAGTAAAATTACTCTTGTTTTTTAAAAAGTACTACGGTAAATAGTGAAGTGTTCGCACTAACACTGACAGTTTGCTGACAGAGAAAGACAATAGGAAGTAATCGATTTGGAGAGGAAGTGTCAACTAATGGGTGACCAAATTGGAGGATTTCGATGGGAAAATGGGTGAATCGAGAGAAGAGACAGATCATTTTGGATAGAAATGGAAATTGGGAAAAGGTAGAGTGGGCAGTGGATGGATTGGGGAGAGCAGATTGGCAAACAGACCCCACAACCCTACTCTTCCCTGCCTTTCTCCCTTCTCTCACTCCTGCTTTCTATCCGATCATTCTCGTGTCTCCGAATCGCTCGTCAAGAGAAAGACATGATGTACGGCAAAAAAGTCAGACAAATAGAGAAAAAATGGTTGCAAAGCGTTTTAAGAGATGCGTTTGGCTAAGGAACATCGAACCAAGCGCCAACACACTCGACAACACATTTTTGCACAATCAAGAAGATTCTTGATTTGTTAAGCACAAAGTTAAAAATTGATTGCTGAAACAAGCCCATTTAAAACAAAAAAAAACGTCAGAATGGCAATTCTAACTTGTGAAGGCACGAGATCTGAATGAGGCAAACTTTTAGAAATTTGATAGGGGATTCCCCATCAAGAACTGAAAGACTGGCTGAACTCCAATCCCGATTTTTGAAATAAAAACTTTTTGAAGATTATTAGGAGTAGAAACCAACTGGCTCTAACGTACTTAGTAGCCTTTTGGATCGAATCCGAATCTGATGGATCGAATCCGGATTACATCGGATCGATCCGATTCGATCCGATCCAATAAAAGCCTCTATCGGATTGAATTCGATCTGATCCGAATTTCGAGCGGATAGCAAATCTAGTACTTAGTGCTCAATGTGTGAACGAAATGATGCTGTTCTCTACAAGTGGCCAGAAGTCAGTAATTAGCCATCAAGAATCTGCAAAGAAACCTCGTAGATGAAACCAAAAACTTTGTGCCAAAACGTACCTATCGATTTTTAGTTTCTCTCCCTTCTTTGTCCTTTTTTAGCTGCAGTCACCTGATGCTGATCTCTCTTTTTCATTTCAAAATATCGCTCGAAATACAAATCCGTTCGTAAGTGCGAAAATGTGCTTAATTAACCCGCCGAAATACTTTTGTTGAGATTTCCTCTTTCCTCTAACTCCATTATTAATCGAGATTTCAAATTTCTGATCATGAAGTTTTGTATATTTTCTAACTTTTGGAGTTCCTGTTTTATTTCATCTGTCTAGAAGTCAAATAAACTAATTTTTAGTCGTCGAAAAGTTTCACCTCTTGACTGGGTCAACAGGTGAAAGAGGTTAAATCTTTGAGAATTCATGTATGTAATGTAAAACGTTCGAGGAACGAGTGGTGCTGAAAGAACAAGTCGATTCAACAAAGAATTAGACAAGAAAATAGCATTGTTTTAAAAACTGAGGCTAGTTAGTGAATCTGGTAGTCGATTCTGACCCAAATATTTGGCAATACAACAAGGAAATCCGAAAATTACTCCCCTAAAGAATGGCCTCCGGTGGTTGATCGACTAAGCTTTACTAAGCAACCAATTTCCACCCGTGAATCTCCAAAATTTGCGTATGAAGTTTGTTTCGTTGGTTCGCTGGTGGTGTCTCTCTTTGTGATCTCGGCCACTCTACCAACAGGCACCCACAACCAATCGGAGAATCAAGGGAATCCGTTGATTCTCTCGCTTGCACTCAAGACAAACATCAGCAGCAATAGAAGTTACATAAAGATTTCTTCTAGAAGGATTCTTCTTTGAAGCAAATGCTACTTGTATTCTCGATCATCTAATCATCTTTGGCATAGGGTTATCGTATCGCTTGCAAACAACAAACAACTCTAACAAATCTATCTTTTCTATCACTTTATTTTATTTTTTTGCTTCTACCAGCGCTTCTCAAAATCGGTTTACGATTAATTTTGTAAAACAAAAACATTCAACGTAATTGGAGTCAGCATTCGAGCTCGAAGCCCTTTACAGATTGATTCCTCAAGACTCATAGACCATAAATATCAAGCTTTTGCAAACCCAACCCACCGTACCCCTTTGTAAGTCGTTTGATGGATGGATTGACCGAGGAAGTGGGCGACGTCACACAAAAAAAGAAAGAGATGAGAAAAATGACTGAAAGAGTAGAAAATCGAAATCGTTTGGGTGATTTTTGTCGAAAATAGCCGCACAGAAGACTTTCCGCTCTTGTGGGGAAGAACTTTTCATTCAATTCAAAGAAATGAATGACTGAATGAAAGGCTCAGACTCCATTTGAAGACACATTGGTAGTTTAATGAATGAAATCTACAAAGAAGGTTGGTGTAAGGGACTGTAGACATACTTTTTCTGAAAATCTAGCCTGATGAGTGAAATATCTACCCTTGTTAAATATTGCAAAAAGCTACGCTGGCAAGTTTGGATACTGTACGCCCTACATGGCTACGCTACCTTAAAGGCTCAAAATTGGGTGAAGTAAGTTTCATTTCAACAAACACTTGGTTTTTGGATTTTGAACTTGATGGAAAGAGAAGAGGAATGAAAACTGAATTTTGGCCAACGTGGGTTGATTTTTTGAGAGAAAGAGACAGAAATGAGGGAAAATTGAGCACACCCCTCCCTCCATTCACATCTAAACAAACACAATGAAACGGAAAAGTGAAAAAATGTAATGAAACGGACTTCGGATATTTGGAAAAAAGAGCCTAAAGATCTCCATTAAATGGGAATTTTAGGCCCGATACGGTAGGCATGAAAAGAGAGAGGGGAACTACCAAAAATCTACAATGTTCATGGATAACAGTGTCACTTCAAAGCAGACATTTGCTTGGTTGATTATGGGTAGACAATAGGTTGGAGCTTGAAGCAAATTTAATGAATAATCTAAAGTTTGAATACGGTAATGCTAAGCTATTAGGCTGTTCAGAAAATATTTTCGTTCCTTTCCATACTTCTGTTGAAAAATAACAAATTTCCCAATTAATCTATGTTCTTGCTCTGAATAAAAAGTGTTTATTGTTTAATTGCCCATCTTTTTAAGTCAATTTAGGTTCACTTTCAAGCAAATTCGAGAGTGAAACTACGTTTTGACTACCCTTTTTAACTACTCGACTTCGCGTTCCTAAAAAAATCCAGACATAAGACATTTTAAAACCGTTTTAATGATAATTTGCAGAAAAATAACTAGCCTTTCTAATGAAATAAAACGTAGTTCAATTGGTGTATTTGTTAGCTTTAAACGGAAGTATGAAAAGGAAGGAAAAGCCTTTCTGGATAGCCTAATAGCCAGACAGTACCCTACTCATCATAGCCGATTGTTTTTTTGAGAAACAAAAACATTTTCGAAACGAAACACTCATTTGATATCTTTTCTTTAATAAAATATTGATATAGATGAGAGAAATTGAGTGTGTTTCTTTGGTTGGGATTGACAAGAAACGAAAAAAAGAGAGCGATAAAATTCCCTTTGTGTTTGCAAATCGGAAGATTGGAGAGAAAATGTAGGAGAATGAACGAAAAAGGGAAAAATGAGGGGAATTTCACAAAAGGGAGCATAGAATAGCACAAAATGAGATCTCTTTTCTCTTTCTATTCCAATGAGACAACTGAAGGGGTTTGATATAGAATTTCTCCCTAAATAAGAGAACCGAATTCTTTGGTCTCGTCGGGAATTTCGGAGAATCGAGGGAGACTCGTTCAACGAGATTAAACAAAAATGAACTGGCAAAGAAAATGGAAAAATGATCCAAGAAACACGATAGCATCTAAAGTTGAAAAGGAGCAATTCAATCTCATTTCTGAAATTACTTGGCATGCAATGAACAATGAACAGTTATTTCGAGTTTTACGAGCTCTCTCCAGATTAGTAAGTGTTCAAATGCTCCAGATTAGTAATTTCTCTACTTTGATTGCTTTCTTTTCTTTTTCTTTAGATCAAGAAGGATTCAGTTTTCCAAAATTAACTTTTTGTGATTCTTTGTAGCTTCTTGATCCAACGGTTATGGTAACATTTTTGTAAACGCTGCCAAAGAAAATCACAAAGAGTTAATTTTGGAAAACTGAATCCTTATTTAGATGTTTTAATCAAAAGCAATTTTGGATTGAAGCCTCAAAGATGTCTGAAATACAAATTCAACTTTTAAAATACATAAATGAAATCTACACGTAACTAAATGAACAAAAATCTCAATATTTTCATGTGCAAAAAACGAAAATTGATAGATATTTTGAATGGACTCTTATTTCTGTTATTTCATTGAACTCTTATTTCATTCCACAAAATGCGCTGTCAACAATCAGTGAAAGTCGATATTTTTGATTTCAGTGTTGGGCGATTAAAACGCTCGAGGTGTGAATTGAAAAACTGTGACAAATGGAAGAATGGAATGTGGCAGGGCTAGAGAAAAGTACCACAGTTAGGTATAATTCAAATGCTACTGTATCTTGTATCTACTGGTATAATACCCTCGATCCTTTTTTTGATTTCTTTAAGATGCTTAGACAAGATTAAAGCGATTTCCCCGGATTTCTCAGTACAAAAAACAATAAGAATCTTTTGTTTGTGATTTGAAACCTCAAAAATCTTTGTGGTGTTTTGTATCCCTTTGAAATCTTCAAGATTTTTGATCAGATCAAGCAATTAAAGCCCTATTTTTTAAAGCCCTTTTTTGAAATACGAAAAAGTACTGAAAAATTGGCAATGTTTAGAACGAAACGAAATTGGTCGCCTTTTTTTTTGTGAGACGGATTGATCAAAATAAGTTTTTTGAAGGCAGGATTTCGAAAAAGATGAAACAAACGGATCAAAAATCAGCAAAAAAGGCAGTGCTCTTGAAAAGTTCGCAGATAATGCTGAGGAAAACATCAACAATTCGAGCGAACTATACAAAATGTAGAGTGAAGTTTGTATAAGACTTGAGAGCAATAAGTTCGAGCCTGGATCGGTGACTATCTTTTATAGCAAAATAAATGTTTAAGTATCTTCAGATTTGCAAGTAACTCAATAGGAAATTGAAATTCTTAACGAAAACAAATGTCCGAAAACCTTCAAGGTCTACACATAAAATCTTAAAATGATGACGAATCGATAAGTTCGTTTCCATTTTCCCCCACCCTAACACGCGAATTTTAGTTGAATCTTTGCTCTTTGGGTGAAAACCCTTTTTTTGAAAGGGTTATTCAATAGTCTTTTCAAACATTTTCACGTTTCTTTTCTCTCTGGCGCAGGAGTCATTTGAAAAGAGCTGAACACGCATGGAATCCACGTGTTTGGTGTTGAACTTTCGATGAGAGAATGAGAAGTGTAAGGAGAGGTAAAAGATCGAAAGATAAAAAGAAATCATTAGTAAAAAGAGGAAAAAGGTGGGGATAAGAGGAGACTAGAGATTAAAGGGAGAGACCTGTAGAGTTGCTTGCTAAGGATGAATACAATAAGTACGAAAGTTACGGGGTAACTAAAGGAAAATGCGTTCATAGGTTTTGTCTACACGAAAAAACGTTCTGCAAAAACTAAAGACGAATTCGAGATCCCCATTGCCGACTCTATAAGATGGATTTGGTCTCGAAAAGGCCAGTTTGACTCAGTGCCTTTTCCTTCTTAGTTTTCTGGACTACTTTCTTTTAAAACTAGGCCAAAGAATTAAAAAATGTAAACTTATTGGAGTGAACACATTCTTTTTAACAACCTTCTAGTTGGAAAGCTTTCAAAAGAGCTTCAGAGGGAGAAGACGTCTAAATAATTGAGGTGAGCGGTCCCATAGCAACCCACTTCTATTCACGAAATGGTGATGGAGAAAAAAACAACTAGAGAAAACAGAATTCGAAAAAGTTTGTACAAATAGAATTTCATCACATTTTGTGATTTGTGAATCATTAGTACAATAGCGAAAAACTCACGCACGTCAAGCTAATTGTTTTGGAGAATCTAAGAGTTACATGTTATTCAATAATGAAGTGATTTAGCCCATTCGAAGCTTCTGCAGCGAATAATCGCTCCAGCAAAAACTCAGGAACGGACCGCTACAGCGGTTATTCGCTGCAGCGCTAATTGAACCATTTTCATTCAATTAATTGGTTTTTTTTGATGTTTTTCAGCATTACATGTATATTCCAATCGTAACAGATCTACAAATTACGTGGGCAAAAAAGACGTGTCATATTTACCCGGAATCAATGCAGCCTCTGGTTTTGCATTGAAATGTTCCATAATAGCTCTAATCTTATAAAGCCGATCTCCTGCAGGATCCAGTTCATTATCACAAAAACGCAGGTTTCAAAGAATAGATTCAAATTTTGCTCTTGACATGTGGGAAAATCCTCCTAATCCAGGCCTGCTACGTAGTCACGAATCCTCGGTAATTTGACGATTCCCATTTGAAGATATAGAGCCAGGAAGAGCTCGAAAGATTTTGCATCGAAATCCTGCCAGTTTGTTTTGCTTTTTCCATGTTTATTAGGTTCGCCTACTAACATATTGATTAATTTGTCGTCGATAAAATAAGAATAATAATCAATAGGATCTTGAAAAGTACTGAAGTCAAATCCGAATCTTTCTTCATCAAAAATAAATGTTGTAGAAGACTCTCGTAAATCTTTCCAACCATCTGGATAAAATGCTTCGGAGTCAAAAATGTCAAAAAAGGGCTTGGTCCGCAGACGAAAAAAAAGAAAAAACGCTGCGGTTTCGAATGGGTTAAGAATAAATATTTATTGATCTAAATCACAACCACAAAATCGCACGCACAAACTAAACTCTTAATGTTTTGATGAGGCTTAATTCAGAAGAAATTCCACAAAATCTTATTTATTTTCGAGCAGCTGTACCGACATTAACTCCATCGCATCGGGAAAAAGTGTATGCTCTTTTTCCTGAAAAATTTCAAATTCTATACAGAAATTTTTATAGAAACACGTGGGCGTTCATTTGATTCATTTGTTCATTCAAAAACCCTTTGATTCTTGAAATAGTTCTCAATTTCTGATGGCAAATGTAGGGCAAAAAGGATTAAACCTTAATTCTTTCATGGAGAGTTTCTTCAGTATCTCCAGCTTCTACACGGACCACTTCCTGGGCAATGATCTGGCCAGCATCAACTTCCTCCTAAAATTTAAAAACTAAACTTTAGCTTGATAGCTTGATAAGCTTGATAACTCAAATAGGCACATAATTCTAATTCTTAATTCTTACCACGACGAGATGAGCTGTGCATCCGGTGACTTTGACACCGGCAGCGATGGTTTCTCGAACAGCATGGCCGCCTGAAAGTTTTTGTTTTAACCATTCAAAGACTTTTTTAAACCCCTGAAAGCTGGAAGTAATGCCGGATGAATGTTGATCATTTTGTTCTCCCATTCTTTTACAAATTGCCCAGATAAGATCCGCATGTATCCGGCTAGACAAATCAACTCAACACCATGTAGATGCAAGATCTCAAATTTGATTTAATAAAGTTCAACTTAAGATACTAACCTCCGACATTTTCATATCACCCTCTTCTCGAATTTTTGTATGTGGTACGAAAGCTGTTGTGACTTCTAACTTTTGAGCTATCTCTAGACCCCCGGCATCAGCTATATTCGAGATGACAACTACTACCTAAAAGGTATTGTCGAATTTTGCCTTTAAATGCACAGTTTACTTCTGAATTGCTGCCTGGTTTTTGAGCTCTTTCGATCAACTTTTGCATGTTTGTTCCAGCACCCGAAATGAGTATCCCGACTCTAACTCTTCTCCTTTCCACATAATATTTTGCCAAATCAAATGCATTCTCGAGATTTTGATAGGTGATCAAATCGTCTGAAGCACCTTGTTTACTTATTTGTTGACTTTCTTTTACCAGTGGTTCGTCGAACGACTTTTCCGATCTCATAAACTTTCTCATCACATTTCTTCAATGCGTCTTTCACAGATTGAGCACTTTCCTTTGAAACGACTAGAGTCATTCCAATTCCACAGTTGAAAGTTCTAGAATTTATGTCTTTGTAGCTTCGAACAACTTCTTACTTCAGCATTTCCTTTGTTGTAACAGGTCCCATTGATCCCAGCCAATTGAAAAGCTCATCCTTTGGCCACGAAGAGGCGTCAATGTCCAAAGCCAGTTCAGCCTCTCTGTCAAGAACTCTGATCGCGTTCTCTTTAAATAATCAATTGAAATTCTAATGAGATTCTTACAAAAAGCAATTTTAAGCAAATCCACCTGTAATCCCTCCACCAGTTATATGAGCCGCTCCTTTAATCAATCCACCTCTCATCAAAAGAAGCAACGATCGAACGTAAATCTTAGTTGGAGTCAATAAAACTTGCCCTGGAATACAAGAACTTCCTCCAAACAAAAAATTATTCCTACCAAAGCTTGAATTCCCCCAGGGAACCGTCGCTTTGTAATCAATCTTGTGTGCTTGCAGTATCTTGCGCACAAGTGAGAATCCATTTGAGTGAAGACCGCTAGAGCTGATTCCAAGAACAATATCGCCAACTTGTATTCTAAAAATGTTTATATTTTCATCCACAGAAAAGCAAACTTTGAAGTTTCTGGTAGCTGGGGCCAATCGGGTTGTCGAACTCCAATCGCACATCCAGCAAGATCCCATTGATTTGGCCCATAAACACCAGGCATCTCCGCCGTTTCACCACCTAAAATCGTATTGAAAAGTTAATGAAATGGTCTAAATTTCAAATATACTTTAGGGTAGGAATTGATCTGTTCAAAACTAACCAACGAGAGAACAATCGGCTTGAATGCAAGCTTCCGAGATACTCTTGACTACCTGAAGTAAAACAGCTTACAAAAGTTTAACATCGTGCTTGTTTAATAGCTTGTTTAATAGCTTGTTTAATAGCTTGTTTAGTACCTCTGTAGCGCGTCTTCGATTCAACTTCCCGCAAACAAAATAGTCAAGGAAGGCAACAGGGGCGGCACAATGACACAGAATATCATTCACGCACATTCCTATGAAAAGGTCTTGCAGTTTAATCTATCGAATACGCATCAAGTACAATTGAATAAGCACTATGCATTCTTCCACTTACCAACAACATCATGACCGATTCCCCTGTAATCATCCATCGCATCAGCTATCTCAATCTTAGTACCAACACCATCGATACCAGTGACAATCTGAAAAATAATCTGTAGCTTTGAATAGTTAGATTTTAGTATTATTTAGCATAATGTTCACCTGATTCGCTTTGTCATACTCGGACTTTTGAAGATCGATTATTGCGCCGAAACCACCAATCTGAAAGAAGATTTTCTTTTAAAATTTCCTCTTTGTTTACTTGACTTGTTCCGCTTTTGAGTGTCTCTTGTACAAATCCTTTAATTTCTTCCACAAATTGATTCCCTTCTCGAATATCCACTCCCGAGTCTCCATATGTAAGAGAGTAGTGTGGATTTCTTTAATGATTCTGTTCAAGGAAACTAAAAAGTTCATTTAGGTACCCGATTGGTTTTGTGATCCCAATATCTCTTCGAAAGTATTTCCCTTCAAACTCAATCTGATCACAAACAGACAAAGCTTTTTTTCGTGCTTCTTCCAGTGTTTTTCCCAAAGATGTCACACAAAGGATTCGACCGCCATTTGTGATTACTATAAATGGTTCCATTACGCGATCTTTATAAAGCTGGGTCAGCTGGATCAGCTGGATCAGCAAATCCTGATCAAACTTTATAAAAGACTTACTGTGATTGTCTTTTAAAGCTGTTCCTGCATGAAAAGTTACGGTCTCTTTTGTTTCTAATGGAATGTCTAAAAGAAAAAGCAAACATAAGGTTAACAATGAAAGTTTACTTCTTATTTTGGTTCCCTTGTCACCTTTGGCTGGATAATCTTTAGATGAAAGGACAACTCCACAAGCAAATTCTCTTTTCCAATTAATCATCAAAATGTCAAGTGATCCATGAACGCATGCGTGCAGAATTTGATAGAGATCCGTGTCAAGAAGTCTCATCAAAATCTAGAAATAAAACATGCTTTAGCTTATTTATACTATTAGGGTGGTGCCAAAAGAAACTGCCGATGGGTATCAGCTCTATCAGAAATCATTTATCAGAAACGAGCGATGCTAACGGCATTATTTTTTTAATGTTTTGTTCGCATATTTGTTTGCTATTTATTTCGACATTTGAATTTTTTGGTTGTTGTTTATTTTATTTAAAAATGCTTATATTTTTTATTTAGATCATGGTCGAGCAAAAGTTTGTGCTACGAGCAGCATTACTGTTTAACTTCAAAATTGGAAAGTCTGCTGCCGAATCGCATCGTTCTGTGCTGCTTTCGGAGATGGCAGTTTGTCTCTCAGGCAGTGTCAGACTTGATTTCAACGATTCCGAGAGAGAGACGAGACCTTGGAAGATTACGAGCACGGTTCGAGGACAGAAGTCGTGAACGAAGCCAAGCTGAGGGACGTTATTCAGGCCGATCCATGCCAATCTGCTCGAGATCTTGCGAAAATATTCCATTGTGATGATGTCACCATCGAACGCCATCTTTCTTTTGAATTTACCTTCAAATCAGCAGTTTCTTTTGCACCACTCTAATATTAAACGATATTTTAGATTGAGATTTTGGAGAGTAAAGTTTTATGCCTTCTCACCTCGGTTTCAGGGTCACCAAATCGACAATTGTACTCGAGAATGTATGGTCCTTTTGAAGTGATCATAAACCCCGCGTACAAAACGCCTAAATTGATCAGTGGATCGATGGACCGATGATTTCGAGCCTCACCTTTATAAAACATTCGTTGTTTTTGTAATCCCTTGATAGTATTGATGAGATATTCGGATATTTGCTCGTCAATCACTTTTGGAACCGACACAGGACCGATCGCACCCATTCCTAGAAAAGTCTCATTCCTATGTATTGCTGATTGGTTTATTATCAAACCTCCAGTATTTGGTCCTGCATCATTTTCAAGAAGTCTCTTGTAATCTCTAACCAAAGGCATTCTAGAGATAGTGGCCCCATCAGCAAAACAGAGCGCCTAAAATGTTGTAGTAAAGCTAATCTGAAAACAGCTTCAAATACAACTCACGGAAACTTCATAACCATCCAATCGCTCTTCCAAGATGATTTTAGAACCACTTGAACCAAACTCTCCCTAGATTAAACCTTGTTATTGTTTGTTGACTTATTTCTCCAAAATATTGTCTAAAGGTTTACCTGCAGCATATTCTTCGCAGCTTCTTTTGCTTCTTCTTTACTCGAGCACACAATCACCCCTTTCCCAGCCGCCAATCCATCCGCTTTAACCACAATTCCATCCCAATTACAACTGAACTTTTACTTTTATCTAATAGCTTGTACAATCTTACCTTTCAATAAATTTACTAGCTTCTTCAAGGTCTTCAAATTCACCATAAAGTGCAGTTGGCAAATCAATCTCGCGCATGAACTTTTTTGCAAAAGATTTCGAAATCTAGAAATGAACTTTGTAGAATTTGCAAATCTAGATACCTCCAACATAGCAGCATCTTGAGTAGGGCCAAAAACAGCGATCCGACCTTGAAGACGATCAACAAGTCCTTTTGCAAGGGGAATCTCTGGACCGATCACAACCATTTCAATTCCTTCAAGGGCACAAAAGGCAAGAATTGCTTCTGGATCATCAATGTCAAGGTCTGAAAAACAAACTGAAGATTTTTAGTTGCAAAGAATGGATTCGGCCTGACTAGAGCATTGGCAAGAATTGAATTCTTGAATACCTACTTGAATTGTTGTACTTGAATTGTTGTATTCTCATTCCCACTTACCAACAAATCCGAACGGGCTTCCATTCCCTGGAACGATTCTCACTTTGTTCACACTTTCACTCTGTAACAATTTCCATGCCAAAGCATGCTCTCTCCCGCCAGATCCAATAATCAAAACTCCACTCATTCTGAAAAAATATAAAAATTATTTGGAAATTCTAAAAAGTAAAAATCTATTTTTGTGTAAATAACGACGAAACAAGTCGATAGAAAGAGGTTGTTTGTGTGTATGCAAAAGTGCAGCGTGAAAAGTGAAAAAGAAAGGCAAAGCGCAAAAGGAGCTAAGCGAACATTTTTGGGGATCAACAACAAATGAAAAACTTTATTATAAGACAGAAAACATACTTAGAAAAGGGAAAGAAAATTGGGAAATGAAGCTATTTGAGGGAAGGAAACAGCTTTTGTTTCCTTGTTTTAAATTGATAACTTTGAAACTCTGAAAGTAAACTTTGAATTGTTAGCAAAATCTAAACTCTCATTCCAACTTTGCTGCTATTTGAGGGAAATGAACTGGATCTAAAACTGGTCAAAGGCAAAGCGCAAAGGGAGCTAAGTGAAGCTAGAAAGTAGAAAATGCTTGGACATTTGTTTAAACAGCTCAGAAAAGAAATGACGATCTGATGAATGATTACTTGGATTGATAACACTCACCTCTCTTTCCCTCTCTTTCCCCTTCTTTCCCTTTCTTTCCCTCTCTTTCCCTCTCTTTCTTCATATGGTTGGGTTATCCCTCTCTTTTTCAATGAAAATCCTCGAACAATCGCTGTTTCCAAAGATCAAAGATCAAAAATTAGCAAATATTATTCATTTGGCTTTAGAAGCGATTTGTTTCCTGGCGATTCGTACTTGTATTTAAACTTGACCGTGGTTGATAACTTGTGTGTCTTGAATGTGATCAAAACAACAAAATTTTATTGATACAAACAATAATTCACTCAGTGGAAAATGAATAAAAAAAGGTCACAAATGAAGAAAAAGGCCGCCTTATATAGCCGAAATGTCACCGTGTCTTATCTTGTACAGTAGGACAAGACAGAAAAGGACACTCTAGCAAACAATGACTCGTAAATAGGTGATTGTAGATTCAACATATGGCAAATTGATTTAGTTACTCTTTCTTGAGAAGAGTTTTATTTTTTGTTGAATTTGGTGACGTTTTCATAAAATAAAAAACTGATTATTGGGACTGTTTTTCAATTTCCAAAAGCAATATTGAATAGCTTCAACATGGAAAGCGCATTTTAATGCATATGAAAGCTTTCAATCAAAATCAATCAGTCAAAAGCGTGTTAAATTGATTCTCGACTCGATTCGTATGCGAATCGATTTCATTTCAATGTCCGTCACGACTTTTATTCAGAGGTTGAGTTTTTAGTTTTAGATTTGCATCCAAACTCAAGTAATCTTTTGAAACTCAATCTTTAGACGTTTCCATTTTGGACAACTTCCCTTTCTGACATTTCTTGTTGCTTGTTTGTTATGTGCAATCATTTATCTTCAACTTCAAAGAGTCAAACAACAACATCAAACAATCAACCAAAGGGTATATTCTTAAAGATTAAAGATATTTAAATAAGAATAAAGAAATAAGCTCCGAATTCTGCTGACTGACATTTCAGGTTGATTTCCTTCGACATCGGGAAGACTCAGCTTTCGAAAAAACCCAAGATTTTATTGTTTGTAATTTATTTTTAATTTTTCATTGTCATTTAGAAAAGAAATCAAGAACATTACAAAATGGTGATATATGAAGAGAAATTTTGTCCTCATAATGGCAGCTGTGATCTGATAAAACCATTCATTCACTATGAGAGCCGACAAATGGTAAAATTCATTTTTAGAAACCCCATTAGAGAAAACTTTAGTTGGCTCCATCATACGGTGTCTCGGCTTGTGTCATCTACAAGAATTTCTCCACCGTTCTCACTTCAATCATTTGCTATTTATACGACATCTTGAGATATCAAGAAAAGGTCAAAGAAATGATGAAGGACACATACAATCATAGGTAAAAGAGTACTGTTGAGCTTTTGCTTGACTAAGTGCAGAAAAGTAGCTCTTTTCTGCACAGCATTGTTCTTTTTACAGCAAAAACAAAACCTTTGAGAGAAAAGAAACTCTTTTTAGACTTTGCATGAAAGACAACGAATATCACAGCTTCAATATTCGAGATCGAATGACTCCAAAAACTGCTGAAAAATGGACAAACTATCTAATAGTGAGAGAACCGTTGGAAAGATTCATTTCTGGTTTTGTGAACAAATGCATACTGTAAGTATTAGGCTGTTCAGAAAGTCTTTTCGTTAAAACAGTAGATTAAAATAGTAGACGATTGTAGTGATGTTGTGAACCGCGACAAGCCATGTTATGGATGTGACGAGAATATCACTTGTGTAATGGAAAAACAATATCAAAGTTTGAAGACCATGTCCAATAATAACAAAGCTGCGAGGTATCGTAGTTTTCAGCTATGAAACACCTTTAGGATAATGTCCAACTTTATTAAGCACAAACTTTTCATCACAATTTCAGGAAACACACGGTTGAGGATGCCCATTTTGGCCCACAATCTTGGTAATTTCCTTCAATTTGTTTAATCAAACGTTTGATAAAAACTTTATCTTAAAATTTAGGCATTGCGAATTAAGAGCTCATTATTTGGATTACAAAATTCTTCAATACTCGCCAGCAAAAACTGAAGAACTTTTGGAGGAATTATTAACAGATTTCGAGGAATTCGGGGTTCCCTTGAGTGTCACCGATGATATCAGAGAACAGGTGAGAAAAATGAGAAGAAAATCATTGTTCAAGCACATTTTATCATCATTTGTTGCAGGTTCTTGGCGGAAAAACATTTCATGCAACTTTTGACACTCCTGAAAGAATTCATTACACAAAAGTGGTTGAAGAAAGCCCATATCTCAAAGAATTACTTGTGAAAATGTTTTACTATGATTATGTGTTTTTCGATTTTCCCTTGCCAGTGTTAGAAATTGACAAGACTTCTGATAGTTAAATGTTAAGGTTTTTTTGTTGTTATTGAAGTTTAATAAACTAAATGCTAGAAGCAACACACTTTCTGTGCTATAAGCAATGCTACAAGCAACACACGAGTCTTGTTTTCGATCGAAGAAAACTGAATACTCTTCCAATGCTAATCCTCGATTCGAATCGCCAACTTCTCCTTGACTTCGTTGATATTTGGGTGGGTCTCCAAAAGAGGTCCTTGAAAGAAAGAAAAGCAACGAAGCGAGTCTCCATCTTCCTCCTCTTTTCCACTTCTTTTTGTGCTCTCAATTGAAAGAAGAGGCGATACTGTAGTGTTTGTGTTTCACACGATTCCCTCCCTTTTCACTTCAATCCATTCTCTTTCGATTCGTCTATCAAAAGTGATTGTGATTTCTCTTTTTCACTCTAATCGGGTCCCACTTCTCCTCGCTTTTCTTTCATCTGAACGGGGAAAACGAGAATTGAGAGGTACTATCAACTTTCGTTGAAGAGTATTGGGAAAGTTTCGAAAGGATTGAGTTCTGAAACTCGTCTTGGAAAAGAGACTCTAGACTTAAATAAATGAATAAAATAAATCCTTTCAGTGAATTAAGCAAGTCCTAAGTAATAAGAAGGATAAAGCCAAATTCTGGTTATGTCAAAATGATATGTGTGGATGAAATGCGATTTAAAATTCAAACCTGGTATAGAATGAAAGGCTTGAGAAGATAGAAATGGATCAGATTTCATGCATTGAGGCAAAATTGAGAAGAAAAAGATGATCATTGACTACTAAAATCCTTTATTTGTCCAAAGTCTTTGCATAATGACTCAATTGAGAAGGGAAATTGAAGATTCCATGTACGCAAAACAGCTTTTGTTTTCTTTTTTTAAACTCATAGTGAGTAAACTTTGAATTGTTAGCAAAATCTAAACTCTCATCCCAACTTGATGCATTCCTTCATTTAAATTTCACTCAAAACAAGCTCAATCCACATTTCCCAACATAAAACCTGTAACAAGTTGATAGTTGTCCATCATTTTGCTTCTATTAGGTTAAGGCAACCAAATACTTGATTTTACATATGATATACTATCCAAAATGTGATTTAATGAGTGACCAAGTGCTTATGCAATTGCATTGACTCTTTCCCTTTCCTTTCCCGTTGTCCTTAAAGTGATCCCCTCAATTGACAGAGTCGATGTGTGAGACTAAGCCATCAAGTAAATATTGTCTCTATCCGATCCGAAGGAGAGTTGAATGAGAGAGCATCAATGGAGAGCTCATGCTAATGCGCAATCCTCTTCGATTTGAGTGAAATGAGAAGATCATTTACCCTCATCTTCGATAAAGTTGTAGGACTTTTGCTTGCATTGTCTTGCTTTCAAGAATTTTGTCATAAACCTGCCCTTCATACATTTACCGTACTCTTATTTTGGAGTTGGGATATCTAAAGTATCATATAAACTATTTCTAGTTGTTTTTCTCAAAGTTTCACTATCTTTTATTAGCGTTACGGTGTGCTCTTCAACGAATCGTGACGATTGGGTGTCTTTATGGGAGAGAGCTCCGCCCTTCTCTCTTCTCCTATTCTCTTCTCTATCAATCATTGAAGCTATTTCTTTGAAACAATTGCATTTTGGTGGATGAATAAAAAGCCCATCATGTTTCTCGATTTCATCTAATAATAGTTGTTTACTTACTCGCAACTAACAGTTTTATCTCTTGGCTTGCCTTACTGTATCTACCATTTCTACCAAAGCATTTTGTCATTTAATGTTGAAATTTTTAATGTTATCATTACAGCGTTATCATCGCTTTTAGATTTCAAATGGATATGGTATTGGGTGGTCTTCCTTTCCCATTTCCGTCAAGTCGAATCGAACGAGAGAGAAAACCAAAATGTGCTCGTTGTAGGAATCACGGATTTGTTTCATGGCTCAAAGGACACAAACGGCACTGTAAATTCAAGTCAGTCTTGAGTTTGAAAAAGCTGAAGTTAAAAAAATGAACATTCGCTAACTGAATTTCGTTGTTTCTCTAGATTACGGTAGTTCGTATGATGATTATTGACACCTGACTATACAATGACATTCATTATCATATTGGCTGAACAAATAGAGATCGTTTCGTTTTCGCACCTAGCTGGCCTACACAACAAAATTGTCAGATTCAAAACGAATAATTGATGTGATGAAAAAGAAGAATGTTTAGAGATTGTGGTTGTGAGAAATGTTGTTTGATCGTGGAAAGACAACGAGTTATGGCGGCACAAGTCGCTTTGAAAAGAAAACAAGCTGCTGAGGATGCGATTGCTTTAGGTTTGAGATTAGAAAACTTGGATTGTTTTCAAACAAAACATAGCTACATATTGTTGCTTATCAAACTCTAGTTTAGTTGATACTTAATATATCTACTATTGGGTTGGGGAGTATGAATGGCATTTTTCAAACTTCTATAACATCGCGTAGCCTTTATCAAATGACACGCGAGTAGTATCATTAGAAATGCCACTTATTTCTCTACAAAATCATATTTGAAATAGCTCTCAAAAGGCGCCGCAATTCAATAAAACATCAGTTTTTTCAGAAAATCTATAAATTGTTATTTAGAGAACATGAGTAACAAGATCACTACAAAAATCTGACTACTTATGTAAATAAATGTGCTCTAACTGACATCAAGTTAAGTTTATGTGTAAGAAACGATTCAAACGACGAACTGGACTTGTCATTTTGACTGGTTGCGTTTAGGAGCCCATAAAATCCATAAAACAAAAGCTTTTCGGAATCTCTCAAAAGCCATTTTGTAGAGTAATGATAGACCTTTTTGATTATACAAATCGTAGATTATATGGAGCTTTTATGTGTTCCAAAAAAATTTTTGAAAGTCGGCACCGTCTCATACTCCCCAATCCAATCTAGGGACTTCAAAGAGAACTTTTAAATATTTGCACATCAAACGAATGTGCAAGAAATTGTTGGAGTTTGGATGGAATAGGTAGAGAGGCAACCCATTTGTCTTCAACCAATTCGCATACTTTTTTGGCTTTTCGTAGAGCATATCGTGCATGAGCTTCAAGAGTCGCCACTGATGAGATTTCGTTCAGATCTTTTTGTTGCTAAATAGTGATGTGTAACACCAGGAAAGGCCAGTCTATTTGTTTTCTGGAGTAGATAAGCTTATAGGCTTAGGCTCATTTGAAATAAAAATAAAAAATTGAGTGGCACTACGGGGGATCGAATCGGGTTGTATGGGCCGTAGAAAAGCGTGCTCCCGACTGCTCCACGGCGACAAAAAGTGCACCGATTCAGAACATATTTTTCCTATTTTTCAGGACTTCGTGTAGTGGCCGGTCAATCAATCAATCGTCTTCCACAAGGGCCCGTTTGGCTTGATAATGAAGATGAGGAGCTAGAAATGGCTGGTTAGTTGCAAAAAGAAAACAAGACTACGACTAGTATGAACAAGACATTTTTAGATACAGAGGCTTTGGATGACAGCAAAAGTGACGGTCCATCCGAGACCCCAAATCCGATCGATTTGGAGAAAGAGGGCACAGATACATCAGAAGAGATCAGTCCACCCCCGTTGAAGAAGAAATCAATAGGTAGAACAATTACTAACTAAAAACGATCCAGGTCATCAATACCAACCAAAATAAATCAAAGTTCTTTAGTTTCTAAAGAGGTGAAAAAGGAACGTCCAAAGCAAGGAAGAATCAACCCGATCGAATTGTTGTCCGTTTTGTTTGAAGATCAAGAGAGAAGGGTGTTGGAGTTAGTTCTTGAAGGTAAGTACGATAAAATGATGAATATTTGAAGTTATTCCTTTAACTTATAACTTTAGGTTGTGCTGGCGATGTGCTGCAAGCTATTGAGCATTTTGTAAGCGCAAAGAAGTTTAAAGCTGAGCCATCTGGGAGCACTACATCGACGCCAAGTGTGCAAGCACCACATCATCCGCAGGTTGGTTATAAAACTCCCTTCTTTTCTTCTTCTTGGTTATATAACTCCCTTCTTTCACAATTTTTTCAACAATATAAGCAGGGAAACTAATAAATGCCTGTATCAAATAGTTTTTTATTCCAGTTACCGGACTTCTCTCCACTCCTTCCCCGCACTCCATCAGGTCCATTCTCAATGGAAGCCCTCCTCGGTGCATCTTCCTTAAATCCTTTCCTCACTCGTCCTTCCTCATTCTCCGCACTTCAATGGCCTCTTTTCCCATTTTCATCCCTCAATCCATTAGATCTCTCTCGATTCACACAAATGAATACTGATAATTGTAGCAGTAAATCGACAAGTCCAAATACAAGTTATTGAGCTTCAATCGAACCTTGAATCCTTTTAGTTCTTATGGAGACATTGTCCTTCATCACAAAATATCTAGCGAGATTCTTTTTTTTACCCGGATTCACTTTCCCAAGGTTATGCATATCGTGAAATTGTTTATTTTTATGTTTTACTTCTGTCACATTGGGATATTTATTTGGTTGTGTCTTGGATTTTTGTTGGAAGATGCTTTTTGTACAATAAAGTATGGAGTTCAGGTTTTAAACCAAAGCACGTGATAGTCTAATAACTTTTTGATCAAAGAAAAAGTCTCATTCAAGTTGCAAAGTTAAATGGAAAGCTTTTCGGGACATATACAATGCTTGAGACGAGCATCTGGATCGACCGGAAGAGATCGCTTCTCTTCCCTCCTCCTCTCAGTCTTTTCTTCTCATCTTTTGTTTCTTCTCAACTCCAATATCCATGATCTTTTTCCATATCCAAAAAGCTCATTTGAAATATAAACGAAGTCGCGAATTTTGACAGGAAATTGCGATCTTCGAGAGAGTGAAAAGAGATCAGATTTCTTTGCTCATTTAAAAGTTGATTCTACAATTTCTAGGCTTTCTAGGCTATTGAGAAAATAAAATAAAATAAAATGCATTTCTAACTTTGTTAAACAATTGTAGAAGTTTGGTTTTTTTCTAAATATTACTCAACCAATCGAGAGGCACTTGAGGACCGGATAAGGCGCAAAAAGTGAGGCGTGGGTATTGGTGTTAGGTGGATGACGCAAGAGTTGTCATCACCAACGATGACTGAAAGAGAAGTAAAGTTGATACACTGGCAATGAAATAAGCAATACAAAGCAAAACAAATCAGAGGAATTTATTGGTTTGGTAGCATTTTAAAAGTTAACATTCAAAATAACATTTAAAAGTTAGCATTCAAAGTTAACAAAGTTAATTGGCAATTTTTTGGCATTTTCAAGCTTTTACAATTACAATTTTACAAAGTGATCCCATTATTCCAGAGAAAACACCCATTGTCATCAGGTGTTGGCCATTGCCATCAGGTATTGGCCATTGCCATCAGGTGTTGGCCATTGCCATCAGGTGTTGGCCATTGCGAAGTGCTAATTGTAAGACTATCTAAAGGTTTCTAGATTTCTAAAATGCTTTTCACTCTCGCTTAACAAAATTGGTGTAAGGCCAGGTGTTGTTCATTCGAAAACCAATATTTTGAAAGTCAAAACAAAATTTATGATGCCTTCCAGAAAGGAAAAATATAAGAAAAGCTTTCAAAAAAATTACTCCAAATTGGGTTTGACAATTTTGTGATGAAAAGGAGAGCATTTTTGTGGTCACGAAAACTCGCCCACTGTCCTCCATTCCATTGCTTTCTGAATCATAAATTTTGTTGTCAGTCACAAAATCTTAAAATCCACCTATCTGGAATTGTAATTTATCTTTGAACAAAGCTGAAAGATTTATAGACATTTCCATTAGAGTCACGAAATTTCTCCATTTTGACCTTTTAACAAAAATTGATAAAATTTCAGTTTTAGTTGTTTTCAACTTTTTTTATCTTATTCTATCCTTGAATATTTTAAAATCGGCAATTTTTAAAAACAAAGAGAATTAGAGAATTTATGAACCAACTTGCAGAAAATTTTCGTTTTTTTGTTCTTTTCTGGGGAAGTTGAAAAACGAGTATTAATTCAAATGGTAATTGGAGGAAATTCGAAATTTTTCTTGCTTTTTGATGTTCTTTGTTGTGTGCTTTTAATTTTAGTTAATTCTCCCATTTAAAGTTAAAAAAATTGTTTTCAATTTTCTGGTTATTTCAATGGAGTTCAAACTTGAACTTTTCTAGAACACATCCGAGCATTCACCCGTATTTGGAAAGAAAACTAACAGCGAACGGCTGCAGCAGTCCACAAATATGTCCCAGTTTATGATAGATGTAAGTTTGAAGTTAAAGATTGTTACTACTTGTCCAGAAAGTCTTTTCTTTCCTTTTCGTACTTCCGTTTAAAACCAATGCACCAATTGAACATGCACCAATTGAACGAAAAGACTTTTTGAAGAGCCCAATATTTAGCTCTATGAATGGCTCCATCCGGGAACCGTTGAAAAGATTGATATCGCTTGTGCAGACACAAATTGGAATGGTTACCTCAATGTAACCAATATTCCATTGGGTAAACTGAAATAACTGGTAAACTGTCTCTTTATTTTTGTCTCTTTCTTTAGGTCTAACTTATCTTTTAACTGGAATCACCTATGAAGCTCTCTATTTGCCGTGTATGATCATCATGGCTCGGCCAAAGTTTTTTGGGATGACTTGTTACAAAATCTTGTGAGGAGAGGGAATTTTATAGGACTCATAGTCAAAAGTTTCCAGGTTTGCAATGGGAATTGTAGATATGGTGAGCGTTGTGCCAAATTCGATTTTTGCCGGTCAGTTTGAAATTTTAAGGCGTTTAATCTTTGATTTCCGTTTAGACTATTTACAAACTAAACTATTAAACGTTTAAACTATTCCTAAAACAAGATTAAAGGCTACTATCTGCTTGTCGGTGGATCAATGTGCAACTATATGGCCTCAAATATGTGGGGAGGACACATTGCATACGGTATAGTGGACCTAATATTAACACTTATTGTTTCAGCAATGTGGTGTGCTTATTGTCTTTTCGGCATCATTCTTGGACTCAATCGATGTCTCGACTTTCTTGCTCCATCACTTGGAGAAGTGGGGGGACTCTATTTTCAAATCAAATCCACAACAAGTCTCATTTCAGGATCTCTTTTCTGGCCGGCGTCTTGGTGCGATTATTTCTCTTCCATTTCTCTTTTTCACCGGTGTTCTCGTCTTCGATTATGGTCCATTTTTCCATCCTTATTTAGCCGCTTATTTCTTCGATGTGAATCCATTCCAACCAAAAGAGGTGATCGTTTTATTCTTCTTTATAAGTTAGAAATGAGATTCAATTTCAGAAACGACCAGTTCATATGCTCAATAATTTTGGTGTAACGGTGATCGTTCTTGTTTTAAATTGCATCATGCTGTGGTCGATGATACAGATGACACGCAGAACAACACAAGGCGTATCCACGCTACAGAAAGTGGTAAGGTGAAACGAAAAAACAATGACTATTCTATTTGCAATGACTATTTTGCAGATTGTTCTTCAATGTCTTGCTATCTGCACAATTATGATCATTGCTTCTGGTATCTATGCTACAATGCAACTGATCACTCTTCCAATAATCTTCACTGTTATTTCAACGATGATGTGGCAATTCTCGAACGGTAGCACAAGATTTCAATAATGAATCAAGATCAAGAATCAATAATGAAATTATTTCAGGATCAAATGCAATTTTCTACTTGCTTGTGAATCGTTCAATGAGACGTGAGGTGATCAATCTGATCAAATGGACGCTTTGCATGAAAATTGAGGAACAGGGATCACTGGGAAAGAGCTCGAGTAAGTCGTAGTTAAGTTATAGATTTCATTGAGTAGCTAACAGCTTAACACGAATCATTTTAGTGTCAAAACAACACATAATTGGAAATGAGAAAAGATCAGTGACAAAAACCGAAGACTCACGCACCGAATTGTTGACACCACCGGAGAAGAAAGATATCGATTTCATCTTGTAAACAGTGTGTACTTGTGGACTTTTTGCCATTTTTTGTATATTACTTGTATCTCATCCAACATCATTTCTGATCTCATCCAATGCTTTTTCTATTTAATTTTTATTTACAAATCTCGATACCCGTAATAAATAACTCATCATCAATATGCTCTGGCAAAAACATTAAAAATAAAACAGCGAAAACCCATCATATGGACATCATAAAAGAGGAAATATTAGGTTGAGGGAAAAAATGCGCGTTGGATTTCCATTGGGGAATTAAAATTGACTTCTTCTCAACACTCACGACTCGCGATGTTGATTAGAAGACAATTGACAACCATTTGCACCAACTCGAGAAAAAATTGATTGAAAAATTGAATGGAAAATGAGTCCCGCACGAGCTGACTCAAAACAGCAAAACAACTAATGGCAACGTCAGCTCTGCTCCATAAATGCGAAGCTGGTTGCTTTTGGGATTCGATTTGGACATCTGATATCACTTGGATTAATTATGAGAATGGCAAAAAGGAAGAACGAATGGCTATCTACCGGACAAACCTCTCAAACCACTCCCAAACTTGATATTCATGGAAAGAAAATAAGCTGTTGCTGGTGGAACTCAAAAGGTTTGGTGCACTATGAATTAGCTAATCCACAACATTGATGCTGTTCTCTATTCAAAATAATTGACTAGAATTAGCGATGTTTTAAAGAAATTGGGGCTCAATCCATTAAAGGTTCGATTTTTGCACGACACCCCACACTGCAAAAGTCATGCACAAAAATTTGACGAGCTAGACTGAAAGTTGCTTCCTGTACCTTACTCTCCTGGCTCAGCCCCGTCAGATCACTTTTTGTTGCTGTCCCCGAAATAGTTTATCATGGGGGAAAAGCTCGACGATGATGCTCAAGTCAAAAAAGCGGTCGACAACTATTTTGACTCAAAAAATCCACAGTTTTGCACAAATGGAACCAAGAACTTAGGTATTTGGGAAGAAGTTATCAATAAAAATGGAGAATACCTTACTGATTTATAGTTGCAATTTCTTGTAGAATGCAATAAATTGTTACACTCGAAAAACGCTCATTATTTTTCCCTCAACCTAATAAATTAAATGATAAAATATTCTAAGTTGATATGGAGATCACAACAGGTACATGACATCCTGTGGTCACATCCAATAAAGCATGAGCCACAAGAGAACTTTTTCGTCTCACAAACATTTCTTTGTCGATTTTCGCGGAACATTGTGTGCCTCGAGAACTCCGCTGAGGCTCGTGAGTTGGAGAATTATCTGAAATATCTGTGATTGAATTTTCTGAAATATCTGATTGACTTTAGACTTTAGACTTTTGAAAGAAAGACTTTTTATCTCACCTTCAGGATCAGAATCGGCCAAAAGCTGCATATCATCAAATAGTGGATCAAACGTAATAGTGCTATCAAAATCGCATTGAATACCCGTATCCTTTGTGCCGCTGAAAAGAAGAATTGTATAAAGCTTGGAGTTTTGTGGAATCCATTTCAAAGATGAACTTATTACCTGAACAAATTGCACTACAAAAACAAGAACTACAGATTTGATATTTTGAAAGACAGAATTTTATCCCCAAAAAAACGTACCCAATTATCGTGCACGTATTCGGGTTATCACATTGAAGAACAGTTCTAGAAAACGAACAGAATGAAATCGGGGTTTTCTTTGTAAAATGTAAATGAAGTGAAAATAAATAACTTCATTTTAAATACAAAAAGGCAAACCTTTTATCAGAATGAGAAAGAATAGTATTGATACATTTGGTGATAAGTACAGTATAACTGAATGACTGAATGAGCACATGCACTACGACGAATAGAGCAAGCCGTTGAAACTGGAACAAGAAGGCGACCTGAACAAAGAAAAAATGGAAATGGTTTACAGACATGAATACGGTAGTTGATTTTGGTGTTAAAACTAAAGGAAGCAGTGCTCAAGCGATAGTTGGAGAGAGATTCAGAAAGCTAAAGCATTGTGCAGATATGGAGCTGATTATTGCCGAACAAAGCCATCATTCAACTTAATTTGTTATTGCTCATTGTTGTTTTTACAATAACTCAACATGGGGAACATACCGTAAATACTGTAATAGTACCCCACCCCCATAATGACGGTGCGAAGCGTTGCGTAGTCTAGCTTTGGAGGCGTTTTTCTCGACACTGGTTTATGCTACAATGCTCGCTTAAGTATCAAAAAATAGCCCTGAATTTCAGCTATTTTTTGATATCTAAGCGCGCTTTGTAGCATAAACCAGTGTCGAGAAAAACTCGTTCAAAGCTAGACTAAGCAAAAATCCCTCAATAGCCCTCAATTTCAGCTATTTTTTGATACCAAAGACGCATTTTTTGAAAGTACGGGTGCTTTGAAAAAAATGAATTACTAAAAAACTTTTGCGACTACGCGTCTGTACGAGGGCGGTGGGGTCCAATTACACTATTTACGGTAGGTAATAAGCCATGCTTTCAGTCTGATTACTCTACTGTTTACAGGCGGGTAGCAGAGCGGATTTAGTTTAGCTCAACTAAGCTAGTCGCAACCCAAGCAATTCTTGATAAGCAGGTATCAATGTTTAGCTAGTTTGCAATTGAAGTTTAATTCAATGAATATTACATTCACCAATTTCATTGTGCAAATAAAAAAACAAGCATTTGCTAATACCCAGATAAGCATTTCCTTCTGCTTCAAATGAGGTTTTGCAGCCATTCAATTTAATTGGGATTTCAGCCATTCAATTGGTATTTCAACCATTCAGCCACTTAATCTTTCTCTTTTAGCTTATTGTTTATAATTGTGCAAAGATAGTCAGAAGTTGAATCTTTCAAAAACATTGAAACTAACCGTCTCGTATCGTTGAGATAACTTGTCTCCAATTGAAGTGAGCTATCGTCTCTTTTTCTCTTTTTGCAGAATATTGAGAAAAGATTTTTGAAAAATCGAGTTATACACATTTGATTGACAACCTGAAACAAGTTATCAAAATCAAAATAAATTCTTTCTTTTCAACCTCTCGAAATTGTTGAGACATTCCACAATAAATCGCAAATCGAAATGGGTATGAGATTACAATGAGGACATTTCTGAAAACGAGGAAAGTAGAGGGTTCTCTCCACAGAACATCCATTCTTTATGATTCCCTTATTCTTGTTTCTATACAATTTCCCCAGTAGCTGTCATCCCTCAAAATTTGATTTCATTTACTCATACTTTTTGTTTGATTTTTTTGTGTGAGGATGAGGGCAGAGTGAAGAGAAATCATTGCATCTAATCTCTTTTTTTTTCTTCACCACTCTTTGGGTCTTCTCTCCAACACCGACGAAATGGATACGAAAACTCTTTCTCAACTCCGGATGAGATAAAGAGAGGCACAAAACGGCTTAGTTTATTTTTGAATTTCTTGGTTAACTTGAATTTTTGAGCCTTCGGAGAGCACCTAGGGTTTTGTTAATCCCAGTCTAGAGATGAGAGATTAAATGGAAATTTGGTCATAAGAGCACTGTTGTTTCTTAAAGGCTAGAATCCAGACATCCAGGCAAATCCTTCCAGGCAAAACAAAGGTTAGTAGACAAGTTTAAACTACGGCTTATGAAAAGTTGATATTTTTGTATTCATATTTCTTTCTTATCATTCCTATTAAGACTACGAAGCGGTCGAGGTTCATTTTCTTTCCAGAGCTTTCCAGAGCTTTCCAGAGCAACAAGTATCTCTTTAAAATCTATTCCTTTATTTCCCTTTCGTCATCTCATTATTTCCCGTCCCCCACATTCCTTCCTATAACCAAATTCTCCTTTCACCTACCGCAGCCGTTCCTCATCATTGAAAGAATCTTTTCCCCGGATTTATTCTCCCCAACTTTGAGTCTTCTCTGATATTCTCTTTTTTCTTTTTCCATTCAACCAAATGTAATTTCATCTCCATTTCTCTTTTCTTATTCTTTCAGAAAAACACAGCTGATTTCCCGGAAAACGTTTTTTGAATGGGGTTTTTGTTTGAGAAAACCTAAACGTTCAACAAATATTGGTTCAAATGATTTGTGTTTTTTTGGGTTTTTTTTGAGAAAACCTAAACGGTGTTTGAGAAAACCGAAATTGGAAACGTATAGCCTAGCTGGTTTATAATACAATGGAAACGTATAGCCCAGCTGGTTTATCATACAATGTTTCTATTATAGCAAGTGATAAACAACCGTAGATGATGTTAACTTTAAAAGCCAATATTACCTGACAATGAGTGATGTGTTGAGCATTTGGTAATTTGTTTTGCTGAAATTGAAAGAAACGGAGAGAACATGAACGGTGAAAATCATTGCGGCTGGGATCTCAGTGATGAGGAATAAAAAGATCACCACCAACAACATTCGAGTATTCTAAAAATACATTGAAGTAGCGACTTTGCCTCTATTTCACTCACTTGTTTCAGTCCTTGTACCCGTTTTGGTTCATTATTTTTCTTGTATAGCTTCGACATTTTCCTCACAAGACTATCCGTGGCCAACGTCGATCTAAACAACGATTAAAAAGATTTTTAAGAGATAATTTGCTTTCATTTCACAATTAATTCTGAAAAAGCCAATCCGAAAGCCGTTCTGCTTCCAAGCCTATCAAAAAAACATGCTTTTCGCGCATCATGCTCTGTTAGATTTCTTGCTATTATTTTCTTCTTTCAAACCTGACACTGTTGTAGTCTCTGAGGAAATAGTTTGAATCAAATTCTAATAACAAAAGAATACCTTCTTGGACCATTCGTTGATGAATTATTGCCAACAGAAAGTGTCATACTTCCACAATCGGACACCTCATCATTTCTCATTCCCTCCTTTTTCGGGTTGGAAGCTCTAAACGTGACCATATTTTGGCATACAGCTTTATTTAGAGTTGTTCGGCATACGGTTTTATTTAGAGTTGTTCGGCCTACAGCTTTATTTAGAGTTGTTCGGCATATGGCTTTATTTTGAGTTCTTTCGGTTTTTCTAATTTCTCCAAATCCAATGCTCGACAAGAATCTATGAACAATGATCTTTTCTACATTTTTTTCCGTTTGAGTCTGTTTCGTGGAAAATTTAGGTTCGTTAGGGTGTATGTTGGAGTCTCTCAGGGCGATTTTTTTTCGTTCGTTTTCTTGCTTTCTTTTGCTCAAAAACGAATGGACTTCCTTTTTTTCTAAACGATGGCGAATCATTTGTGAAGAAACGACCGGAAAACTGGCTTAGACTCTTCCGTGTCGATTTTTGAAAGAAAGTTTGAAAGAGAGCTTGAGAAAAAGCATTTTGTGGAGAGAATTATGGCATTTTTGTTAAATCGGCTAAATGGGTTTAGTTATTTGATCAGAAGTAAGTGTTATTCATAAAATATAGAACCCTTCATTCATTCAATCTTCCGCTAAAACTACGCAATTTCGCTCATTTCCCAAAACAATCCAATCTTTTTTTCTTTTCCATTCGGAATCGTTCTACCGGAAATTTGCCCGTTTTTTAGCGATTGAGAGCCTCCGAAACTAACTTTTTTGCATGAGTCAAAATCGAATTCTTAATGGATGCAAGAGCAAAATTTGATGAGATTGAGAAACAAAATGAGAAACTTCGCAAAATTTTATATTTTGCAAAGAATTGCAAAGAAGAGCTTTTTTGGATTGAAGAGCTAACTACATTCGACTCTTTAAACACATCAAAAAGTTGTAAATGCCAAAAAATCCTAGATCTTGAGTCAATTTGACTCTAAACGGATCCCTTTAAATCGTGATAAGGACTAGCAACGATTTCTACTTCATCACTTCATCGAATAGAGTTTCTTTACGAAGAATTCCCTTGAGATCACAAATCTCTTTCCAATGCACAGATAGCCGGCTTTTTGTTACCGAATCCACTTATGGTCTCTTTTTTTGAAGGAAAGAGACGACGAGAGACGATTTGGAAGGAAAGAGAAGAAGCAAAAAAATTCTTACAGAGAAAATCCTTGAATGGGCTAGGTTTTTGAGTAAAAGAGGAAATGAAGTTTGAATTGGTTTGAGAGTTCTACTGGCAGAACATCAATGTTATCGAATTGAAAGGATTGAAGCACGCATGAAATGAAAATGAAATAAATGAAAATGGTATTGTACTCGTCGTACTTGTCCTACAAGTAATTGTACTCGTCGTCATCTTTTCCCAAAATGTCTATAGTTTTTCAAATGATCATCGTTAGTTTAATCATTCATGTTCTATTTCAATTTTCACAACCTTTCACGTTTGTGCTGAAAGATAAACAGGGATAATCCCCAGGAGAAAAAAGGACAAGTTGCACTCAAAATTCTTCGGGAAAATCATATGACTTTAAGTTGGTAACCAAAATATTTTTGGAAAAATTTTGTATTTTGAAAAACAAGATTTGTCTTTTAGAAAACCTTGTACATACCGTATTTTCTCTAATAGTAGTGCACCGAGCCGAGCTGGTGACTATTTTACGACTTCCAAGCTTTTGCAGAAGCTCAACACTTAAATCCCTCACTAGATCTACATTTTCCGACCCCACATCGATAGTTTCTGATAAGCGGTTCTCGAGATTTCGAGGAATTTAGGCGAGGGTGCACTACTATTAGAGAAAATACGATAATATCACGAACTTTTTCATGAGAAAAGCGTGTCTCTTGTCGGCTACTCGAATTGTGGCTACCAATTTCCAAGTGAAAATCACCAAAAGAATACAGGGACCCGTGTGGACAAAAATCGTTTGAAATGAGTAAAATACCTGAAATTTAGAAATATGATTGACTTTTTATAGAGCTTACTTTGTAATACAAATTATGTCCAATCCATAACAAGAGACCGGAATTTGTTCGGTAACACAAGCGAAATGTTCCTAAAAGTTTGCTGACTCGTTGTCACTTAGTCGTTGTCACTTACTGTTTGCTTTTGGACTATAAACGAGTTTTGATTGATGGTAGTTGGCAAAAGCATCAGGAGCATAAATCACCGTTGAGAAAACCCAAATGAAAACCAGTACCTAGAAAGGAAGGAAACTTTAAACTATTAGGTTGTCCAGAATATCATTGATACCAAAAGTTGTTTACCTTTTTGCTGTACTTGATTGTACAAAATCTTCTGACAAGTGTCGGAATACAGATGTAAACATATCGTTGTATGGCCAGATAGACAGTCAACCAAATGGCTGTTGCGTGAAAGACTGATGGAAGAAATGAGGCCAAAAATGGTATCATCACACACCATCCCGCTGGTAGACCAAACTTCTCATCTGTTGTGTAGCCTAAAAAAGATTCCAGGTATATTATTTTGAATTGAATCATTGAATTGACTAGCTTGCCTCATTCAATGATGTTACTTTCTTTTTTATTTGATTTCTCCAATTGTAACACAATCCTTTGATTCCCTTTCCCTTTCCCCTTTCTGCAAATTTTCTCGTTTCAGATTTGGATTTGGAGATTTGGAGACTGAGATTTGGTTTTCGAATCCTATAAAATTGAATCCTGAACGCTTTGAACAAGCTATAAAAAGCTTTAAATTTAGTTATGCTAAAGAGCAAAGTTCTTGGGACAAATGAGAGGAGACAGGTAGACTAAGACAGGTAGACTAAGACAGGCAGACTAAAAACACTTCTATGGGTTATAACTTAAGAGAGGCTGTTTGAATTGTTTAATTAAGCAACTCTTGAACACCAAAATTTTCTTTAAATTCCTTTCAAATGTGCAATCAAATTGAAGATCATCTCCCCTTTCTATCTTTCTCCGATCTTTCTTTTTTGCTCTCCCCGGTCCCAATTAGGATGTTCAAAGGAAAAAGATCTTTTCCTTCCAATCTTTCCCTTTTTCAAATCTCATCTTGACTCAGAAACTCATTTCCTTTTCTCTTGATATCTCTGATCTTCCTTCCTTACTACTTTTTTTCTATCAAATGATTCTTCAAACTGAGTGTAGTCTTTAGGTGTCTGTCTGACTCAAACTAAATAAGAATTTGATATATTCCAGTTAGTTCAGTGATTTAAATTTGAAAAGCGAATTGCTCTGTTGGATAAATCTAGATGATATTCAATTCTTAAGAGAAAACTGATTAAAGAAGCTTCTAAGTTTCAAAAAAGATCTTTTTGTACTCTCTCAAATATCAGATCTTTCAAATTGACATTAGAACTACTTGGAAAATCCACATTTCACGTATCGGTGCGCCTAACTTTTACAAAGATCCCTAGACATCTCTTCCCTTGACTACCTCCCTTTCCCCATCCTCCACAAACTATTGAGCCCATCCACCTCAAAGAGATCCATCTATTTTCCTTTACTTCTTTCTCTATTTTTCTTCCCTCCCATAGATCTGATTGGTCCAATTAGATGAGGGACATCTAATTGGAAGTGAAGGACTTTCACGAGAAAAAAAAAACCAATAAGGCCCTCTAAGCCGATTTTGTCTCTCAACATCATGAAGAAAGGGTTATCGGAATTTATAAGCCTCAAAAATGAGATAAGCTGTTTTCTAGATTGGTCAAAATAACGTAACACTTTTCAAGTACGTCATCAGCTTTATTTCAACAAACTAATCTTCTGGCTCACCTCCAAATGTGTAGTAGTAGAGAAACCAAGGAATACACGAAAGTCCTGTGAGAAGTTCTGAAAGGAAAAACTTTTAAGAGTGAAATTACAATATTAAACCTGATACGGCCATCGCCAAGAGGACAAAATTTGTTGGTGTTCGGAGATATTTGTGCGAGAGAACGACGACAATGAATGAATTGGTGATCATTGTTAAGACCACCACCAATGGCATTACATATCCATAGAGGGGAAGAGCCCAGTCAAATGGAACCTAAAGGAAATTCATATGTAGATACCGGAAAAATTCTAACAAAAGAGCCAGCTCTTCTATTTTTCAATTTGCCTCTAAAATTCTTTTCCGTGCCCTAGATAGAGTATCCCAAATTTTCAGGAGGTGGCTTTGTTGAGTTTTCATTCGGTTTTTGACGTCATTAAGCTTTTTAGTCATTAAGCTTTTATAAAGGAAAGAAGCTTTTATAAAGAACTATAAAGGAACTATAAAGGAACTATAAAGGAACTATAAAAGAGCTTTAAAGGAGCTTTAAAGGAACTTTAAAGGAACTATAAAGGAACTATTATGAAATAACTATTATGTAAAGCCTTTGGCAATCTTTAAAAAGTTGAGCATTTTGCTTTCCAAGAGTTGACAAATCCAAAATATGAAAAATTCCGTCTAAAGAAGGCTCTTTTAGTAGAGATGGCTTAGCTAGTGATGGCTTTCAATTGGAATAAATACGGTATTTCATTTCTCACATCATATTTGAGCTGTTTTCCAAAAGTGTTTTAATGCTCAACAATACTTTTATAAGTTGATAATATTTGTTTTTCACTTGCCATATTTTGAACATGTTCCCCAGCTTTTTTAGTGATCAAATCTTTGTTATAAAATGACATTGTTCAAATCTTTTCAAAGAATACCCAAATAGGGAAACCTTTTCCCGAATTTATCTTTTCTTCGAAGAAAACATTCAATTACGAATCTTTTCGGCAAACACAATGGTGTTTGGCGGTGATGGTCAAATAAATCCCGGAAATGGGTTTTTTTACTAACCTCTTTTTCTTTTCTAGTGTAGCCCGTGAAACGTGGTCAAAAGTTTCTTTTGACCGTTTCAAAAGAGATTAAATTGAGTACTTAAGTTTTGCTGTCATTTGCAGCCATTCTAAGAGATCAGTCACTTAGAAGCTTTTCAAAGCGTTTCAAAATTTCGCTTCTAAACAAAAAAAGTTCAGTGTTCACATTTCAAAAAGCTATTCTTTTCAAAAATCAATTATTAAAACAACAAAAAACTCTTAGAATGATTGAAAATTTATGAGCATTTTAGGGATTCTGTGTACCAAATGTTTTGGGTTAAAGATGAGCTTTGGAGAAAAACGAAAAGAAAAACAAACCTGTCTAGGGATATTTATTGGTTGACAGGTCTTCTCATAATAACATGGAGGCGGCAAAAGAAGGGAATCATTTGTGGGAAGAAGATGGGATCGATGCAGCATTTTCGATGAGAATATTTGGAGTTCAGAGCAATTTTGTGCACATCTCAAATGAGAATTGATAAAAGAAAGAAATTGAAGAAAGAAAGAATTGAAGAAAACAAGAATTCCCCAATAGAAAAACTTTCTAAAGCACATGTAAGCGTTGTACTAAACTGTATTCTTGTTGATAGAATGATAGAATGTTAACGAGGCTATTTAGAACAGAAAAATGCTCCAAATCAACAGAGAATCAACCGAAAAATGCCCCAAATCAACAGAGAAATTCGTCCAATTAGCACAAATACTTGCTTGCAAAAATTCTTGAATATCACCTGGAATCAACAAAGAGTCAATGCCATTTTGGCTAGAAATGGAAAGGCTTTCTTTGAAATAACACTTCTTTAAATACAATACAGCAAGTACATTGTTAAGAAAACTTAAATGTAGGCAGACTTTCTTTGACGCGGAAAATTTCTACTCTTTATTTTTGCTTTCAAAAAACTTAGCCCCTGGAAAAATTTATGGACACGCGACGGGTCGAGGGTCTCTTTTGAAAGCTTCAGAAAATCCCGATTAATGACTAGAAAAAAAGCGTTGAAATATTATTGCAAACGGAGGTTTTTACTCAAAAAAATTTGATATCATCGACTTGGGTTCATCGTCTAGGATTTCAAAGATTTCAAAATACTTCTTATTTCCTGAAATTCTTTAAATCCTATGATCCGTGAATTTGCAAAAATAATTCAAAAATTGAAAAATTGCGTGTTAGATGTTTGTTCAGGCTACATTTTTGAGCCAAATTTTCAGCTTGAGCAGGACAAGAAATTGTACTTCTAGCAGAGAGCAACAAAAATGATTTCAAAAAATATTTACAATTATCTTTCGGCTTGATGCCTAGCTTGTGCCGGTTGTGATCGACGATCTCAGGAAAGGATTGAGTCAATGAGCTGAGGTCAATGAGCATTTTCCCATTGCTCCATTCATTTTTCCATTGCTTCTCCAAATATCCAAAAAAGGTCCAAATAGACCCGCTCATAAATGTTTCAATTCCCTAATCATTTTTACTTTTTCCCCTTTTCTCTTCATTGCAGCCCGGAGAACACCACAAATATTTTTATTTGGCATTCGAATCATTTAAGCTTTTGAGAGTGGATCGATTACATCATTAAGATGTAAAAACCGAAAAGGAATAGACAATGGAATGAACAAGAACATTCTTCTTTATTTGTGTCTATGAGATCAGAAATTGAAACATAAGCTGTGTGATCAAATCAGTGAACTTAAGAACTTTGCAAGTTGTTTCATCTAACTTCAAAAATAACTTTTAGAAGAAAAGCAAGTCATGAATCAATGAAAATGTTATGTGGGATCTTCCCTGGATTCCACAAGGATAAGCCGCTTATTATAGAGAAATCCCAGAAGAAAAAATCCTTGTAAAAACGAAAATCTAAAACTTTTCTGTAAAGATTCATAAGTTTTTGGGTTTAATTCGAATATCCGCACAATTACGATAAAATGTTCAATTATCTTTTCAAAAGTTAAGTGCTTTCGATTCGTCATTTAGAAAAGCTGACAAGATCTGATTGTTTGGTCGAAAATCTGAACTGACTGTCTTAATCAGAGCTGATTTATAGATAAACTTTTGATGTAAGTAGCAAGAAATTTGGTCAGTGACTTTTAATTGTTTTCATGAACTCTGCTTCGATCTGAATCCTCGAAAATAAATTGCCTTCGGAATCGACATCCGGTCATTATATTGTTGTTTTTTTTGGGAAGAATGTTGCGATGAAAAGAAAGGGAACCAAAATTTATGAGAAAGGTTTGCTCTTTGTTTTTGACCAGGGGATCAGAAGAACTTTAATGGTAGTTGAATTGAATCATGAATGTCACGAAAAGGAAAGAACACTCATAGTCAGAATATGAATTCTTTAAGGAGGACTTTAAGATTCCACAATGATTTAAAAAATGGAATCTCTTCTTACGCAAAATGTTGCCGAAGTTATGAATGAAAGGAAGTGAAGGTGAAGGGCGAAAGGAATCATTGAAGAATGAGTGGTAGATGAATGTAGATGGATTGACGTGTTGTTGCCATTCCCTCCCTTGCATCTACCTCATCTATTCACTTCTTCTTCCACCACTTCCTTCCCACATGCTCCACATTCCTTTCCTTGGTCGATCCGTTGTTCTTCAAGTCAAAGCCAATCTCCCCGTGAACAGCACTCAAGACAAGAACCACTAGAAAAGAAAACGAAAAGACGAAAGGGAGGGACCACTTATGGGCCCTTCTTCTGGCAGAGACTCTGGATGGACTCAAAGGGGAATTCTTCTAGGTTGAGTGATAGGACAGACGATAATGAGATTTCAAAAGTTTGGGATCGATAGAAGGAAATCATCGTAAAAGTGAGGAGAAACTACCATTGTTTCTGCAAAGTTCTATGGGAATGAACTTACAAACTGCCCGCGTCTAAGACTACAAGCTGAGACGATTACAAAACTAAGATGTAAAGTTGGGAATATATCAGAGCCAAAAAAATCCAGTAGTCTGGAAGGAGTTCATCAGCTGGATAGATTCTCTAGCTGGAAAGAGGAAACTTTTGGAGAGATCTACCCAAACCCCGCCCCTTTTCTAGACCTCCCAAAAAGTCCAACTGAATCCCTTTCCATCGCTCTTTTTTCTATCTGCTCCATTCCAATTTATAAGAAAAAATAAACAATTACATTATGGAGTTCGCTTTCAGATTTTCATATGTCTGTACATAAAAAAAAAAGAAGTAAGATAGAGGAAAATTTGTGTCTAAAATATGAATGATGTTCAGTTGCATTTAGCTGCATGGTTGCAATGGCTATTCATATTTAAAATATGAATGCTGCAGTAGCTATTGATATTCAGCACAGTTTTCAATTTTGAAAGGCACCGTCGCAAGATCAAAACGAGCAATATTTAAGGAATTCCCAAACCGAATTTTCAATTGTATTGGATCGAAAAAAAAGTGGTGTATCGAAAATTTCTGTAATAAGCCCAATTTCTTTGTTCTTATGGTGTCGAATACAAAATTCGCTACATTGTTAAGGCTCTACTTTGATCCCCAAATTTCTTTGTTCTTGTGATGTTGACTACAAAATTCGCTACATTTTTAGCTCAACTTTGCTTTAAAAAACTCCCAAACTTCTTATAATAAAGTGAGAAAAACTTGGATTTGATCAGACAACTCGCATTACTTTATTGGCCTCAAGGGGGAAATCAACACAGGAAAAGAAAAGCAATAAAATTTTCACATAAATTTTATATTCAATGAGTGAAGTTGAGAAGAAAAGGAAAGAGGAATGGAGAACGAAATGCAGAAATATTTAAAAAGAAAAAAATCACGGGTAAATAAAGTGGTGGGCGTTTGGGGTTATTTGGGGGTTTTGATTTGGAATGAAGAAGATTTGGATGAATTGAATCTCTCTTCAAAAATGGAAAGTAAATAATAAACAAGTGGGGGTTTCGATAAGCAAAACAACAGATAGAATCTAAAAATGAACAATTGAGCGAGTTCTAAACAGGTAAGCTCTGAATCAACTCCGAATCAACTCTGAATCAACTCCGAATCAACTCTGAATCCAAGTCCAATCCAATCAACTCATCTAAATGTCTTCCATCCAAAATTTCAAATATGCTACAGTTCCCTATTTTTGAAAAGAACTTCTTCAAAATAGTACAGATCAGGAAATTACTTGAAAGAACACTTTGAAACCGAGGAAATTGGGAAAAGCTTGGGTAAAATGGGATTCCAAATACGAGAAACTCTGAAAACACTTTAAAACAGATCCCGATTACTTTTAGGAATTACAAAACAAGAAAAACTTTTATTTTTTTTGCAAGAACACTTTTTGGAAATTCGAGACGAGGAAATTGAGAATGAGAGGCTGTTGCCATTCAACCAAAAAGTCTGAGGGAATCATTGGTAAAAAATGATGGACAGAAAAGAAGAGAGATGATCGAGATGGATGAACACATTTGACACATAATCCATTCAACTCATTTATGTCAATGGAAATGAATTCGAGTTAGAAATTCAGGAAATTGAGAGAGAGAGAGATCTATACAAAAACTTAACGAAATGATCTATATGAAAACTTAACGAGCGTGATCTATTTGAAAACGTCATGAATAACAAAATGTCAAAAATCATTGCCTAACTCTGTACGATGTCTATTATATGTACTTTCTTGCGAAGTTTCTACTTTATTCAATAGTCTTTGGCTTTCATTTTCAATGCTGGAAGAAACGCTAAAAGATTCTAATTACTCACTACTTTAAAATTTGTTAAAAAGCGTGGAAATTCCGGCCAAAGTTGCGACCATCCGGTCTTGCAAATCTTTCAGCGATGATCAATTGTTTTCGTTGATATGGCGGTAGTTGCTCAACTCATAGAGAACATTAACCATGCTCGATTTCGTCTGTCCCACTCAAGCTCAAACCCCACAGGACCTCCTGCTCCATCTTTAACAAAAAAACCCTTATTTTGGTTCGGCATTTGTTTATCTTGGTATCTTGGAGAACATTAACCATGCTCGATTTCGTCTGTCCCACTCAATCTGTAGATTAGTTTATCTTGGTGTTGATCTACTTCTCCTTTTTACTTCACATAATATTCTCCAACAGAGATATTTTCTACCAACAGAGATATAGCAAATATGTTTGTTTGAAATAATCTTTTTATGACTCGCAAAGTCATCGGTCCTTTATGTGCAGGTGGTTGAGTACAAAAAGAAGGGATTTCCAAAAAGGGAAAGAATGAAAAGAATGCAAAAGAGGATGGGGGAATCGATGGTGGATTGGAGAAAAGAAAAGAGAAAGGAGAAGAAAGACTCAGAGAATCCATGAGAGTCACGAGAAAAAGGTAGAGAAATAGACAACTCGCACAACCACAAACAGACCTTTCAAATAAAAACTCTCTTGCTTGCTTTACTTTTCTTTTCGGCATTTCTTTTGAAAATTGCAAAAAACATAAGCAAACCTTAACAAAAGAGTTTTTCAATTTTGTACAGATTGAATTTTTCCTATTTGCATATTTTCTGTTACTCAATTCTATTATTTTCTTCTTTATTCCTTTATTTTCTGTTCACATATGCGAGTTTGGTTGTGGCATTCCACTAAAACTGTCGAATATCGGCCAGATTCCAAAGATTATCGATGTTGTTGTGGAGCTTTACGATCTAAGGTTAGAAAATGGTTGAAAATGGAAAAATTTGCATATGTTTACATAGTTAAATTGCAGTGCAGAAGTGAAAAACTAATGCAGAAGCACATAAATTTTTTATAAAATTCTTTTTAGAGATGTTTCACAGTGTTGATTTTATGCAATCTTGCATTTTTCCTATATGACGGCCTCAAAAATGGTTTCGTTCAAACGATATCAGATCCTATCGAATGGGTCAGTTACCTTACCGTAAATACTGTAATTGGACCTCACCCCCCTCGTACAGACGCGTAGTCGCAAAAGTTTTTTAGTATTTCATTTTTTTCAAAGCGCCCGTACTTTCAAAAAATGGGTCTTTGGTATCAAAAAATAGCCCTGAATTTCAGCTATTTTTTGATACCTAAGCGCGCATTGTAGCATAAACCAGTGTCGAGAAAAACACCTCCAAAGCTAGACTACGCAAGACTCCGCACCGTCATTATGGGGGTGGGGTACTATTACAGTATTTACGGTAGGTTTATCTTTAAAGATTTCTTCATCACATTACATTTTAACTCATTCTAACACCATTTCTAGGTCCAATTTGCTCTTTGTGTTCTTGTGACTGTCTTTGCCGTTTTATCGATCATCACCTTGAGGCCAATTTTCATGCAACTCTACATTATTTCCGGTGTAAGTTTTTAATGGGTTGGTGAATTGAAAACTGCCGGACTTTGAACTAAAATTTATTGAACATAAAACCATAAATTCATTCCAAATAATTTCCATTATTATTGACGACTTCTGCCCATTTTACAGGCAATTTGCGGATTCTTCTTTTGTAGTAGGGTTTTGGTTTGTGTCTGAGACAAGTGTGAGACTCAAAAATGGAGGACTGAAGATGTCCCAGTTTGAGCACTTTCTTCAAAAGAAACCCATTTGTAGAGAATCAAAAATTAGGTCTATAGCCAAATTTCCAAAAAGATACACCTAGTAGTTTCGCTTAAAATGCAAGTTTTGTTTTGCGTTTTGTGAAAATTCGTAAATTTGGCATTTCTTGAAAACCAGTTTTTGAATCGTTCTGAAAATTTGGATATAAGCTTGATTGTTGATTCTCTACAACTTTTTTATTGACACCAAAATGGGTTTCTTTCGAAGAAAGTGCTCAAACTGTCACATATGACAATAGCCGGCACTTTTCAATTCACCAACCCAATAATTAGAGATAATTCATCGTACTTATTTGAAATTTAAGCTATTCCTAATTTATTTAGATCCATAATTTAGATCATTTATTATGGAGCTATGTTTTCCGAGCATTTCTTTGAGGCCTACAGATGTGTGATGGAATTTTTGTGAGTTTTGTAAAAACTGTTCAGTCGCAAAAGCATACATTCCTGTGTTTTTTGAGTTACGAAATGTTTCAGAGAAGTGAAAGGAAAAGAACCAGAGCAAGCCGAATTGGACGCGTTTTGGGATCTAGTTTGTGAGCCTTTTTTGATTTTTAGGTCTGCTCCTTTTTAAATAAACTGCTTTAAAGACTCAATCTAAGCTCAAAAAGCTCATTTCAGTTAGCGTCGGTGTTATCCTCTTTTTTTCGCCTATCATTTTCTGGGGATGGTATTTGACGCATTCAGTTTATGCTTACATACGGTTAGTTGACGATTGAAGTAAGGAATGATTAAGCTAAGGAATAATCTTTAATATCAACTTTGATAACTCACTCAATTTCAGCGATCGTCAACTTTTCCACGAACAACAAGATGATAGAATACTCACCACAGTCTATACAGAAGCAGTGCCCATGACAAAAGAAGAATAATTTGTTTGTCTTGTTGTTCTCAACTCAAGAATAGAATCATAACTGACAACTACTCAAGAATTATTTTTTTATTTCTCAATTCTATTGTCTTCCTTTCTACGGTTACATAAAATCTCAGAAACATTGCTTCAGTTTTGTTCTTTTCCTCGTTTTTTTGTGATCTTTATGAATGAATGCCTTTACATAAAACAAACTTTTCATCGAATATTCAAAATTTATCAAAGGAATCGTTCACTCTCTCGCAAATTTCTCCATTCTCTTTGATGTACTGCTTGGTTTCTGAGCGAATTGCAGAATACTCGATTTCATACCATTTTCTAGACCTTTTTCTTATTATTTAATTGGCTCAAACAACCCGTCATTCAAATGAGTGTCTTCTAGAATCATTGCTGAGATATTTGTGAAGAAATTTCGTCGATTCGATAAGACCGCAGTCATCAGCTCTGTCTTAAACAAAAAAGGCAAAATTTGGCAGAGTTTATGATCGAACCTTGAAGATTTTCTGATCCAGATGGGTTTTTCTCTCGTCATCACTCAGGATTCCTGCAAGTCCGTCACAGTCGAAACTTTTGATCATAAAATCCTAGAAATAAAAGATTTACATTAAGATAGTGTTCGAATTTCAGCATTATATCATAGTTTTTTTTAGAGTGCGGTTTCTTGGCTGTACCGTAGCTCGCTTGTCGAAATCAAGAAATAGCCCAGACTCGTCATTCAATTTGTTCTCGTTTTTTTCTTTGATCATTCCAAAACCCTAAAATGGTCAATCGATTAGATAATATGCGTAAAATTGCCAATGAATGTAGAATTTCATGTCTGAACAAATCGGTAATCATTGAGAACTTCTTCCATCTTCGCTGGCCTGGACAAATGTTGAGGAGACCAAGTAGAGGTCTGAAAGGAAATATGGAGCTATTGAAGCTAGCGTATTGAATTATTGAACATACCTATTGCTTCCCTCAATATAGCAGGGGCTTGCTGTTGCCAGAAGTGTATCATCAACCTTGCATTTCTCGAAATCTTGCTGAAATTTGATTTTTATCGTTATTTACGAAAGGTAGAACCCCTAAAATGAGAAGAAAGTTAAATTTTCCATTTTCCAATCCAATCTTGCCATCCTCAAAATCAATTTTTATCGTCTCTTCTCTAGCCTAAACAATTTTTGTCCCTGTACAAGGTTTGTTTTACCAAACGAATCCTGAAAGATTGATCGAGAAGTTGTGGTGAACAGTCAAGAACTTTTTTCATTGGGATTTCATCACTCATCGATGCATTGACTCGAATGATTTCGCCAAGATTATTGATGGCTGACCAAAGATGTTTCTAAAGTATTGGATGATGGCTTTCCAAACCAATGACAAACTGCGGTTTGATGCAATGATTCACCTCGAGCTTTTGCAAAATTTTGACGCCATTTGGTTCCAATAGAGCAACATTTAGAGCAGTGAATTCTAGTTTTTCTGAAGACACAATCCAGCTACTTGTACAGAAAACAAGATAATAAAAGAATTCAACTTTCATTTCATTGACGAAATATGTTTCGTGCTTGCATTAAAACAATGATTCGAAAGGCGCCTTTCATCAGAATTTTGTCTCATGCAGACTCATCGCTCCGATATGATGTTTTTAGCAATGGAGGCGATTTTATTTTCAAAATATTTATCAAATATGATTGATTGCAATGAAGGGGCTTGGAACTTCTCTTCTTTGTTCCATTATGATGACACGAAGTCGAGTAAACGACTCTTTGCTTTCCGAATCTCCACGCTGGAAGTTTAATTAAAGTCAACGAAGTCAACGAAGAGTAATAAATCCAAAAAGAAATTGTTAACCTTTCTGTTGATTCTTCTACTTGGCAAGCAAAATGAGCAGGATATTTTAAGTAATTTTTTTGATATCAATCTGAATTCCCTTATCAGATTATCAGCTCAGATCACTCACTTTGAAATTATCTTCCAAAGAATCGTAACCACAATCAATGGTAAAAGAGTAATCAATATCAAAATGAGTGAAATGTTATCAGAAATAAATGTATCAAATCTATTCATTGCAAAGCTTACTGAAGGGTTTATTTTTTATATTCATTGCCCACGTTTTATACTTGCTTTTGTAGCCGATCCATTTTTGTATTAGAAAAGGTCACATATTTGTAGTCTTTTGCGCTTCTAATTTGATCGGTTACCTACAAATGGTTAACAGACACAGATGAATTTTTGGCATAACATTTTTTTGAAGCCAGAGCATTTGAAAAATCAATTTGACCAACAATGCAATTCTTCAATCGAATTTTCAATATAACTCCATTGCTTTCATCCGAACCCCAACTCCAGCTTTTCAACTCAAATTTCTAACTCCATTTTGTGGTCGCCTATTCTTTGAAATGGTAAATCTCCGTTGGAACTCTCATTTTTTCATTTTCTTTGGAACAACAATTTTCATCGCGAGCACCGTTTTATTCTTGAGAACTTTTCATCATTCCGATTCCTTGAAAACACAAGAGATTGAAGTAAAAACTGTCGAGGTTACCATTTATATATTGGGTTGGTGAATTGAAAACTGCCGGACTTGAACTAAAATTTATTCAACATAAAACCATCTAATTGGCTTTGGGTTATGCATATGATAGCTTTTCACAATGAAATGGCTCGGATTTCCAAAAAGAATCATAGAATTTAAAGAAAAATTTGTGAAAAGACAAAATGAAAGAACTAGAACATTGTAGTTTTCATTTCAGAAGCCATTTTTGTACTATTTGCTTTACACTTCTTTGAGTCTGAAATCTATTATTAGCTTAAAATATTCGGTTCGTGAATTGAAAACTGCCGGACTTTGAACTAAAAATTTATTCAACATAAAATCATAAATTCATTCCAAATAATTTCCATTATTATTGACGACTTCTGCCCATTTTACAGGCAATTTGCGGATTCTTCTTTTGTAGTAGGATTTTGGTTTGTGTCTGAGACAAGTGTGAGACTCAAAAATGGAGGACTGGAGATGTCCCAGTTTGAGCACTTTCTTCAAAAGAAACCCATTTTGGTGTCAATAGAAAAGTTGTAGAGAATCAAAAATTAGGTCTATAGCCAAATTTCCAAAAAGATACACCTAGTAGTTTCGCTTAAAATGCAAGTTTTGTTTTGCGTTTTGTGAAAATTCGTAAATTTGGCATTTCTTGAAAACCAGTTTTTGAATCGTTCTGAAAATTTGGATATAAGCTTGATTGTTGATTCTCTACAACTTTTTTATTGACACCAAAATGGGTTTCTTTTGAAGAAAGTGCTCAAACTGGCACATATGACAATAGCCGGCAGTTTTCAATTCGCCAACCCAATAACAAAGCTTTAGATAGAACCTTTGTATGATCGAAAACAAGAGGAATTGCTTTCTTACAAGTATAAAAATCAATATTGTCCAAATGTCGGAAATTGCACTCTATTGCAACCATTCTATCATTATGTTAGCTTACAAATGGTAATTTTTTTCTAAATTTAGTGCACACAGTTTTATAATAGTTGGCTCCAAAATACGGAATCTCTGCATGTGTGATCTATAAGAATTTCTCAACGGTTTTCACATCAATTTTATGCTTTCTTTACAATATGATCGATTATCGGAAACATGTAGAACATATGATGGATGATTATTATGAAGTACGGTAGGTAATACCCCTTGTTAATGATAAATTTCTTCTTTACCAAACATTAACTCGATTTTTCATCAATCATTTTCAAGAACACACACACATTTTCAGTCATTGTCAAAGATTCAACGAGTATCGCTATTATTCGATTCATGACAAAATACAGCCAAAAGGTGGCAAGAAATGGACACATTACATGTTGATTCGTGAGCCGATGGAACGATTTGTGTCTGGCTTCATAAATAAATGCATAAAGTGAGTTATCTCAAAAGATATTTCAAAGTCTCAGATTTGCCATCCTATTCAATTCATCTGTTCAATTCTATTCAATTCATCCGTTCAATTCTATTCAATTCATCCGTGTAAAAACAATTTTTCTAAATATTTCCTTTCAGTGAAAAGAGAAAAACAATGTGTTATGGATGTGGAGATGATATGCTGTGCTTAATGAAAGCTGTTTATCAGGTGTTATTTTACTAACAGCGCATATATCTGTTACGTCCGATTAAGAATTTAATCAAATCGGACGTCCGATTTGAAATTTATTCTTAATCGAAAGTCCAATTAAGAATTTATCGAATCAATTGTGTAAAAATGTGAAATGCTCAATGCAAATCTACTTAAACATCTAATGAATGTTAGTTTTGATAGTTAACGCAAGGAATAATAAACCAGATGATATTTGATTCACGGAAAACCTCGACATTCGCAATCACAGAAGAGTGTAGAACGCGGAAACGCTAATATTGAGGTCTTTTTACATTTCCCTTAACTAGTTGCAATAAGTTTTTACTGTTTTCTTAATTTTAATATCTTTTCTAGATACCTTTAGCACCTATAAAGGGGAAAACAATACTACTGTGCACAAAAACAATACTACAATATTACTGTTCACCCACCGTTGACTCAATATAACACTAATAAAGAAAACACTAGTACATGTCTGAAAAAAAAATCGATTTTCATCATTTTGCATTGAGCATTTCACATTTTTATCCAATTGATAAATTCTTAATCGAACCTAACATATCAACATAATTGTAGAAACTTCAACTTGTGAGCAATGGAAAGAAAAACCCAGCTCGAGATGTTGAGGAATCACATTTTATGCCGCAATCATGGTAATCATTGGTGTCATTGAAAAACACGCTCTCGTTTATATTCAAGAAAATTTCAGTTCCCGATTTTCAATTTATGCATCGATTTTTCAGGAGTTGTCAATTGAAAGAGAACTTTAATGACTATCGAATCTTCAAATTCTCACCATCGAGAACAAAGGAAATGCTGTATGAAATTCTTGATGAATTTGAAGGGCATGGTGTACCAAGAAATGAAACTGATTGGATTAAAGATCAGGTGAATATGGTTAATTTTCTGTTTCATTTTACCAAATCGCACATTTCACATTGAAAATTGAACAAATTTAAGGTTTTATCCGGAAAGAAGACTTTCCACGCCACTTATGAAAATCCGAAGCGAAAAGAACTTGTCGATAAGATCAATAACTCAAAAGATTTAAAGGAATGGTTGATTCAATTGTATTTTTATGATTACATCCTCTTTCAATATCCTCTACCGACATTTTGAAAGCTCCGTCACAGTTATAATCCTAGTCAGTTTCCAATTCAATTTTAAAGCCAGTTCCATATCAACGAAGATATAAATTGTTGAATTTTGAAAAAAATTTCTTTATCAATTTTTGTAGCACTTTCATTTCTTTTTTTGATGCATTAGAGGACAGGGATCAGAGCATAAGCATCAGAGCACAGGGTTAAAAAGGTGCAGAGGAATTATCACTGGTTGCAGGTTGCAGAAATTATCTGTGTTGCAAAAAACGGAAATTCATTTAAAGTAGAGTTATGCGTGTCGGATCTGTCTGTAAACCAAGCACAAAATTGCAAATAGCTAGTTATAATAGCTTGTGCTTTTTGCTTTAGCTTTTTGTGGTTGATACTTGCCAGGATGATTGAGAGTGAAGGTCAATACGAAAGCAGACATTGTCTACACTCGCGTTGTTTCCGTGAGGGAGCCTCATTTCTCAATGTCTCAATGCTCTGGAAAGGTTCAAAAAGTTTTTGCTCCGTTTATCATTTAATATTTAGAACTTGAGCTTTCTATTAGGCTGTCCAGAGAGTTTTTTCGTTTCTTTTCGTACTTCCGTTGAAAAATAAGAGATAAGGCGTTTTAAATGGAATGGAAATGATAAAAGGATTCTCCCTTCCGTTTCTCTATATGTTTTTTCAAGGTTACTGTATAAATTGATAACAGTTCTTTTTTCATTTTTAAACTATGGATCATTAGTGCTTAGTACTTAACATTTTCTTTTAAAAAATTTCACATATTCACCAATTAACCTATGGTTTGCTCTAAATAAAAAGTGTTTATTGTTCAATTTCCCATCTTTTTAAGTCAAAATCCAGACATAAGACATTTTAAACGCGTTTTAATGTTATTTTGCAGAAAAGTAATAGGCCTTTCTAATGAAACAAACCGTAGTTCAATTAGTGCATTTGTTGACTTTAAACGGTAGTACGAAAAGGAACGAAAAGACTTTCTGGACAGCCTAATAGACAATCTGGATAGTTAGTTAACGAAATTAGATAAGTTTCTTTCTTTTTATTATCAGTCACCAAAACAGTCACCAAAACTTTACCAAAAAAACAACAAACAATTAAAAGTGACGAGATATCCAGCTGACCCTTTGTTTGTTTGCTTGGTTTTAGACCTTAGCAATCACCAATATTATGCCTGTTGGTGGGCGAGAAGAATTCGCCGAAATGAAGTCTTTCGGCTGAACAAAGGAAATTCATCGTTTTCGCTCGTCCATCAAGAGGAAATCTTTTGCTTTCATCGAGAGGAAAGACGCCCAGAAGAAGATTATCCTTTTTTGGGGGAGGAGCAGAAAGTGACTCGCTAAAGAAAAATCTCAAGTTTGTCAAATAGGAGATAGATCAGAGTGTCTATAAGCTATAGGAATGGAAATGATAAAAGGATTCTCCCTTCCCTTTCTCTACATGTTTTTTTCAAGGTTACTGTATAAATTGATAACGTTTTTTTTCCATTTTTAAACTATGGATCCATAGTTTATTTTAAAAACATTTTCTTTTAAAAAATTTCACATATTCACCAATTAACTTATGGTTTGCTCTAAATAAAAATTGTTTACTAGTCAATTTCCCATCTTTTTAAGTCAAAATCCAGACATAAGCGATTTTAAAACCGATTTGTTTTCAGTTCAAAGGATGGGAATGAAAAAAGCTGAGTCGGCTTCATGGAGAACACTGGTCTCATTTTGGTAAATTCTAATATTGGGTTGGGGAGAATGAGTCGGCGCCGAAATTTAAAGAAACTTTTTGCACCCATAAAACCTTCTTTAAATACACGTTTTGTTTCATCAAAATGGTCCACTATTTCTTTACAAAATGGCTTTTGAGAGATTCCACAAAGCTTTTCTTGTTTGGGATTTTATGGATTCCCAAACACAGCTAATCAAAATGACAAAAAGTCCGACTCATTGCTTGAACAGTTTCTTCCACATAAACCTCCTTTGGTGTTTATATAAAAAAGATAGAGCACACTCAATTACATAAGTTACCAAATTTTCAGGAAGATCCCTCCAACCGTTTACTCTAGATGACAGTTTATCGATTTTGTGAAAAAATGATCCTTTGTTGAGTTGAGGCGCTGTTTGAGTTCTCTTTTAAATATTCTTTTGTAGAGAATTAGTTACCCTTCTACGGATATCAAACGCATATCATTTGACAAAGTCTGCTATAAGTTTTAGAAATTTCTTTGATTTTCGGCGCCGACTCATTCTCCCCAACCCAATAAATATCATGTTAGCAAAGTGCCTTTTAGGCTTTTTGGTCTTTGCAATAATTTGCCTCATATTTTGATGCTTTCGGCGGCAGAGGATATCAATGCAAAAGGGAATTCAGCACATCACAAAGAAATCTATGAAAATGGGACTTGTCCGGTAGGTAGAAAGTAGAGAAAAAGTCGATAAAGCGGTCTATCAAAATAAGCAAGTTTTACGGCCTTTTAGTAAAGTGTTTTAGCTACGACACGGTGTTTCCCATTGTGGAGCAGAGAAATCAACGGGAATCATTCTCTTTGCTGATGCTTTTCCATCGATTATCGTCAAAATTCTGGTCATGTTCTTCGCACAAAATGTTTCATATACGTGCGTTTCTTTATGTAAACACTGCATCAGATTTTATCCTTTTTTCACTCTAATTACCTTTTAGTGTCCGTCATTCCGTAATTGTCACCATTCAAGTTATTGCAATGGTAATAGTGGCCTGCACAGAAAGTTATCCAGTAGCTGTTTTTGGTGAGATAAACTTGAAAGAGAAAAAATAAGGATTGGACACATTTCAGCTGTTGGCCTGGCTCTATGTGGCGTTGGATTGGGTGAATCGACTTTCATTTCATTTTCTTCTTACTTCTCAAGGTCCACAACAATTGCTTGGTCTTCAGGAACGGGAGCTGCTGGAATTGTTGGTTGGTGGTCTAAAACGCAACCTTCCACACCTAAAACCTTTCAGCAAAACATATTTCTGATGCTTTTCAGGCTCTGCTCTTTACGCGGCTCTCACCGAGCCTCAGATAGTGAATCTCAGTCCAAAAAATGCCCTCCTTGTCATGCTTGTAAGTTTTCTGAACTTTTCCATTTCCAATATTTCAAATATTTCAAAATGGATCATTAATTAGGTGTTCACTTTCACTCTTGGTCTCACATATTGGTTCCTTCTCGATCATCCACAAAATCTCTATCGAATCTTCCAAGCCAAATACAATCGTGATGCAGAAATGACGATGAAAATTATGAGAGAAAAACCGAAAGTTCGAGAAACAACTTTGAAAGAAAAAGTGATACTTATCAAGGTAAGGAGTCATTGTTGAAGAAATCAACTTCAATTTCAGCCACTTCTCCGATACTTGCTTCCAGTGATGGTTGTCTATATTGCTGAGTACACGATCAACCTTGGATTGGTAAATAAAGCGGATCAAAATGTTAAAAGCAAGCTTTATAGATTCAACTAATCGTTTTTGATTGTGCTCATGGTTTCAATCTATCGAAAACCAGTCAATATCGGTGGTTCCAGGTAAATTACGAATCAAGTTCTATATTAGGTTATTCGGATATAAACGAGCGTTTGCATTGTTTAACTCGTGATAATTTAACTTAACTTAACTTTCCCGCATCTGATCGCCTTTCCAATGGCGTGGAGATGCTCATCAACGATAGAATTTGAACATAGAAACTGTTGAACAAGTTCACGCGTCGTTTGACATGGATCCGGTTCGATTGCAGCCCCCAAAATATCGTTGTCTACCGCTTGAGGTCGACGAGAGTGTTCATCATCCTCGAGACTTTCATCACCATTCCGAAAGCGTTGGAACCAGGCTCGGCATCGGCTTTCGAACAATACATTATTCCCTAAGGCTTGGTCCAAAACTCGATGGGATTCCGCGACTGTTTTGCCCAGTTTGAAGTCGTAAAGTAGGCTTATTGATAAGTAAAGTAGACGCGGACTTGATATATTTGAAGTCGGTCATCTAAAGCAAGAAAAAAGATCTTAAAAACAAGAAATTATCCGTTTAAAAAGATTCCAAAAATACACAAGATAATGTACTTTTAAATACAGAAAGACATATTTTGAAAGCTTCTCACACAACAATAAGTTTAGTAACGCTTGTTTATATCCGAACAACTTAATAGTTGCTGAAGAACTCCTATGAAATGCTGAGCTTTAACCCAATCAAAACTTTCAGTCAATCTACCGCGTGGGTGCTTTTGCTTCAAAATCCTCTCTTTCTCTTTTGGATTTCCCTGTTTGGGTGTTATACATTTTCCCCTTCCTCCAGGTCATTTTTAAGTCAATTTTCGTATTTATTATTTTTCAAATACTTTTAGATTATGAATGCGGCTATTTTCTTCTCAGAAACTCTTCTCCTTTTTATGCCCCATATCATGGTGGCTTTCGGTCTAATTCTTGTTGCCGGACTTTATGGAGGATCAGCGATGGTGAAATGCGTATCACATGTACATAAAATTGTAAGTGTAAGGATGAAAGTTATATCCGTTGGACATTTGACCATAGTAGCTGACAGAAATGCTTTCAGGTTGAACCAGATATTAAAGAGTTTTCTTTGGCTGTTGTTGCCACCACAAATGGAATGGGAGTGCTTTTTGCCTCGTTCACTGGAATTTGGGTAAAAATTGTCTCGTTTATAAAAGGATCCAACTTTGGTTTTCAGTTCCACGACATCATTTGCAAGACAATCGGTTGAAACTGTATAAGAAGATTCACTATTACATTTATTTATACATTTGATGACACGGGTAAATAAGCCCTAAAGTTAATTGGATTCCATTGCACTCATTTCATATTTCATATTTTGAAGTTTGAAACAAAACACGCGTTTGTTAGAAATAAAAATTCAAAATCCACAAAATAAGTGGATGCAAATTCTTTTGCAAATGCACATTCTTGAATTCATGAATTCAAATTCTTGAATTGGTTTATGAATGTCCGAGTGACTAGGCGGAGTCGAGTTTGGAAGAATTTATAAACGACTAGTGGTTGGGATTAGCAACAACTAGGAGAAACGGAATAAACCAAGAACAAACAGAATGACTACGTAACAAATTGAGAAATTACAAGCATCATTCGTTTACAGCTCTATCGTTTTCATATCTGACTGTCTCTAACTAACCCTAACTGTAATATTGTCATGTTCTTTACTCATTTCAAAAGCAAATAATATTCCGATGTGTTTCGGAGGAGAGGATAGAGGAAATGAACAGGGTGGGCGGAGTCAACCAAAGGCTGGATTTTTGCTCTCCGCAGAACGCCCTTCTCTAACACGATATTCTTTCAAACTTCACCCAGTTTGAATTAGGAAATTTCATATTGATTTAGATCATTTAAACCTTATTTGATAGTTTCTGAAGCAGTTTTTCCCTTTTCAACTGATTTCAGAAGGCTTTGTATTAGTGGCTTCGTATTTCGAACTCATTGTCAGACTACCAGTTTTACCATTTTTATCGTCTCTAATCAAAACGTTTAGTTGGCATTGGTTTCTAACTCGCAATGATTCCACGTAAACTGGGCCCGCCCCGCAGAAAGACTCTCATAAAGTGTTTCTGGCAAAAACCAGCCCTTTAGAAATGGAAGGAGAAGGCCCACACACGTGTATGATGGGGAAGCGATGGTGGTTACATGGGGAAAGGGTCTGAATGCTCTTTTTTCTTCTTCACTGAATGGTGATGTTACCCTTTTTCCTGAAACAGACAGACACACCAACACACAAAAATGAAAAGGAAAAAGAGAGATGAACAGAGAGATGAGTGCCCGGTTTGTAGACCTGTTCCCCCTCTCCCCGTTTAGATGATTCCCGAGTTTTTGCTCTCCCATTTCTCGACAATCGTTTTTATGCAACTTTTTTTTTGAATTCCATTAATTATGCAACCCTTTGGTAATTTTCTTTATACTTTAACCTTTTTCATACTCATAAACTCTGATGAGAATCTAAAATTTTGATTGACTTTCTTTTTGACCGATTCGAGCTCAGCTCAGCAGTCAGCCAGACTTGAAAGCTTTTTCACAGTTCTGCGGGAAACCGAACACACATTTGGGGTTCTTTCACTAGAAAAGGAGAGCATTGAGTGTTGGATTGTCTTTGTCTTGGTTTTGGCATCTCATTTTGGCCTCTCACACAAACCTGGTCAAGAGACAAAGAGAATTAGGAGAGAAAATATAGAAACAAGTCACAAAATAAAGTGAATGGTGCAAAGTAAAAACATTCAAACGAAAAAAGAAAAGGAAATCCTGAAGGCTGAGACTGAATTAGGCAAGGACTAGGGTTTTGAAAAGAACAGCCGAACACCTCTTTCGATCGTTTTTTTCTTTCTTCCGCCATGCCATTGCTCGATCTATTGGATCTTTTCTCAAAACGAACACATGTTTTCATGTTTTGCCGCAATCGGTTTTCTTTCTTTGTGCTCCTTGGCATTAACCTGTCTAATAAAAAAGAGCGTTGGAAAATCAATGAAATTTTGAAAGAGAAGCCAATTTCATTTGTACTTTTCTCTCAAGTTAATAAACTTTTCAAGATATGACTTGATAATCTTGCAATTAAAGACCCAACTCAAGTTTGACCATCACTAGATTAACCTTTTCTATTCTTGGATTTGCCCAATGATGTAATCGTAAAAGTTTAACCCTTTTTACCGCAAATTCCCCTTTGATCATCAGGGTTGATTGTATTCGAGTGCAGCTGGTTGACCTTTCATTTCAAAAAGATCTTTTCTCTTTTTTGATTTGATTGAATGAAATGTGAATACAAAGCTTTTCCCTTTTTTCCCTTTTTTCCAATCATTTTGTCCATCGTCGGCTTCTATTTTTTTTTGCGGCTTTTGATGACTGAATGATATCTTTAAAAAGATCCGATTAAACTTTCGAAAGACCAATTCTGAAACAGATTTCTCAAAAACAATTTGATCTTTTTGAATAAAGTCGTAAAAATTTAAAGTGTTTTGCAACAATTACAGAAGTTACTGTGTATTTACTGTGAAAACTCCAGTTATTTCAACAAATCTTTCTTTATTTACCTGTGCAAACTATTGTGTCTGTTTGTTCAAACTAGTGAAAGTACAGTATATCTTTTCTCTTTCAACTTTTGTCCACCTTCATTGTTTATCCCAGGTTTCTTAAAATTTCGTCACAGGTCTAAATTCCTTAATTGTTCAAATTTTTATGTTTTTCTAAAGCTTTTTACTTTTATTCTGTCACATTTTTAATCTGACAAGGAACTTAAGAAAAATCTAGTTTTAAAGACAAGAATGTTCCCGATGCCGGCCCTTCCCGGGCTTTCGATAATCGACAATGACACACGAGCAATGTTGAATGGATTGAATCTTCGATTAAATGATATTGATCTCAAACTGAGCATCATACTTGAACTCTTGGCTACGAGACTTCCACCGAATCAAAGGTCGGTTCTTCCAATGACAAAAACTCAGCAATGTAGTCCACAAGCAACATCAAACTTTACGGTTCTTGATCTATACTCTACTTACAGTATTCTGAACAAGTAGGGCATCGAATCTGTCATTACTTTTCCCTTTTTTGTTTTTCTTTTTCTATCTCATACCGGCCATCCATTTGGTGTGTCAGTTGACGGTAATAACCGTGTAGAGAATTGAGACCAGACTGTCCGGTCAACCTAATGGACAGCCGATTTTGGGGGAAAAATTCGGAAATTCACCCAAAGGCACAAATGGGATTCAGACCGGATTTTGAGATGAGATGAGGGAGCAAGTTCAAATCTGGGAAGCCTATTTTCGACACCCCTTTTTGAGTAATAATTCTATGGAAAGGGAAGGCCGGTAAAGTGGTTGACAGGTTACTTCACACTTCAGTGAACTTATTGCTACAGGGGATGTTTTTGAAAAGGTGTAAAAGTTGTTAGGGAGTAAGTTTAGAGCAACACAAGCTAATTTACAAAAAGATAGAAATACTGCATAAAATGAGTTTAAAAGAGATACAAGTGTAAGCCTTTGGAAGACTAAAAGTTATTTATAATGTTAATGGATATGTTCAGGCTTGCTGCAATGTTCGCTTCTCCTCCTCCTACAGTGATCAATGATCTCAATCATCAAAGAACAGCCTTCAGTCCAGTGGCTGGCAATAGTGGATCGGGAGGATCGGACAAGACTTCCAACAGTCCAAAGGTAATCTAGATTTTAAAAATTATAAGCGAAGTTGTGTGAATTCAGACTGAAGTGAAAGATGAATCTGATGGTGAACTTGATCTCGAGACGGACGGAGTCAACGATATGGATGAAGACGAGCCGGTGATGCACGAAGAACAGAATATTCAGGTAAATCGTTAGAGCCAAGGTTTTCAAAACCTAGACTATTTCAGCCAGCCGATCACTCGTTGAAAGATCTCCTCGAGAAGGCTGGCCAACTGGCAACAATGATCATGCCTCAAGATGCCTCACTTAAAGTATTTTCATTATAATAAAAAGCAGCACAAAATTCAGTTCATCTTTTTACATACACAGTTCCAGGAGGAGAAATCTACTCATATGGATGGCCCATTTCCCGAAGGAGCCGTGAAAAGAGCGGCTGAAAAAGCAGCTCGATCATTTCAAAGCACTCAACCCAAGGTTTGTTTGAATTTGAATTGTTTGAATGTTTGAAATCAAAACCTTCACTTTGACTTTAACTTCAATGACTCTCGTTTCTAATAAAACTTTTATTTTTCCAAGACTGCTCTTCCTCTTTTTTTCCAGACCCAAAAGCAATGCGAAAATCCGCTTGACCAATGTTTTTCCTTGAGTTTTGCAAAATTTGCATAGCCGTCCCAAAAACCCCAGCCGAAAAATTTGCATAGTGTGGTGTCTGAAGGGGGGAAAGGGGGCTGGGTGTTTCCTGGAGGCATTTCTGTTCCAACATGCGCAAAACCCTTGGTGAAAGGCGGGAAAACGATGATATCTTTTGGGTCCCACCCAACATATTTACATAGAAAATTCGCAAATATGCAAACATAGTGGATGTGGTGCGGGAAAAAAGAACCCCCAGAAAAAAAAGAGACGAAAAATGGTGTAAAAACGGGCGTTTCAAGAGGGCGGGTAAAGACGGGCAAAAGTGGTGCGCACCACCGGGGAAAGACAACACTGAAACGGGCCGATGAAAACGCAAAAAGCAAACTTTGAGTCAGGGAAAGAGGGGGGAAAGTGGGACTGAGATTAGGAAAAGACACCAAAACACCAATGTGGTAGAGATGGAAAGGGTTGGGGGAAAGGTGGATGCTTGAAAAATTCCCTGCAGCAGCCAAACAAATGAAGTTGGTCGAAAAACAGAGTGAGGGTTTGTTTTAAGCGTTGTCTGAATACTAACTGCAATGAAGGAAATCCCCGTTTGAGTAAGCTGAGTAATTAAATTGGACTTTACAGTACTTTACAAGACTTTACAATTTTTGCCTCCCTCTGCTCGTATTATTTTCTTTCTTCAAAAGTGCATTGAACTTTTTGCCTCAACACCAGAACCCTTTGAAAAACGCCTGATCTCAATCTTGGATTGGTCAAAAAGAGAATAGAACCAAAGAAACGAGCTAGTGTGGGTCCCATTTTGGCGGATGGTTGATGACTTTGCACTTTGAAGGGGAGAAAAGGGGATGGTTTTGTTTTCAATCCATACTGTTCATTTCTCTCTTTTCCCACTTAAATGAGGAGATTCTATGGTTCGGAACCATCGAAGAGTGACATCCCAACAAGCACTGAAAGAAAAGTGAAAGATCCGAACGAAAGATTATGGTAGGGGAACACCTAGGCTTTAAAAGATCATTTTCTGCACTTGTAGAGAAAAAACGGTTGGGTTTCGGAGAGGTTTACGTTTACGTTGAAATTTTTGTTAAAAAATTGCCACTAAGCTACCTAGTTTGTTGTTTAGCTCAAGGTTTTGTTTGAAGCCACGTTATTTAGCCACGTTATTGAAGCACAGTTTTTCCAGCAAGTTGGCTTTTTCCGAGAAAAAATTTCCTAAAAAGCGTTTCCGAAATGCCATTCGAAGTTAGTTCCCACGGTTTCCTTCACAATTTTTTATGACGACAATTTGGTGTCTGTAGAGAAAAACCCGAAACCTTTCAAATAGAGAAATTTATCCATGAAAGAATTCAGAAAATGAGCAATATGGAATTTTAAAAAATTAGAGTTAAAGTATCCTTTTTTTGTTTCTTTTGATGTGCGATCAAAAGAAATGACCCTAAAAGTGCAACCAAGTATACGGTATTCATTCAAAGGGAATCACCCACTCTTTCTTCAATCCTTTGCTCGATACGGAAAAAAAACCTTGAACTACTGAAAGAAAAGTGGAAAATTAAAGAAAAAGTCAGAAAGTTTATTGGAAGCTCAGAGAAAATACGAATATTTTTGCAAAGAACAGAATGTTGAATGCTTCAAGAAAAGAGTGCATGACAATAACAGCTCATAGGCATTTTTTGGAGGCAGTTTTTGCCAAAAGCTGCCTCTTAAACGTTTTATTTGATCATTTTAGTAAAGACTAATTCAGGTGTTCGCTTGGCAGATTCTCCGTGAATCAGTCACCGATGATGAGTTGAGAAATGTGCAGATTTCGTTACGAACATTTCATGGAGAAACCGCTGCTCATCTGTTGAACAGGCAACTTCCAAAGGTAAGATTAGAACCAACTAGTACTCGGGTTTTTCTTGGCATTCAAAAAACAAGTTTACTTCAACTACATACCTCCATTTGTCTCTGTAAAATAAACAGCTGAAACAAATTTCAGATCCGTTTGGTTGTTGAGGCAACGATGCGCTATTTCAAATGGGATTCCCTTCCCGATGAATCGCAATTAGCAAAAGCAAAGTTGATACTTAGGTAGGTAGATAGGTCAAGCAACATCAATATTTGAAAAAATTAAACAATGTTATGTTTTAGTCACCTCAAGAACAATGCAAAGGTGCGTAATTGGACTCTCCGAGAGGGACGACCAAATCGAGCTGTTCCATCACCGATCACGTCAGTTCAAAAGATTTAAGTAAAATATACGCATTTTATAAGTTTAAGGAATATTTCCAGGCTTAAAACTTCTCACAACTCTTTAAGTATTAGGCTGTTCAGAAGGCCTTCAGAAGGCGTTGAAACATAAGAGATAAGGCGTTTTAAATCCGTTTTAATGTTATTTTGCAGAAAAATAATTGGTCTTTCTAATGAAACAAATCGTGGTTAAATTGGTGCGTTTGTTGGTTTTAAACGGAAGTACGAAAAGGAACAAAAAGACTTTCTGGACAGCCTAATACAGTGATTTCATGGGATGGATTTCCCTTCCGGGCGGTTGAGTCAAGTAATTGCCACACACTGTACAGGAAGAGACAAAAATTGCCTTTCTCTCCTCTTTTCCCACTCCTTTCCTTTCTCATCCTTTTCCCATAAAGTGCTAATGCAGTTTTGACATTGCCCTCCATCCATCCACACCCATTTCAATCTCTTTCCCATTTCAATTTCTCTTTTTCTCTTCATCCTTTCTGTTCACACGCAACAGGTTCAATTTTGTGACCAAAATGGGCATTGTTGCGGAAAGAAATCCAATAACCTACCGAAAATTTTGATACTTCATAAGGATTGGAATTGTGGGATAAATAAGAGAAAACTGCAATAAATATAAATTCTACAAAGTTCAAGAAAAACAATTTCAGAGCTCCAAATCCAGCCGAGTTGGTGTGGCGTCGATACGCGGCTTTATTGGGCTCTGGAGGACTTGCTGCAGCCGGTCTTCTCCCAGCCACCATGCCCCCAAAGATTTAAATTTTAATGCAAATTTTTATGAAACAATTTCACTGTGATTTCTTTCAGTTCCTTATCAATCTCATTTTCGGCAATATCCTTTCAAATTACCTCGATTTCCCCTTGCATTTAGCCCTGAGATGAAGATTTGAAAACCGATGCTTTTACTTTTTGCTTTCATTTCTAGTCTTTAAAATCTTATTTACCCTAAAGTCGCGAGTATAAGTTCTGTTTGGTTTTCGCATGCAAATTGACGGCTGTCTCCGGTGCGGTGTGTCGAGGGTTCGAACCCTGCTGCAGCATAACTTTTTGCTTTTTAAGAACAATAATAGAAGTAAATTTATTGAGGGTTATAGCAATTTTATGCTGTTATTTGTTGCTCCGGGCGTGGCTCGGCGCGTCCGCCCTGCTCCTCTCCGGTGCTCAGTCTTATGGATCCCTCCCTGGCCTCTTCATCCGGCCAAAGTCCACGTCGACGGTCGAAAGAGATGCTTTCCAGCGTCTTCTTCAACACTATCGTCTGGATGTATCCATGCACATAACAAATAGCAATGGTGATAGGCTGTCACCCTGTAGTATCCCGCGCTCCAAGAACAATAATAAAAGTTTATATAACAATAAAAATGTATAAAATCCCAACAAAAAGAAATTCAAAGCAATTAAAGCGAATGTAAATTAAGGCAGAACTTATACTCGGATGAACTTATACTCGAGACTTTAGGGTAATATTCAGTTCATAGCAACACTACTTTTAAAGCTTTAATTTAGGTGCTATGGAAACGAAGAGTGCCTACTTTTGAAGTTGGAGACTTTAGCTTAACTTGTGCCCAATGGCGATCCGCCCAATTTGTTCCAATTCTCGCTTATCTCATTCAAATTTTCCTTATGAATTCATAATTCCTTATAATTCCACTCATTCTACCTCATTTTCAAATCATTTTGATTCTTCACTTCATTTTTCTTTTCTCCGCATAACCTCATCTAACCCTCGGGTTAACAAAAACTTTAATCCTTCAAATTCATGATCATTTTATTCAGTTTTGTTTGCCTTTGACTGTTTGCTGATTTTTCACTTATCAAAATCAATATCTCCAATAAATTCTTGTGTCCAAGTTGCTTAATTTGGAAAAAACCAACGTGTTTACAACTAGAAAAGGCAAAACAAAGGGAAGAAATGAATCATTTCGGAGAAAGAAAGGAAAATGATGGAATTTCTGAGAAATTCCCTGTTTTCAGAATTGTTATTCCTCATTAAAGACTGATTTTCGATGAATACTTCAAAAATTCTACAGTGTTTCATTGAAGAAATCAGTAAGTTACACAACTTTTCACAATTTCAAAGTTTTAGATTTAAAATCCATCTATTTATTTGAGCCAATGGAAAAGACATTCTCTGTGGCTGTTTGTGTTGTCGCTGATCGAACGGTTTCACAACTGAGCCAATCATTTTTTAGAGCCAATTTTAGAGCCATCAAACTCCCAAAAATCTCTATTATGATCAAATGCATGATGGGATTGAGAGGTTGAGTAAAACATTTTAATGTCTATTTCAACAAAAATTCATAGAATCGATCGGGCCTTTGTTGAGATGATTATGAATATCAATGAAAATGAGTGAGCAAAATGAGATTGCTAATAAATGCTTTTAAATAATGCCTCATTGCACTAGTTACTGCATTGCGTTGGTAACTCCTGGTACAGAAACAACATATTCCTGATTGTAAGAACCTATTCCTGTAATTTCTAGGCTGCTTTCTAACATTCTCCTTAACTCACCAATGTTAATATCTTCCTTGTTGTTTAGTGAATTGTTGTTGAAGAATTGTTGAAGAGTTGAAGAGTTGAAGAGTTGAAGAATTGTTTAGTGAAGTTTCTATAAACGTCAAATCCAATTCAAGTAGCGATTAAAGCAATTGCAGCATGAGATTCGAAAAGAAAAACCAGTAGCATTGTTTGAAACACCAAGATAAAGTTGTTAAGTTGATGTAATGGTAAATTATTTGAAGACCCTTTCATTATCGATGCAATTAATGAACCTCCCAAAAGGAGCAAGAGTCAAATATCTTGTTTTAAAATGTCATCCATATAAATACATTTGTGAAATCATTTTCTGTGCCTGTAAACTAAAGTAAATCTACAAATTACTTTACAAAATCAAAGAGATTAAAGTCTCAGCTTTTCAAAAGTGTTCACCTGTTGACGCTACCAATGCCATTTTTGAGCGGGAACTCTTTTTTCTTTTAAACCCCACCTGCACTAAATGAGCAATCATGAGCCTTTTCTGTACAACTTTTGTTGTTTCTGACATTTGAACAAGCGAAGAAAAGAAAACGTCGCAAACAGAAAGAAAACAATCTAGAATTGAAGAAGTTCTTCGTTAAAGTTTGATGGGAACAACATGACAAATGCAACAATGCTGACACCGATAATAATAAGATGAGTAATTGGATCATGTAATCGATCCCCAACCGCAGAAAAAAAATTTGACTGATTTATAGAGAAAATCATCGGATATGCCTAAAGATATAAAGAATTGGTAAATTTAGCTAAAAGCCTTGCCAACCTTGCAATAGGCAACTGCCGTTATTCAGGAATCATCTATTTAATCATTTAATCTACTATATATAAAAGAGCAGTATCTGTCCGTCCGTCCGTCTGCACGGGCTGTTTCTCGGCCGTCTTTGGACCGGCTGGTGTAAGCCATACTGAGATCATAATGACAGGTTGAACGATGAGGATCGCTAGAGCTAACTTGGTCGCACTAAATTCATTTGTGACTCTAACTTCGGATGGCTAAAAGCTGGAAACGGGGCCTTGAATTGCGAAATTCAAACCATTCATTCAATCGAAACCTCCCGTCATTCCCATTTAAAATGTTTTGTCGCTCGAAAAAGAGAAATAAAATTGACATGACTATCAAATAGAGAACAAAAATGTCAAGCATCTGAAAGTATTGCTTACCACAAAATTTTTATTTTACTTACATAGATATTTTAATAGCTGATGAACCAGGAAAAGTATTCAAAGAAAAGAACTCCGAGAATGGGATCAGAATGAAAGGACAAACAGCAAATGTCAATCATCACAAACCGTATTGACAATCTCAAAGTCTTAGCTTTTCAAAAGTTCATATCTCTTTCGTTCAGATACATTTTCATGACACAGTAAGCCAAAAAATCTACCTGGTAGATGAGCATAAAATATTGATAAATATGCAAAATAGTTTCCTTATTCACTGCGTAAACAAAAAATAAACAAAAACAGTTAATGAGCGAGCCAATAACTGAAACATTTATGGGCTTTAATTGATATTCTGTATTTTCATGGTCTGTAGATATTTTGCACAATTTGGAACTTTTTGCTGTTCGAAGATCTATCTTTTCTTACCAGAATAAAACTTCCAGTAAAGCGATATTTGAAACATTACAGGCAGTTCAATTGCATTAATCTTTAACTCTTCTTGGATCAAATCACATTCCGGATACATTTAGAATCAGACAATGCTCAAAAGGAAATGAAATCCAACGTTTAACATAACAAAGCCATTTTTGGCCTGGCTGCCATTTCGGACGACAGCTATAGACCTAAAAGGTGTAGACTTGAAAGCTATAGACCTAAAAGCTGTAGACCTGAAAGCTGTAGACCTGAAAATAAATTTGCAACCGGAGGCATTATGGGATGGAGAATCTGAATCCGTTATTAGCTTTTGAGCAACTTTAATTTCCGATCAATACGATCATCACAAAACCTTCTAAAACTTACGCTACCTACGTAACCGGACTTACGTTTTGTCTTTATCCCTAGAGGCCTTGTGCCAGAAGCCGCGCGATTACATAAAATGAAAATTTTTACGTTTTTGTAATTGTGCACCTTCTGTCACATGGCCTGGGTGTGGGGTTGCACTTGAGTAATTGAACTGAATGAAATATCCAAAAATAGAGCAGTTTTCTTTAGAAACCCAAGTACTCGAATTCCTTGACCCCGAAAACCCACTGGCGGAAATTTTCCGCCCAATTGGCCTCAAAAAAGTGCTAAATCCAAGTACGGCCCACCAGTGGGCCGTATCGTCAACAGCTCAATTTAATTTCAACAGCCGTATCGTCAATTTAATTTCAACAGCTCTTTTTTTTGCGAATACTTTTTTCACGGACCTCAGGAATTTAGCTGCTTTTTCAGCGTCTCGGTTTTTAGAATTTCAGATCATTTTGAGCTATTGACAAAATAAAAAAAGGCTGGGCAATTTATTGATTTTGAAAAACTGTAGATTTTTAGCTACTCTAAGTAACTTCTATGATCTTAAAAGCTTTCAAAAGTGGTACATGATACAAAATGATATGCTTTTTGAGTTTTCTAATCGCATTATCAAATCTAATCTTTTGTATAATAAAAATGTTTGCTTTTCTGCCTAAGCTTTTTTCAAACATTTATGCACATTTCATCATTATAAAAACATGCAAATTGTATCAAACTAGTCTTGAACAAATATGTACACATGCGGAAATAGAGTTGAACATTGCACAGCAACAATTCACACAAAAATATTTGACTGTTGATGGATGTTGGACGGTGATTACCTGACTACATTTGTTGGAGAAAGTTTAACTTTTAACAAATTGCAAACAAACAAAATATATACACACTAAAAACACGTTTTTTTTGGTTTCGACCAGTGAAGCAACTCGTAGAAATTTGGAAAATTGATATAGAATTCGTTCCTAGAATATATTTAAAGATTGTGATTTTGATTTAAGTTCATTTTTGGTGTTGACGACCACGACGCTTTCTTTTGTCGGCTCTCTAAAAATATTGGTTTTTGCTCTGCTTTCCTCAAACCTCAAATTCATCTTCTCTCATACGATCATGTGGGGCTCGATGTCCTCCTGAAAAATCTGATAACAAATGTTGCTTTGATAAGTTTAAATCGTTTAGAAAGATTTATCCTTTTTACAAAACTAACTTGTCTGATTCATTCCCACATTGCAGTAGTCTCCACGGCACAACATGGCTTCAACCTATAAACTTTTGTAGTTCAGCAAGTTGTCTGGTTACTCACATGAATATTATTTCCCAATTCGATATTTCTTGGTTGTGAATCGGGGATTCGTCGAAGATCACTCTCGTCAAACGATCGAAAGTCAGCCTTTTCAGCACAATCTCTCAGCATTCCTAGGAAAATTTTGGGATACGTCGTTACTCTTTGGCTACCAATGAAATCTTCTCCTCGAAAATAAGTGGCCACCAAGCATGGTCCCTTGCACATCACTTGATACCTGAACTAACTTTTACAGGCTTAAATATTGTTCGAAACACTTTCACTTATCCTTTGATCATTCAAAAACCAAAACTTTAACCCTTTCTTATCCGGCTTATTGCTGATCGTCACCGAAGTTTATAGCTTTTTTTCTAGAGTTTTTATGTGCTAATAACTATAAACCGTTTAGAGACCAAGTATGTTTATTTTTTGGAAGAACAACGTTCCAAAAGTATATAAATAGAAAAGATCAAATCTAACAAGGAAATGGTATCAATTTGGAAGCTGAGAATCGATGCGCAACTTTTTTGGAATGAATGAGAGGCTAATAAGAGTTTGTTTATTGAGCTCCAAGTACATTTTTGCCTTGAGTCCATAATTAGATCTATCCAACGTTTAAAAAGTACTATTATACGTGAGTACTTACGCATAAATGTCTCTATTGCATGATGGAGGTAGAGGGACTCTCATTCGCCGTTGAACCATGTGTGCAAGAAGGACGGGTGAAGCCTGAGAAATTGAATACATTGGCCTAAAGAGTTGTTTGGAGTTACATTGAATCCATGTTGGTCGATGCAGATGTAACACCAATATGGATCATCTTCTTCGAATCGAATCACTTTGTTGGACTGAAATATTATATCATCAGGCGAAAAATCGGCCTAACGGTGGGTTCTTCTAGCTGAATGTTTTGGGACTGACGCATAGTTTTTGTCACCAGTCGCAAGCGCGCTCGTCTACGGCTCACAAGAAATTTGGTAAAGCAAAAGAATAATAGCCTGTTTGTTAGAGATCTCATTCCAATATTCAACCACTATATCATCCTATCATTTTTACCTGATTTTCAAGCGTTTCATTTTCGGTTGTGTTGAAGAGTCGAAGAGGTCTCTGTCCAAAATTTTTGTCCATTAAAATCTAATTCTTGAATATAAATCCCTCTTTATTTCAATTCAACCTGAGGCTCAGAGATTTTTTGTGGAAGAGATGGATCCTCTTTGAGGCCAAACTGAAATAAAGTGGAATCAGTAACTTGTGAGATCATTAAATGCTTTATTTTGCCGATTTGATCAAATCATAAATCATAAAACAAACCCATTGTAGAAAATCCCTTTCACCACGCACCATAAGCGGAAGAAGGAGTAAACTTTGGAAAGCCCGCAATCTCATTTCTGAATTAATACGCTACTGACATGCTTACGACCAAGAAATCTTCAAAAATCTAATAAGCAAATAGCAAAATTCCTGCTTAAAAAGAAATAAATTGGCACCTCGTGTCGAACGACAAAGAAGGTGATAAGAAAAAGGAAGCTGGAAATGAGCCACTCAAAGCAAAAAGTAACTGTCTTAATCTTGATCTTTCATGAGAAAAAGGAAAAAGGTTTAAAGAACAAATCTTGCTAAACGAATTTTCTTAAACGAGGTTCCTTATTAGATTTATGTAGTTAGCTGACTATAATCTCCATTGAGAGACTAAAAACAACAATGAGTGGGTGGAAAGTGTTTGCAAGTTTCATGATGAAACAATATTTTGAGAAATAACATCTCTGGCAAACATCTGTCCTGTTTATGGACAAGCCTCTTGTCCAGTTTATGGACAAGCTAATGTGCAAAAGCTTTTAAATGCACAGAACTTTGATACCAAATCCAAATCAAATCTTAATATTTGAACCAAAGCTTTATCGTAAAAAAAAAGAAAATCCCAGCAACGAGATCTTCAAAAATTCAAAATGTTTATTGAGGTTTAATCTTTTTCTCTTTTTCATCTTCTTCATCTTTTTCAACTAATCCTCCCAAGTCTCTCTCGAGCTCTATAATTCCCCGATTGACTTTTTAGAGCTCCATTTTCCTTCATCATCTGAAGGGTACTGTGTAAATAATTTTTGAGTTTCGAGAAAGGGCTTAAAATATAATTCTCGGGATGATTGGAGGATCGACGAAAGATTAATTTTGTTGATGCTAGTAAAAGATTTATATTTTGTGACACTTGATGAATGGATTTTAACTTCCTCAATAGTAAGAACTAGAGTGTGTTCCCCGCGACAAATTAATGAATCGATTCAAGTTGAACGATTAAAATTTTAATAGATTAATCGTCGATTAATGCGTTTTTTAGAACGCACCCTCGGTCAACTATTCAGCCATCGGTCAAGTTAAATTAAGGTATTAAAGACCGTTGCAAAACTTTGCGCTTATTTTTTATATTTTATGAATCTTGTCTTATTTTGTTCTCGATTTTTACATTTGCACATATTGAATTTTGGATTTTTTTTCTCTCGGGGATTACGGGACTTTTTCTCGGGGCGCGTTTTAGAAAACGTACTAATCACGAGGAACACACTCTAATAAGAACAATATTCAGAATTTCTAAAATGTCTCAAGCCAAAAGTGTTACGTAGGCTAGATAAACTGATAAGAAAACTTTAATAAGTAGCGGTACGGACTGAAATTTTGAATGCTTATTTCTGGAAATCAAGTGAATGAACCCACCCCCGGAAATGTCATGGTGATAACCAAAAAAACTCAAACTTTCTGATCTCATAATACGATTGGCGACAAAAAACGATGACCTTTTGAGAGCAGCTGTAACATCGTGCAGAAAATTTGAGGTTTAACGGGTTTTATCCCAAATTATACAGGAAATGCAAGGAAGTTCTGAGTTCAAATTCTGGGAACACTTCAAAAAGATGCAAAGCAGAGTTTATTTTAAAACCATTCAAAACTTCGAAATTACCGGTTTCCTGCTGAAATTGGAATGTTTGATGCAAAATGGGGGAATTATGCCTTTCAAAAGCAAAGCAAACACCTGTTGAACCAATTTCTTATGGATACTGTAGCTTTGACCCTATTACTAATTCTAAAAAATCGGAAATTCGTGATTCGCATTGAATATTTAGATTTTGTGAACGCTTTGATCTCATCAATGCCTCTCATTTTGTAATCATTAATACCAGCTGAACTTTGCCGCATTAAATATGATGTACTTGCCGTTTTTTGTGCATTTTTCTGAAAGAATTTTTGATTCGTAAATTTTATTAAAATGTCAAGCTCTACTAATGGTTCTAATCCATAGAAATTACCAAGCGCTCATCAAAAAAGATACAGAAAAACCATAAAATGAAATGAAAAGATACAACTAGGAATGAATTTTGTCAAAACAATTTTTATTGGAAAATTGTAATCATACAACAATAAAATTTCATTGCCATTAAAAAGCACACGTCACTTTTCACAATTGTTGGGCAAGATTTTGAGATTACGGTGATGAACACAAAAATCAAACCAAATAAGTCCACAAAATGACAAAATTGTACAAAAAACTCGAAAATATATTCTGCCATCACAGTTTTTTTAGATATTGTAGTTTAGAAGCTTAAAGATCAAATGGAAATAAAAACAATAGAATTTTCCTCGCAAAAACACATCATTCATCTTCGTAAAATACTTGATTAGGGTCACTGTTGGCCTCCTAGAAAATTCTTGTGATTTGAAAGTTAACCAATAGACATTTTTCATTTAAACACCAAAACTATATCCTGTAATGTTTACCTGAATTCCCAACAATCTTGCCATTTTATTACAAGTTTTCACAATTAGCATTGGAGCATTGTTCCGTCCTCGAGTTGAAGCTGAGACCATAAAGGCCTAAAAAGCAATAAATTCGGGATATATTTAAAACAGCGCCGAATAGAAAACGTTCAAAATAGCGACAAAAAACCAAGCCGGTTCAAATTTTATACCAAAGAATTTCTTGCGTTCTTGACTACATGATGAGTGAAACAGTTTTTTAAAAAAGTTAATATTTCATGGATAAAATTAGCGTTAAATTTAGTTAAATTCGCGTAAAATTAGCGATCTTTAGATCTCCTTTGAACGCTTTTTATCTATTAAATGTTAACTTTTTAAAAAGACTGTTTCACCCATCATGTAGCTAAAATGCAAGGAATTTTTGGGTATAAAAATTGAATCGTCTTGTTTTTTGAATTGTGGGAATTTGTTTTGTTTTGACGGCGCTGTTTTGAACGTTTTCTATCATGGCACTGTTTTAAAACTACATTCCATAAATTCTTATAGCTAAATTTCTTGAATTTCTTTGTTATAGATGTGATTTTTAACCAACCATGTGTTCTTTGAGATGAGCCTCGCTTTCCCCAAGAGAAACCGACTTTTGACAGCCCTAAATTGATTGACGATTTTAAACTCGACGGCTTGTTGAGCTTACTTATGATTAGATTTCAGTAAACCTCAAAACACTTACCGTGCACGTTGAATTTGGAGCATTAGAACTTCTTGCAGTGTGTTTGTTGACCCAATGTCGAAGCAAAGCTTTGTTCTGAAAAGTTATCTCTTGTTCCCAATTTAAAAATCAACAATAAATGACCTGATTGGGCCCTTTCATTTCTTCTCCACAAATTCGACATCTCAGAATGCGAATAATTCCATGAATGAGCTCATGGGTATAGTTAGGAATGCCAGTTTCTACTTTGGCCCAACAATTTATCGTTAAGCATAATCTGCAACAACGGTCATCTCCATTTCTGAAATATGCAAATCATGCAAGATAATGGCTTTGAAGTAGACTATCCAATTCTCAAAAGCTTTACAAATCTCGCTTTACCTTTTATGTTCGTTGTCGTGCGTTGGAATGGCCTCATTTGCCGCAAATTTCATACCACATCTGAAAGTTTTGTTATAGGTCACTTTAAACTGACTAGAAGTTAATTATTGAACGATTGAAAACTAACAGCGCTTGGTGTGGGAGTTGTTTGGCGTGCACTGTGATGAGATGTATCTTCAAGCTCAATGACGAATTCAAATTTGTCTCCAGGCACGCCGGAAACGGACAACTAAGCTCAAAGTGCGATGTATTGCTAAATTTAAATATTCTGAATTCCTAAATTTACTTCGTTACTCACTTTGTATGTTCAAGCATATGTTGAACAAGATCTTGTTCTTCGTTCCCGGAAACCGGCTTATTACATTCCAAGCAGAAGTATTTGTTTTTCGTTCGATGGATCATTTTGTGGAACATTTGGTCAGCATCCGTTTTAACTTCCATTTTACAAAGCTTAAAATTTGGATATAAACGTTAGTTTTTGCTTGTGTTTACCTCACAGATTACTCTCACAGCTTGTTGCGGTTGAGCTTGAGCAGGCTTGGAAGGCAGAACCTGAAAATTCTGTCATTAGATACCCGAGGAGCTGTATTTTTTAAGGTAAGCTCCTTATTAACTCATACTCTTTAAATATGAACTCACTCACCCCATTTTCTGGCATTCTGCTGGGCCCAGGCTGGAGAGGCATTCTTTGTGGTTGCATTTCACCAGATGGAATTCGTTCAGCATAGCCACCAGTGGGTGTTGTTGGATAAGCGCCTTGAGGTTGTTTTTGTAGTGGATTATTTTGTTGAGGACGCTGTCCTTGTTGAGGCAATAAATTTGAAAAATTCGGTGTCATGATCGGTCGTGTGCGAATGGGTATATCTGGTGGAGGAATCCCATGCACTGCAGAAATCCTCTGGTCAGGTATTAATCCTTGAACTTGAGCCATCCCTGGAGGAATTCCCATCGGAAACGGATGAAACGGTGGATGAGGATGGGGCATTCCAAAAATGTGACTCGAATGAGGTTGGCCCATTAGTTGCATTTGAGCCGCCATCTAAATGCGTGCTTTACTTTTTAGTGATTGAAAACAAGTATAGAATCTTCTAAACCTTCAAGCTCGAGCTATAGATATAAATAAATAGATATTACTTTGCCGTTATACGTAGTCAGAGTAGTAGTTACCTGTGTTGAACGTTGATTCATTGCAACCATGTTCATCAAGTGTGGATTCTAAAAAAATTAATTGAAAAGGCAGTAGTTCTAGTTTCATAAAAGAATTTACAAGCTAATCATTAGCATAAAAAAGTTGTTGAAAGCAAGCAGCACTGACCATAACATTAGGAGTGCTCGTTATTGGAGCATTTACAGGACTGGGAGGAGCTGGAGTTACAGCAGGGAAGGCCCTCGAACTTGTGGCAAAGTTTGGATAGCGATGAGCCCTTGGAGGTTGGAGTTGCTGTGGTCGTGGTTGGGGTGGTACCTAAAAAGACAACGAAGTTGTACAACAGCCAATTCAATCCATGTATAACTCGAAACACAAAATTAATAGTAAACATATTCTTTAAAATTGCTTTGGTTTACCTGTTGTTGGGGAACATATACCGCAAACCGTTGTTGAGCAACTTGTGGGCGTTGAGGCTAAAATACTATCAACTAGACATCACAAAACAAAAACAAAAGATGCAGATTAAGGCTCACTTGTTCTCTAGATTGGTTTGAGGGACCAGCTTGTGCTTCATATGCCGCTTTTTGTTGTTGCTTTCGAGCTAAAAGCCCCATTTCTTCATGCATCTTCATTGTCACATGTGCAGGGCAAAACATAGCCAGTGGAGACATCTGTACTTATGATATTGATCTTTCGCACAATCAAATAAATTTGAGACTGTTTTAAACTAACCGCAACATTCCATCTGAATGTGTCCGGATCAAGATGATGTTCATTCACCAAAGCCACCATAAAAAAAGCACGCCAATTCAGAGCTTCCACTCCAGGCAAAGGCATTAATTGTCTTTTCTTCAGACTTCCACAAACAAGACAAGTAGAGAGAGCCTACAATTAAATAATTAGATATTGTCATAAAGAATCAAAATTGAAAGCAATTGATTCCTACCAGATCAAAGTTTTCCTGTGATTTTGGACTGATTGTGGCGGCTGGGAAAAGTCCAGGGGGAGTTGCGTGGCAATAACAGGCATATCTTTTTCGTCCATCTTCTCCCATTAATTTCCATCGAAGTTCAAACTGCAAATTTCTTAAAGTTACAGTATCGGACATTAACCTACAAGTTTTTTTCCTTTTAATGAAGATTTTTCCCCGAATAATAGCTTATAAATCAGTCAAAATGTGTAAAAACACTCATCTTTTGATATTTCAAGTTTAAACATTTGATAGCGATGCATAAAATTTCTATTTTTGGCTATTTTGGCTGATTTATAAACTCTTATTCGGGAACAAATCTTCATTAAATGAAAAAAAAAACTGTAAGTGAATGTCCGATACTGTATGTGAAAGCACTTAGGCCATCAATTAGAACAGGGAGTTTTGCCGGTCGGACATTGTCGGAAATTTCTTTTACTTACCATAAGTTGAATCTGTCTCTTTTGTGTTTTCTCAGCCTCAACACATTCATCACACTAAAGCTTTATTTTAAAAAGAGACCTAATGAGCAAATTTCTTACAAATTTCTTGATGTAATTCCTCCATAGTTGATAAGTATCATCTGAAACGTGGAACATGTTTCGAGTCTGAAATCCGCACACAACACAATGCAATCCGTCTCGCTTCTGAAAAGAAAAATGTCTCTGGAAAAAAAATGGTTAGTAAGCTTTTGATTTCTTGAGTTTCCTATTTCTAAAACCAACCTTTTGCCATTTATTTCCCAAGATGAACTCGTAATATGGATATTCGGGTTCTTTTACAGTAGTCTCAAAATTACTCTTTGGAATCACAATTTTCGCACATGGTGTTTGTAGAGTCTGCTAAAATTGTTGTTTAGGAAATCGAACATTTTTTACATCTACCTGCACTTGTTGTATTCGAACAGTGGGCGGTTGAACTTGTCGGTTTTGAGGTGGCAAAGGTGTACTCAAGCTTTGGCACGAAGAAAACTAAATTTGTTTAATTTAGGTATCATTCGTTATCAACCAAGTTTTTCAAACTATAAAATTTGTCAGAAAAATCATTTTCATTCCATAATTTGTTTGTTCACTTACCCCAGAGCTCGATGGCGTAAACTCTCTTTGACACTGTTGACGTTCGAGCCGGTGAGTCTAAAAGATTTGTTAGCTTTTTCAAGAATAACATTTCTGCATTGCAGCGATATGCAATGTGTCAATAATTTTTAGTCTTTTGCTATTCGAGCGATCCACCTGAAGACCTTGCGCTGCCGTGGGGGGCTGAAGAGGAACTCTCATCGTTGATTCACCCTGTGCCGCTTTCAACCGAACATAGAACGGTAGATCTAAATATTTGGCTCTTTCCTATTACCTCTAAAAAAATCGAGTACCTTAAAAAAGCGGGGACTTTTAGAAAATCGGCTACCTTATACAGCGATTTGATGCTTTGCTTTAGCGTTGATGTTTATATATAAATGTTTCTTTTTGAACAAAGGTTGAGGTTTTATGGTAACGGATAGGTGGCTTCCATTCTCATCAATAAATGTTGAAAAACTTGTTTCTTTCCAGCAACTCTTCTGAACATGTACTCAAAAAGATATCGGGAGACAATCTTTTGTTGTTCCACGGAGGTGTTGAATGGAGTTTTGAAAAAGAACCACAAATACAGAACAATTTACATTGTACTTGAAATTGCTTCTACATTGGAACTGCACTAAACAAAACTGTCATCAATTAAATCAGAAGTAACAAAAACAAAAAAGTAATGAAAGCCTTAAAACAAAACGGGACAAACGCAAATGTTAAAAGTTGGTTGGTGAATCGCTGTATAAGCTACCCGATTTTCTTAGGCACCCGTTTAAGGCGTTACACGGTTAAAGTACCCAAATTTTTTTTCTTTGCTATTACTGCTAGGTACAGTAATAGGAAAGAGTCAAATATTCATAGTTAATGTAGTAAAACAATAATAAAGATCTCACTTTGTGGATTTCGCATCCCCACTCTATTCAAAATTGACCAGGGATTTTGAATGATAGTTCTCCCTCTTGCCATCAACGCTTCCACTTTTTCCGTCTGATCTTCGAATGTGCCCGTGTAAGCTTGTTGAATGTACTAAAGAATCATTCTGCAAAATTTGAAAAAGAAAAAATTTAGCTTAAAAGTCAGTGTTTATCTTATCGAGTTACCCAAGTGTTGCAATTTCTATCCGAACATAAAACAAATGGATATTTGTCGGCGAGCAGCGTTTTGTGATTACATTGGGAGGGAATGGCGGTCGAAGGCGGATTTGGAGAAGCGAGAATCTAAAAGTTGATATTAAATGAAGATCAGGTTGAGCATTTAATATTCAAAGCGAATAAAGCTGAAATGTAGGGATTTCTGGTATTTCTGTTTCACCTTTATCCATGCATTTTCATCAGCCGGTTGATAGTTGACAGTGTTTACCGAAATGACCCCCAATGCTTGTTCTCCTTCGAGATTTATCGATGGTGGGAAGGTTTCATTTGGTCGTTTCTGAATCCATAGTTTTTTTTATAATCTTCAAACGACTTACCGCGGCTTTGCAAATTTTCAAATGAAGTACGATCACAGACCCATCCAACGAGGCCAAGAAACATTTTTTACAGAAGAATAAGAGTTTAGCATCGTGCATCAAATTGGCGTGAAACATCAACTCGATATCCTGAAAATGGGCAAGTGAATGTCTAGCAGTTATCCCGATCTGTATTTGCAAAACTCACTTTTCCAAACACAAAATCATGTTCGACACACATGTTGGGAACTCCAGATGCTGCTGCATATCTCTCATGTAATTTCCAATGTGCTTCCGAGCTTTTCTGATTGAATCCCGCACAAGAACACAACGGGCACACAATGGGAGGACTGAAAAGTTGTTTGACTATAAATTTTTCAAAAAAATGTAACCAGTTTCCATGTGTTTCGCCCATGTGCTTTCTGAAAAACATCGGATCATCGTAGATAATCGAACACATGACACAAATGTAAAATCTTTTCCTTTCATCATGTGGTAGGCCGTAGGTCTGGAAATTATTGCGCTTAATTCTTGTAAGAATCAACTCTTTTTAAACATTTTTAACCTTTTTAGTCATTCCAACTTTTCAATCTTTGAAATCAACCAATACCAACCCCTTTCACAGTCGTTTCACTTCCTTTATCAACTCGATGATCATGATTCATATGTACTTCGCAGCTTCCTTTTGTGAAAAATTTCTTTGAGCATTTTGGACATTGAATTTTTCTTTCTCTTCCTCCTTTTACTTCAGAACTTGATCTAAAAATCAACTTCTCATCGTTTCTCATATTTCGGAACATACATTGGAACGATGTCTTCAATCATGCACTCTTCATCCTCTTCTTGGACAAAATTTGCTCTCTCCTCGGGTTTATTTGTTTCGGTTGAATCCTGTAAGTGTATTTATAAACAGGTTTGCTTTAAAAATATTGGCATAAAAATTAAAATTACTATCAGAAACAATTCACTTACCACAAAAATGATATCATCTTCTCCATCATCGGGAATTGATGACTGAACATTGGCTCCTTTTTGTGCGATTTCTTCACGAACTGTTGCCACTAACTGTGGTGAAGAGTCATCGCGGGCTAAAGCAACATCATTTACTTGATATAAAACTAAAAGCTTATTAAATAATTAAATAATCGAATCACGGCTACTACTGTATTTTATGTCTTACAAACTCACATGTCGTTGGATGATCGCAAATTGTAACCGTTGAAGAATTCTCAACACGAGCGGCTGCCGCGACTGTTCTTGTCGGTAGGAAGACTGGATCACTCAGACATTGCACAGATGGCGGTGGTTGATCCCATATTGTAACCGTTGAAGAATTCTCAACACGAGCGGCTGCCGCGACTGTTCTTGTCGGTAGGAAGACTGGATCACTCAGACATTGCACAGATGGCGGTGGTTGATCCCATATTGTAACCGTTGAAGAATTCTCAACACGAGCGGCTGCCGCGACTGTTCTTGTCGGTAGGAAGACTGGATCACTCAGACATTGCACAGATGGCGGTGGTTCGATGTTTATTGGCACAGTATCTAAAAGTTTCATATAGTTAAAGCAAATTGTGATTTTTAATGTTTTATCTAGTTTTATCACAATAGACTACCTGCATGAACCACGCCCATAAAGATCACTGATGGAGGAGGAGGAAAATCGATGGGAACTGAACTGGTGTCACTTGACGGTGCTGCGATTGTCTCAATCGTTTGTGCAAGCACTCCTTGTCGCGAGGGTACGTTCTGTCTTTCACTTTGAGCCTCTTTCGATGCAGCATTATCATTGATCTGCATTCTTTGATTCACAACTTGAGTAACATTTATTCTTGATGTCTTCCCCATACTGTCAACAGCCTGATCAAGCTTTTTTCTTGCCGTCTCCGTGTCGGTGTCAATTGCAAGTCGATATTCGGTTCTGGATTGAGTGACATTTGCTTGTGTTTGAAAATGAGCCAAACTAAGAATTTGAGTAGGTCTTTGAGTTGTGACTGTTTCCGGATGTTTAAACGGTGAACCAGAGTGAGAAGATCTCAACAGCGATATTTGAGAAGTAGAAGGTGGTGTGATTGTTCTGTTTTGGGGCAGTACAGGTTCAGCTACAGTGCTCATCATTCGCTTTTCATTTGTCGAAGTCTTTCTTTGACTCTCTGGAAGGTTTCGGGTTGATTGGAGAATTTGTTCAGTCGCTTGTTGCACTTGTCTTTTCACTTGCTCCTCCCGTTTTCTCTTTTCAATTTCAAGAGTTTGACGCTGTTGATGTTGATCCAAAACTAAAAATTCAAATTGTGAAATTTTTTGTACAAATCTCATCCTCACATCTCACAACAATCAGTTTTAAGTCAAATTAAACATGGAAAAGAACTACTATGAAATATTTGTGCTGCGGTAGGAAATTTAGGAAGTTAATTGTTAGCAAAATCCCCTCTTCACGCTCATTAAATAACCTGTTGGTTGCTGCCAAAGTTTCACTCGGAAACTCAATTCAACTGAATACAAACAATTTGAAGATTAGAAAAAGCAAAAGCTGTTTAGGTTTAGTAAAATTCTTACGAGCTTTTGGTATCATCTGATTAAGTTCCTGTAGTGAACACCACTTAAAATCAGGCCCAAGTCGAACCTAAATTGCTCCAATAGAAATATCTGTATGAAATCTCTTTTACATTTTCCATTAATCGTTCATCCAAAACAACAATCCGTCGCTGTCCGTCTGTGTGTTTTTCCAAAATGTCGACAAGCCTATGCAGTTCCGCGTGTTGCGAAGTAACCAATTGAGTATGGCAAAGATGACACTGTGCGTTTGTATCAAAGTGAATCATCTGAAATCTTTTAAAATATCTCACAAAGTTTTTGCTAAACCATTAATCTTTGCATTGCACAAACAATTTAAATAGTCATCTACCGTAAATCCTCTATTAGAGCGGCATGCTGCTCTATTTTTCAGTGCCATTTTTTGGAGCGGTCAAAAAATCACATAAGGGGGTACCACATGGTTAAAATCACTTCAGTTCAATTGAAAATGCTTTGAAACGCACGAAAAACACATTTAAAACAAAAAGTTATGTCCATGGTTTCACCCCCGGATGTCCGACCCTCCAAAATCCCTGTGATCCCCCCTATGATTTTTTCTCAAAATGTTCAGTCAATTTTTTCCAGGGTCGATTTGAATTTTACTGCCATGCCTTTTAAATTATAATTAAGACCCATATGCATCATTTTAAGCACTTTTGGAGAAAATTTTTTGATTTGGGAAAGATTTGGATTTGTGAGCTGCCAAAATTAGCATCAGGAGGTTCCGTTCTTTTAGAGGGTGCCACTCTAATAGAGGATTTACGTTATTTCTTGACACTCGCCAAAAAGTGATTCATAAATTGTTTTTGACTGAATACATCAATCTCTCCACATTCACAGCGATAATATGTGGTCGGTTTGGGTTTGTCTTTTGGTGGACAGCGATGCCTTTCCGCTTGCTAAATTATTGATTTAGATGAAAAAAGCCGAATAACTTACAGTCAAAGCTCGCATCGTTATGTCACAATGATTACAAATGAATCTGAATAACAGACATTTTAGAGTTTTTTCAAACAGAACATACCTGTTTTGGCAAATTTTTCCACAAGGTGCGTCATGTTTCAGTTGACGATGATTTATGATCCATTTGCTTCTATCAGGAGCTATATTTTCTTGGCCACACAAAAGACAGCAAGGAACCTGATTTTTTGATAAGTTAAATAATTGTAGGGTTTTTTTAACCTCGGAACAATAGTAAAGAATGTGTGAAACAATTCCACTGTAATTGCATAGAGCAGGACAGAAAATGCACTAAAAGTTATGCGTTTTCCAACCAAAAGCTCATTTTCAACTCACTGTTACTTTTTCGTTCCGATTTTCGATTGTGACTTCAGGAACTCGACAATGAGATTCCAAGATGTGGTAAAGAAGAAGATCGAGTTTGGCAAAATGACTAAAGCAGCGACTGTAAGTGAAAAACTTGTACTATAGATTTTGAGCAATTAGTCAAGTGCCTTCAGGTTTTTGCTCAAACTAAAAACTTACCGTTGATTGGATGGCGGACAAAGATGACAGGTATTCCAGGCTGACTCTCGATGAGAGCTGTAATGCTTCTCTAGATTCTCCACGCCACCCATTATCCTTGCCGAGCACAGTAAGCATAGGAGGTCGTCCTGAAGTTGTGTATATTAATAAATCAACAAAGATTGGTTTAATTTTTAGTAAAAAAAGTCACAAGAAGAACCTTTTCCTGATGGTTCTTGATTGGTGGAGTGGTCGTCTTTGCAAGAACATCATTTGTAACTAAAAATTGTTGTTTCTTGACGTTTAGACTAAACAGCGTTTATATTCTCTTTTATATTCTCTTTACCCATTGATTCAAAAGTTATTTAGGAAAAATACAATACCGTTTTGCTTCTTGACAATCGATCGTTCAGTCTCAACATCCATCGATGTCCCGTCAACAACAACTTGTGGACTTGATGATAGGGGTGCGGTTGTTAATTGATCAAGATCCTCAATTCCGACAGTGTCCTCAACATCGGAATCAGACAGTACAATCTTCTAAATAGCTTGCAATATTATGGAAGGTTATTTCAAGGTTGATTTGGGCACTATTTGGAAAGGGCTCATAGAAACCAGTTGTTAATCAATTGAGTCTAGAAAAAGTATACCTCAACTTGAGAAGCTATAATGGCATCTAGTGCCGGCGCAGCTCTATCCATTACTCGACGAGGAAGAAAACCGTTCACTAGGTTAAGCTCCTTATTGAATCGTTCACTAACTGTCATCTCAGCGACGTGAGTTTCTGAAATCAATAATTTCATTCTTTAGCACCAAAAATCTTATGTCTCATGTCCATAACACTAACCGTCTTGAAGCAATGAATGTGTTCCGATTTGATGTTTGGTGGCAAGATGAACTCTCAGTGAAAGCAGAGAACATCCAAAGAAATCACACTCACAACAATGGAATGGAGACTGATTTATGTATCGAAGACCCCTCGATCGAAGGGTAGACACCTACAATGTTATTATTTAGATATCATCAATGAACCAACCGTTATTGTCTCAAATGGATCGACTCCTGGTTGGCACGTCTTCATGTGTTTCAAGAAACCTTTCTCTCCCAACACAAAATGATAACAAACCAAACAAAGATGAACCCTGAAAAAACAATTGCATGAATTTTTTACATTATCTTTTTGGTTAGGAGCGTGAATTCAAAAACTCACTTATCCAACGGATCTGTGACAATAGAGGTTGGATCATAAGACTTCTTGGTGAGAAAAACGGTCTCTTCATATCGAGCCAAGTGATTTTTGATTGAGACATTGTAAAGCACTGATTTCTGGTTTTGAACATTTTTAATATCTAAACGCATTTAAAGGTTATTTATAGATTAAATTTTGTACCGTCATCATTCAATGCAGTCGATTTGCGCCTCTTTCTCTGGATACGAAGATCGACTGCTAGTTCTGGATCCGTATTTCCGATTGTTTTTCGAATGAACGATTTTTGCGCATCACTCTTGATCCAAACATCCAAAGAATGAGGTTCTTCTGCTATTTCCTAAGACAATCGATGAAATGAAGCAAACGTAGGTGTTTTTAGACAGTTATCTTAGTCTCATAGTGATCAATTATCACCTCATGACCCAATTCTGGTTGTGAGGCCATTGAAGTGGATGGTGTATCTTGTCGTGCTCGAGCCCTTTTGTTCTTCGCTTTCACTCTCTCGACCGCTAGCGATTGTTGACCGTTTACCTGTAAATTAATTGAAGTCTTAAAATAAGTTGAAATAGTAAACTTTGTACAAAATTGCACTCACAAATTCGATAGCAGGTGGTGCTCGTTCCTGAATCGAAGCATTAACTGATAAGCCACTATTCATTCCAACCCTGAACCCATCTTTGTCACTAAATAAAAAATAATTTGATAGGAAAAAACTCGTTAATGAGAACCCCGTAATTGTAGCCGTAGTGCTAAGATAATCTGCAACGAGAATGGAATTCTTCGAGACATTGTCGTGAAAATAGCAGCTAAGAAGATGTTTCCTAAAAGAATGCATAGTGAACTACTTCAGAAAGCTTTTGAGCTTCTACACAATAACATTATTTTAGTAAGCAACACATCTAAACTATATTCACAGCTAGTGGGCAATATGAAGTTTACCTGTATGAAGTTCTGTGAGGCAAGGAGGTTTTGCACTTTCCGCATTCACTTATCCGAATCTCTGGATGCTTTGTAGGATCAGAAAAATGAATGTCCGCATGTTCTCCAGTTGCAAATGATGTAATTTTACATTTCTCACATGAAACCTAAAACTGAATTCTTTGGTTTCCAAAAATTTTCTTACAAAAAACTCGCGAGCATACGAGGGTGTGTATTTGAATGAGATGTTTCCGTTTTCATTGATCTTTTCATCTGCAAAGTAGACAACAAGCGGAACAAGTCGGGTGATTTGATGTTTTTCCTAAAGTGTACTTTCAAACTTATAGAATTTTTAAAATCAACTTACAATAAAAGACATAGATTGTTGAAGATCAATCGGATCACAATAGACATGAGCACCACAATCAGAACAAGCCAAAAATACCTGAGCCGCCTCCATTTGGTACTAAAGTTATTATTCTTTAGCACTCATAATTTTTCAATCTTAGGGTTAATAGTCAAACCTTGCTATAGTGACGCTCCTCATTTTTCCAAACTTCGAATCGATCACATTTGTGGGTATTCAAAGAAACGAAACTTGCATAAGCCTGCAAGCAAAAGTGACATCCATAAAGAGTCGCATGCGAGTGTTGCAAGAGATGCGGCTGAAATAATAATAACCCGTTACTATTTTGATTTGTTTGACCTGTAACTACAAATCATTTGAGATTAATACCTCTAATAGTAGCGCTCCCTATAATGACGGTCAGAGCGTCGCCTAGTCTAACTTTAAACGCATTTTTCTCGCCACCCGTTTATGCTACAGTGTGCGCTTAAGTATCAAATGAAAGCTGAAATTCAGGGCTATTTTTTGATACCAAACATGTATTTTAAAAAATGATGGGCGCTTAGAAAAATAGACTTAGTAAAAAATTTTTGCGACTACGCGACTATGCGTGGGGGGAGGGGCGCTACCATTAGAGGTATTCCGGTAGGCGTAATTTTGGAACTTACGATGGAGAATTGTGGAAACATTAGCATTTTCTCCCCTTCGGCGAACGAAAATACGCAAAGGGGACACCCTCGATTCTCCATAGCCTAAATTTCGATTTTATCAGCTCACAAAAATTCAACGAGCATGGTGGACACTTCTTTAGTATCCGCGGGATAACGATTTTGCCAAACTTGTGTCACTGATTTAGTTATCTTAAACTTGTCCAATTTTGACTTTAAAGCACTATTAGATAGCTTAGGCTTTGTAGATTCTAATAGTTTTGAGTTTTTCAAAAATCTATCACAAAAAAGTGTTTAAATTGTGGGTACTAAAGAAGAACTGCATGGTGCTTTTGAAATTTAGGCACTTAAGAATGCGAACCTTTTTTGCCAGCGTGAGTCTATGTTCGGTTTCTGTTGAAAAAGTGATTTCCGAGTAGGTATTCCTCCGCGCTTCCGACTCCACCTTTTGCAGATCCGGTTGAAACAAAGGTTCTTCAGGATCTAAAATCAATACCATTTTGCAAAACGTTTCAATCATTATTCCTTAGCCTCGTAAACTATTGAAATTATGGGCGACAGTGTCTCAACTAGCAACGAGAAATTACGCTGGAAAGCAAAGATGTGTCAGAGATTTAAAACTTTGAACATTCATTGTTCAATTAATTTTTGAAGCAACGATTAAGCCCTGGGTAAACCATTACCTTCTGATTCTCGCCGTCTTCGTTTTGGGTGCCGATGAAGATGCCTTTGGCGGGAAATGTTTTCCCGGGCCTGTAGCTCAAATTGATTCCTTTTTTCGACATCAAGAAGGTTGTACTGAAATTCATGAAAATGAAATAAACATTAGACCAATTTATCTTTTTCGGCAAAAATGTTGTTTTTTTTCTTTCTTGAGCTATTCTTATCAAATAGAAGCTCTTTGAGCAAATCCTTAAGCCCGAAAACCCAACCCTTTCCCTAGGAAAGCTTTTTCATATTGCAAAATGAGTTTTTCCTTTAAAGATAAAAACCTACATAATGTCTAAGCAATCGCACTCTACTTAACGAACCATCTTCGTTCATCGAATGTACGTAACCATTCGCCTCGGCTAATTGACTAAAATTCATTTGATGAACATCCAATTCAAAACTAATTGCCTCAATTTTTCCGAAAGCGTTGAATCCTTATGGAAGAGATTGAACATTTCGACCAAGTATAGAGTGAATCCCCCGGGCGCCGAGTAGGATGCTTTTGGTGGAACTTTCTGGAAATTGATTTTCCAGGATACAGATAAAATCCTAACCTCTTGCGCTTCTTGATGCTCTTCGGGATTTTCATTTTCGACATCATCCTCGCATTCTCTCATTGTTGACTGAAAGTTTCGCATTCAAATTTGAATTTTTTTGACTTAAAGGAAGACTTATACAATCGTTAGATCTAAACAAACATTATCAATATAAACGAAATTTCCATAAACTTGAAACACTTACTTATGTAATTGTTTAACTACTGTACTACTTCCACAGTAATTACCGTATCATTGCAAATTGTTAGTGTAAAGGGTGATAGATTCCAGCATTTTTGCTAAATAGCTGCAAAAAGTACATCGACTTTTGTTTTTATTTTTCACCAGCCGAAAAACCCGCCTAACAGCATATGGCGCATGGTTTTTGTCACCGTGGCGGGGTCGGAAGTGCGCTTGTCTACGGCCCACACGACGCAGGTTCGATTCCCGGGTGTTTCGCCCAACTTGGATTTAAAAAATTTTTTTTAATGGCACAACTACGATATATTCTAAGGTTTTCTAAAGAAGTTAGCTTTATTTTAGCTTTATTGGTCAAAACACTAAGAAAATGAAAACGGCTAAGAAAATGCCCGTACAGACAGACAGACAGACAGACAGACATACATGCTCCTTTATATATAGTAGATACCAGCGATGAAACCACTTTTGATCGCCGTGGCGCAGTCAGGGGCACGCTTGTCTATGGACCCAGGTTCTACCCCCCTCCCCCCTAGTGCCACTTAATTTTGAATTTTTGAATTTTTTATTTTAAATGGTACAACTATATTGTATTTTGAGACTTTCTCAAAAATCCCTAAGCCCGTACAGACCGACAGACACTGCTCTTTTATATATAGTAGATAAATCACAAGCTTACAAACTTACCAGCGATTGTTTATCGGCTATAGTCATGACATGAAGCCTCAATTGGCCCACTGCGCGCTACACTCAAACTTCTAAAGCTTCATCTTGATCTTAAAAGATGTGAAGAGAAAGAACAAAGGCTGAGTTTCAAATAAATATTAAACTTTTGCAAAAAAATTAAAGAGAGGCAAGGCAATGACCTTTAAAATAATACAAGCACTAAATTCGGCTTTGGCTGAAAGTTATCGTTAGACTTACATTAATTATGGAAGTTTAAGGAATCAAGAGGAATCATCAATAAAAGGACATACGTCATACAAAGACATAGACGTCATAAAAAAAGACAAAGACCCTAGGTCAAGTACGAACTAGCGAACCTCTTTAATGGCACAAGGCAATTACATAGCCCTATTGATCGAAATCGATTATACGAACAAATAATTTCATTCCTTTAATTGCCAACTAGATATCTGTCAATGCACCTGCTCACTGAGGAACAAACAAAAAACGTCGATGAACGGCATTTACCTAACAATAGTAATCAATTATTATTTGTTTATCAAGTATTGTTTTACTGATAAATCGACATTGCTAATATAATGCTTGCTAACAATATACCGTTGCGTCAACGTAGAACTCGCCACACACAAGCAACGTTAACGAAACTTGACTATGTTGACCTCAACAGACTTTTTGACAGATTCAATGAAAAGAAAGCGTTTGGAACGTTGCAAACGACTTTTAAAGCGATTTGGTGCTGGCCGACACCGGAAGATCCTCTTCACTAATGAAAAGTAGCTTGATATTGAGCAGGCCCACAACCATCAGAAGGATCAAACTTGGTCCAAAGAACCTCTTCCGTTGGACGACAGAATTGTTTCAAGACAACAAAAGCCTCAACAAATCATGATTTGGGCTGAAGTCAAGAAAGTTTGACAAGCAAGTTTACGTCGATATATTGGGTTGATGGAAAAGTCCTTTCGGATTTTTTGGGAGAGTACCTTAAATTTGTCCAATTTTGACGTTTTATAGCTCATCCTAAAGCTGAATTCAAGACGGATCGATTGGTAAAAATCGTTTTGAGCTACCTCTTTTCTAAAATTTTTTACAGTTGTTTTAGTAAAGGGCGGCAGAGCCAAAAAATGGCTGTTTTCACGTTTCGTTAGTTTTCCGTGCAGAAACCTAGGCTAAAAACATGTGTTTCGTGATCGGCGTCAAAAGTAACCCCTAGGCACGCATTTTCAGAATCTTAGCAAAAAATTTTTGAAAAATATTGTCACCGGTGGAAGTCGAACCAGCGACCCTCAGATCAATAGCCTTTCCGCCGCTTTTCGCGATTTTCCTTCGTTTTTCTCGTTTTTTTGTTTTATCATTTTTTTTTGATGTTATTTTAGGGTACAATACAATTATAGTATATAGTATATACTATAATTGTATTGTACCCTAAAATATATATAATTGTATTGTACCCTAAAATATATACAATTATAGTATATACTATATACTATAATTGTATAGTATATAGTATATACTATAATTGTATTGTACCCTAAAATAACATCAAAAAAAATGATAAAACAAAAAACGAGAAAAACGAAGGAAAAAACACATGTTTTTAGCCTAGGTTTCTGCACGGAAAACTAACGAAACGTGAAAACAGCCATTTTTTGGCTCTGCCGCCCTTTACTAAAACAACTGTAAAAACTTTTAGAAAAGAGGTAGCTCAAAACGATTTTTACCGATCGATCCGTCTTGAATTCAGCTTTAGGATGAGCTATAAAACGTCAAAATTGGACAAATTTAAGGTACTCTCCCAAAAAATCCGAAAGGACTTTTCCATCAACCCAATACTTGAAAAAGAAGCTTTGCCTTGGCGCGCACTTTGGTGCCAATAATGATTGGGTTTTTCGACAAGACGGTGCTCCATCTCACAAGGCTGTTGATACACAAGATTGGATCTCCAACGACTTCCCAGATTGCATCACCGTGGACACCAGTCAACAACGCCCAGGCGGATGACCATCAAACTCTCCTGCTCTCAATCCCTTAGATCACTCAATATGGCCGATACTTGAAAGCAAGGCAGCCGACAAGCCGACAAATCAATTGACTCCGAGAAGCGAGACATAGAACGAAATCTCTATCAGCACCATTGAAAAAGCCATTGATGATTTGCGCTTAAGAAAATGTATTGATGCTAATGGCGGCCATTTTGAACTCCAAATGTTTTTTTAATCTTTGTTTGTTGTTGTTGTTTTAGTTGTTTTAAATAAAAAAGTTGCTATTACTGTTTGTTTTGACCAAATAAGGTCGATAGACTTTTGCTGATATTTTGGCACCATAATTTTGGGATACTCTGTAAAAAACAAGACGATATACGAAAAAAAACAATAGAGAAAAATAAAAATAGAAAAGAAAAAAAACAACAGGAATCAACTATACAGCAATCAAAAGTTCCTAAATTCTGTCAGCATCTTGTGGTTATCATTTTCATTATCGGCTACTGTCGCTGATCGCAGATTAAAAGTTTTCTATTGTTTTATGCATGAAAAAAGGATGCAAGGATAAGATCTTCGTTTATGCTAAGGATTTCAGAAACTGCTTGTGACTAACGTTTGAAAACCCAATTATTGTTATGAAACTTGCTAATAGTAATCACATATAAAAGAGTTTTTACGCGGTTAAGAATGCTGGAAAATGAGACATCTTGTCTCATTACAGTAGACCAAAATATTTGTATGCAGTTTTCGAGCGTAACACGCATCTTCTGTTTCAATCGAAGCACTGGATGCTGTCTTGATATCTAAATGCTATTCCAGCATACTGTAGTGAGACAAGAAGTCGAGGTTATGCAGTATTTTCGATGCTAAGTGGATGATAATTTTCCAGAAGATGGCTGATAATATGTGTTTCGTCAAGTCTTGACGTGTGAGAGGCTCTTAAAGGCACTGCATTCTTGCCAAAGGGAAGCTCCACCCACTTTCCTCGGGTCGATAAATCGATTCTCTGATTCTCCTCGGTTTCCATCTATTTCTCTGTTCTCATCGCATTTTTCTCCGTGTGGGCGTGTCCCCTCTTTTTATCTTTTCCCTCTTTTTGTTTGTTTGTGCCCGACTAAGCCGCTAGTCGATAAGAAATAGGGGATAAAAGAACGACAGACCTAATTGATGACCTGCACTCTCTCAAAAAGTCCTCATATTTCACGTGTTACACCGGGTGGGCTGGCTTATGGGCATGGGCTGTCGTTATATATCGATTGGGCGTGAGGCAGAGAAGCAGAGTCTCTGGATGTATGACATTCAGAGAGAGCTCCCTCAGCAAAGAAATTGGCCCGCACCCTGCGAAGAACGTGTGTTCAATGCGATGTTTTATGAATGATTTTATAAATCTTTGAAATGGGAATAAATATTATACCGTAAATTTATAACGTAAATTTATTTTGGAAAAAAATGAAAAATAATTTTTTGAAAAAAATCATAAGGTCCCCACATTTTTTGGAGATTCAAAGGGGGTCACGGGTAAGAAAATAATTTCATTTTTAAACGTGTTTTTTCTAGGTGTTGGACAAAGAGGCATCATTTAAAATAGTTTTTAACAAATTCTAAATTTTTGATTCATGTGGAGCGGTCGATTTTAAGGGATTGCAAAATAGAATCATATGTCATTCTAATACAGCATTTACGATAATTTGAAAACTGCATTTGACTACTGGATTTACAACTAGCCAAAATATTGGGTTGGTGAATTGAAAACTGTCGGCTATTGTCATATGTGGCAGTTTGAGCACTTTCTTCAAAAGAAACCCATTTTGGTGTCATTGGAAAAGTTGTAGAGAATCAAAAATCAAGCTTATATCCAAATTTTCAGAACGAATCAAAAACTGGTTTTCAAGAAATGACAAATTTACGAATTTTCACAAAACTTGCATTTTAAGCTAAACTACCAAGTGTATCTTTTTGGAAATTCGGCTATAAGCCTAATTTTTGATTCTCTACAACTTTTCTATTGACACCAAAATGGGTTTCTTTTGAAGAAAGTGCTCAAACTGGGACATCTCCAGTCCTCCATTTTTGAGTCTCACACTTGTCTCACACACAAACCAAAATTCTACTACGAAAGAGGAATCCGCAAATTGCCTGTAAAATGGGCAGAAGTCGTCAATAATAATGGAAATTATTTGGAATGAATTTATGGTTTTATGTTGAATAAATTTTAGTTCAAAGTCCGGTAGTTTTCAATTCACCAACCCAATAAAAAATGTTAGTATTGAAATATTATAATAGACTTGGAAGAACGCTCTTTGGTTTAGCAATCATCTTTAGCCATTATGATATTAATCAATTAATTGATTCTAATTGTGAAATCAAGGTTAGCCTTGATCTTTCTGAATTGACATCCAGAGAGACAGATCTTTATTAATTTTTATCAAAAGGAAATTTATGACTTTATGAGTTACCGTAAATACTCTAATAAAAGCGCATGCGCTTCTAATATTTCCCTATCGTTTTTCGGACTCCCAAAAAAACACATAAGGAGGACGATAGACAATTTAAAAAAAATCTTTTAAAATCCCTCTAGTTCGATTGGAAATGCTCTAAAACAAACGAAAAACATGTTTAAAACAAGAAAATTTTTTTAACCTTGACCCCTGAAGGTTTCGACTTTCGACTTTCGAAAATGATAAGTCACATTTACGTTTTAGTATCTCATAGCCACATCAAGTTTATCATATTACATTCCGAAGTTTCTCTGCAAGTTTCAACAAGGCAAAATTCTTTTTTGATACTTTCTGTTGGATGTTATTTTAGTCGATCAAGACATCGAAATTCGTAATCAGCATGCTAACAACACATTGTCAGTAAAAAATTGGCCTTACTTCCCTTACAATTTTTTTTCAAAAAGTATTTTTTGAAAAATTTTTTTAGACCCTTTTAAATTTTACTACCAACCCATCTAGTTTATATATTGGGTTGGTGGAAAAGTCCTTTCGGTTTTTACCAATCGATCCGTCTTGAATTCAGCTTTAGGATGAGCTATAAAACGTCAAAATTGGACAAATTTAAGGTACTCTCCCAAAAAATCCGAAAGGACTTTTCCACCAACCCAATATATAGCCCATATACACCATTCTAAGCACTTTTCAGTGAAGCTCTTTTTCAAAAGTAGTGACTTTTTGGGCGACCAATTTTGTGTGCGGAGGTTGCGCTTCTATTAGAGGCGCGCTTCTATCATCCTGATTACAAATTTCGATGTCTTGATTGACTAAAATAACATCCAAAAGAAAGTATCAAAAGAGAATTTTGCCTTGTTGAAACTTGAGAAAGAAACTTCGGAATGTAATATGACAATCTTGATGTGACTATGAGATACTAAAAAGTAAGATGTGACTAAATAGTTATTTTTTCTTTTTTTTGTGTATCCCCTTTGTTCTGTAATGTAAACAGACAAATTATTAATTTAATATTAATATTAATTTACAGCAGGAGATAAAATAAAAGCTTTATAACTTTAAGTTGAGTTGGTAAAGTAAAATCTGACTGTTAGGGTCAAATTTGGTCATCCTAACAAGAAGAACGCGTGAAAATAATTATAAACTTATTGTTTTTATAAAAAAAGTTTTATTATCCAACAAAATAGCATCCAAGTTGAGCACAAAAAAAAATGAAGGCACACAAGAAAAACGAGTGAAAATGATTATTGCATTTTTGTGGCTTTTTGATACATTATGAGAAAGGACGAATAGGTTGCTGATGAGATTCGGAAAGGGTAAAGGGATTCTTGATAGAAACGAAAATCAAAATGCATTTAACAAGATTATGATTTCATGGAAATGACTATATTCGAATTATTCTTCTTCAACGGTGTTCAGGTTATTGACTCTCTCAAACATTTCTCGATCAGTTGCTTTGATAAAATCAAACTCTTCAGCTACTTGGAGTGCCTAGAAATTGAATTTTTTTTCTAACAGTCATAAAAAGAATTTTTTTTGCTGTGAGAGCTATATTAGTTTGGTTAGAATTTGTCAAACCTTTCTTGTTATTTTTTAAATTCTATTCACCTTTTTGGCCTCTTCTACAGAACCCAACCGATCGGCATTGTTCTTTCCAAGCTTTGTGATCGCAATGAGCACTCGGAAAATCTCAGACTAAATTTTTGTAATTTATAATTAGTTGTAGTGAATAATATTGCATTTGATATTCTTAACACAATATGTAATCTTTACTAAATTATAGTCAAATCGACTTTTCACAACTTACCGCCACGATTTCAGCACAAAGAGCCTTGTCGGATTGCATGATATTCCGAATACCAATGAGGCAACGACGTTGAATCTAAATTAAATAGAATTTTGACAAGATTGGCATTTACCAATTAAGGAATGAACCAACAACTCACTTCAGGATCTTCATGCATTATCATATCTTTGAACAGATCTTGCCAGCTTTTAAGCTCCGAAATAATTCTTTTACAGGCCCCTTCATCTTCTGTGAGAACTGCAAAGCCACCAGCTGATGCCCTAGCCAATCGATACTCATCATCTTCTTCTACACAATATAATGCCCAAAGCTTCAATCGATCGGTTCCAGGCTAAATATAAGTCTTATATGCCTTCCTTAACTATTCACCTTTACAGTCTCGTTGAAGAACTCTTCACAAAACAGTAAATTCAATAAAAGTTCAGAGGCTGCGGCTCGAAGATGGTCGTGATCGGTCATGAACCTATATAGGATCTAAAGGGGATTTCTTTTTCAAACCTACCAATACTCTTCAATCTTTGGAACTGCCCTCTCTTTGAGGATCTTCTTTCGCACTGAATCACTCATGGCAGCCAAATTTGTGAGAGTGATCAGAGCATCATAATTTGGTTTTCCTTCAATGTCTGGATGGAGCAGGTCGACAAGAGGTTTCACTACCTAAATTTTATAGTTTAAACTTATTTTATGTGACTTTGTACCTCATAGGCTCGCTGTCCGGCAAAAGCAATGCTTGGATCAGCTTTGGCTCCAAGTTTCGCCAAACAGTGAGCAGCTTTGATTTGTCCTTCTGGATTTGCATTCTAAATACATTTTCTTGTTTTAAATAAACAAGTTAGATATATGAATAGTCGGGATTTAAACTAATTTAAACTAACTTTATACAAATGTAGACACAGTTTTGTTCCACCTTCGCTTATTATTCGACCACGGAGTTTCTCGTCTTCAGCAAAAGCTAGCATTGCTCTGGAAATTTCAGTTGACTTGCTCTTTGTTTAAGATTTTTCAAACCAACCTAGCCAACAATTCCATAGCTGCTTTTGATTCGGTTTTATGTACAGCCACACAAGCACTCACAGCTCCTTCATCAACGAGAGCTCGAGCTCGAGCTCTTACATATTTCTCAGCATCTAACGTATGTGCTTCGGGGACGTGATGTTTGGAGAACTGAAGTCATTTTTTTTCGATGAAACAATTATACCCAAACCTTCGCTAATTCGACCAATTTGTCATCAGCTTTTGGCTTCTCATATGAATTTGTTAGATTGGCGTAAATTGAGCCAAGAGTAAAGACACAAAGTGGACCGGCTGTTTTTGCCAAGGCAAGCATTGCCTGAAAAATTATGTTCAAATTTTTAGCATAGTTTTCTACCCTCAATAGCAATGGATCTTCGACAATCCATTCTTTTACATCAGCATCAAGGGAAAGATAGGAAAGACCTTCACAAGCAAATCTAAATAGAGATTAAAGGTTGACTGTAGGTTCGAAAGCAACCTTCGCACTTCAGCGGAATACTTATCAGTCTCCAACAAGAACTTTTTACAAGTTGAGGCCAATTTTAGTGCAGCTCCTTCTTTCATTGTTGCTTTTGAAATGTCATCTCCTCCTGCCGCTGCACATTTGCATAAACCCTAGAAATTGAAAGTTTTTGACCATTAAGTAAAACGAAAACGCTTTACTCACCACCAGAGCTCGCACTCTAACATTCTCGTCCTCGGAATCATAGAGTTTGCGAAGAATTGGCACTCCAACCTGAAGTTCTTTATGGATCTAATAGCAGACTTTTACTTAATAAAAACAAACTGACACAGTCAAAAATTGTAAGTGCTGTTAGATTTCTCAAGTTTATGGTCTACCTTAAGCATCGTTGTAGCTCTTTCGTGCTTTGAGACTGTCATTACGATCAGTTCAGCGGCAACACTCTGAAATAAACCTATAATACTTTTACAAAAGGCTCTTTTTGACTCCTAGTGATATTTTAGTGCCACACATTATTTGAAAACTTTGAAAGTTAGCACCAACTTGTAACAATTTGTCATTACTGTCGGCCATGTGCAACATCATCGCTGTCACTTCATCATTTGTCACCATATTAAGACCAACATCCACTGGACCCTAACATAGTTTTATTAAATATCGTATTTTTTTTACAAAAAAACCTGTAGCATTGTTATCAGCAGACATCCCAGCTTGACTTGTATCCTCGGCTCGTTATTTTCCCTCATCAAAGCGCTAAATTAATATTCTGGTAATGTTTTTTTTGTTATTTGTAAAACGTACTTAAAGAACCCATCCAATCTCTCTTTAAAAATCGTTCTTTTTGTATCAAAAACCATGTCATCATAAAGACGAGAAAGACAAATAGACATATGTTGTCTTGTTTCATGATCGACCAAATAATCACACATTTCCGGAATCTGTGTGGCAACATCAAGAAGAGTTAATAAACCTAAAAATTAGATAATTAAAAGTACAGAAAACAATTTGACCTCTATCTTCTGTGAATTTCCAACTCCATCCTCGAGGAACTCCTCCATCCATATGCATGAGGTTCTTTGTGAATAAATCAATCACCGTGTTGCGAACCTGCAAATGATATGTTTTGAAAGCAAAAGCAATCAGCATTTCTTGCAGAAGATAATCCATTTTTGAACTTTTGAACTACCTTAGGTCCGACGGTTTTATCGGTGAGCATTTCTTGCAGTTCGAGAATGATTCGAATGATCCACAATTTGTTCATTTCAGCCACTTCTGGATCGGGCTTCATTTCTTTTTGTCTATCCATTTTGACCATTGCGTTGAACACCTAAAATAGCTCTATTTCACTTTTCTGAATATAAATATTCTCTATTAAAAGTTTGAACCAGTTTCTTCATAACAAACCCTTTGAACGATCAATCCAGCCGAGTCGACAAACTCAACCACCGGTCTTGCGCACATAATTCGGCAGACGAAACGCACAGATTTTATTTCTTCTTTGTCGTGCATTGCGAGGAAATGCATTGCCTACAAGAAAATAAGGCTATTTCCCTGAAACGTGGTCTTTTGAAAGTTTCGTGGTCTTTTGGCCTTAGTTTTCTGGGAGCACTTCAAGGAGCTAGTGTATCCGACACAAAGACACCGGCTTGCTCTATCACTTTGAAGAAGTTGAAGAAGCACTTCGAACAATCAAATGCCGAGCGATGTGGAACGTGCAAATCGATGGCAGGAATCATTTTACGGCAACATTTACACACGAAGAGATGACCTCTAGCTGTGGAGGAAACGTCCGTCGTGTCAAATTATGTAATTTAAAACCATGGCTGTTGAATATCTTAATGAAGAAAAACAGGGAAAAGGCAAACAATTGAAAAGACCACAAAACTGACTATTTTGGCCAAAAGACCACGAAACTTTCAAAAGAACACTTTTCAGGGAAAGAGCCAAAAATAACTATAAATATCTATTTTCAATCTATCGCTTACTCGACTGTGATTTTTGCACAACTCATCGAGAACTCTAACTGCCATCACAGCTACTTCTTCATCTTCTTCCTTTGTCGAGTAGATTTTGGTGAGTACCGACACGATTTTTCCCTGAAATTCATTTTATATTTAAAAATGTTCATATACTGTTTATATTGCTGAAAATACCCCATTCCACACTCGCTGTGCTCCACTCTCCGAGTCACGAGCCAATACCAACAAGTTGGCCATTGCCTATAAAGGATCATTATCAAAGAATTTGTAATTTGATAATCAAATGAAGTACCTAGAATGAACTGTAATCAATCTTTCGTGTACCTTTCGTTTCTGTTCAAGATCTTTTGCTCCTCCCTCAAAGGCCAACTTTTGCATATCAGCAACTTTTGAGTCAAGCGATGTGGCTTTCTTCACCAATTCATTGTTTTTAATCATCAACCGTTTTAACAATTCCGTCACATTTCTGAAAAAGAATTTGTTTGTTTTCAGAAATTATACACCCACTTGTCTTTAGGTGATAAACGGAGTGCTTCCTTTGCATCAGTGAATGCGCCAGGAATCTTCTCGAGTTCTTCTCTTGCAAGAGCTCTTCTAAACAGGGCTTTCACGTCAGCTCCATCGGCCTCAACAGCTAAAATGTACAGGTTATGCAAATGAAATTTTTATATGAAACTAAATGTTAGCATAAAAACCTTTTTCAAGTTATTTACCTTTACTGGCATCATCTTCAGCTCCCTCAAAATCCTCATTTTTCAATCTGGCGAGTGCTCGATTTCTGTACAAGGTGACTCTCAGCTGTTTGTCGCTCTCTGTGCATAATTGGAGAGCTTCTGTGTATCTGAAATCAACGTTTCAACAGCTACTAAAAAGAAAGTTTGCTCAGTGGCCTTTTACTTCTTAAAGTTTTGCTTCTGGGCTGAGTTGTGCTATTTTTGAAACCTCACCTCTCAATAGCGTGATTCCATTCTTGTTGTTGCACAGCGATATTCCCTTGATCCCTCAGTTCTTCCGCGCTCTCAACCTTTGCACCCATTGTTGAGATTTAACCGATTGAATCTAAAATTTAGTTTGTTAGACAATTGATCTGAAAAATATTCAGACAAAGCAATAAGCAATTTTCTTTTAGAGCTTCTCTGGGAAAGAAAGGAGGAGAAATCTCGAGATCTTGAGTAAATATTGAGGGTGGATTTGGGAGGCAAAGAAGATAACCGGTTCGAATAATCGCAATTTTATTCTAACAAGTTATTCATTAGGAAAAACAACGTTTTGAAAAGTAAAAATGTTTGTAATCTATCACTCATTCAAAAAAACTATTTAAAATAACGAGCGACTACAAAGAACAACTGTTTTTAACTGTCGTAATTCTATCAGTGCCATTTTCAACACAGAAAAAACAAAGACAACCAGGAAAAAGAAGGCTGCAGTGAATGGTAAAGATATCTGATTTATAATGTAGGTTTGGTTTATCTGATCTTTTCCTTCCTTTTCTTCCTTTTCCCTTTTTCCACTCAATCCCAATCGATTGACGGCCACTAGTGAACGCTCTTTTTGTGTAACATCTGAGTGACTAAAAGAAAAGGGACAAAAATGTTAGCGCAACACAAAACTTTTGTATAGGCTTTATCGTTTGTAAGTAGCTTTCTTAAAATGAGCATTTTAAAATAAAATTAGCTGGTCGTTTGGAAAGTGTAAAACCGTGTAAATCACAAATCTTACAACTCCAAACGATAAGATAACACAAGCGCGATAACACAATATTACTCTGCCACAAGTAAGGTAGAATAAGATCGCAAAAAAGTTTGTGAAAGCAAGATTTCCTTCAATGAGAAGTTCCGGTATTGCAAAAGCTTTTATTCAGAGAAAATGGGTCTTCTGGAAATGTCTAGAAAGATCTGGAAATCTTTCTCGAAAGAGACCAGAGAGAGACCCAGAGTTCTTTGCACGAGGAGATGGGATTGAGTGTACAACCAAATGATCACTCCCGTCTGGCCACTTGGACCATTCACAAAGACTGAGATTTCGGTAATATCGGTTTTATTTTGACACTTATAGACTCATAGTTTCCATAAATTTTTGCTAACATTATATTTTGCAATTTATCAACTCAAGAACGTTTTCAGAAAATCCATTTATTTCACAAACAATCAACAAAATTTGGATCACAATCGATGGCCTATAGAATAATGATATTTAAGGGGAAAACTCAATCTCAATAAAAAAGAGAACATTGTGTACATTTAATTTTTATGCTTTGAGGGGTAAGTAAATGGCCAAAATCTGAAGAAAAGCTGAAAAATGTTCCTGATCAAGGTGGACGATGCGTGGCAGGAGAGAAAGCAACGTGAATTTTTGAGCGATAAATTGGAAGGAGGAAATTAAGGAGTAAATTAAGAAGCAAAAATGAAATTTTAATTGCGATATAATTGAGGATTTTAACTTGGCACGCTTTTGGGCTTCACAAAAAGAGTGGAGAAGCCGAGTGAAATGAGGGAGAAAAGTTTTGAATTGACCAAATGTTTGGAGAACCAACGAACACACGAATACCCGCGAAAAAAAATAATGATGCAAATAGTTCAATAGAAAATGTGAATTGAATTGTTGCGATGAATGGGAATCTGTTTTGGCAAAGATCATTTCTCAGCCGTTGCAAATCAAATTCACATTATCTGTGCATCTCAACGAGTTCCATTGTTCCATTCTAGGCATAGAACTCTTTTGTTGAGGCTTTTGTGTATGCATATCCGGCATACGGTCTTGCTTTTGGTTCATCCAGTGCATAGCTTCCTTCATCCTTTTTCCTCATTCGATAAACGATGAATACAATAATGAACACCGTTGCCAAGAGGCCAACAATTGAACCGCCGACGATTGCTGAAAATAGCGGTTGTTATTGGTGTTAAACTTGGCTGGATTTTAAAGCTATTATCATTGTAACCGTTGTATCATATAATCAAATTTATGCTCTTATTTAATTCTAAGCCTTTCGTGAATTTCTAGCTGATCCCCGTATGGCATCTTATTGAATCTTTTTTGATTGAATGGTTTCTTTTGCAAGAAGATGACAGCTGTCATAATTGAAGGGATTTTGAAGAGAAAGGGTGAGAAAAGATGAAGGTGATTGTTTGATTGTCTTCAAACAAATTTTAGACACTAATTGTGAGACAATTCAGAGATTGCTTCTTTCTGTTTTTCAAAATAAATTTTTCTCAAAATTCAAGGGATGCAACATAAAATGGGCATCGCCGATCCCCCACAGTGTGCCTGATCATTCTCTCGGTTACATCTATGCGATGTGACTCCTCACCCATTCCCCTCAACACCAAAAGAGGGATTATCCCCTTCACTCTTCTCTTGTGTCGACCATAACTGGGTCAACGCCTGTCATATCGAAATAATCGACCTGGATGAATTTTTCACGAACTATGTGTATCGATAGCATCAGTACTAAAATGTTAGTAAGGAAGCAAGCAATCTCTGGATCTCTGGATTAAATTCTAATTCAATTTCATCACATTGCCTCACTAAATACAAAATTCAATACCTAAAACAGACCAAGGAGAGTTACATGCAATGCTTGATATACGACCTCACCCTCTTTCACAAAGAATGACCAATGAGTCTCATAGAAAAGCAAAACAGATGCAGAAAAGGGACTAGGTTTTGTGGCAGTTTTTATGAGTTTTTCCCTCTAGCTGACCATTAGATTGGGACCAAGAGACCAAAGGAAACCGATGAAATAGAAGGGATGAAAAGGGAGGAAAGAGAATGGCCATCGGGTATGCAAATCGAGTCCCTTTTCACTCTTTCCTCTATGAGGTGGGTCTCATTTCGCGACTCGTAAGGGAAATGGAACCCGCCCTTTCTAAAAGATCCGCTAATAAGGTGCCACACTACTCCATTTTTGGCTTATCCCCAAAGATAAATCTAGAAGGCTAATGGAGGTATGTATGCCAAAAAACTCTTCTCTGAAACAGGCTTGTGAGGTAACTCCGTTGTTTACAGACGTACTACATAAACGCGACTAGATTTTACTACTAAAAATGGCTAGTATCTAGAAGGTCTGCTGGACAACCAAAGGAATTATAAACTAGAAGTAGCACGCTTACCTGCGAAAACTCCCGGTTTGAGCATATTATGGAATGGAGTCGCCTCATCATTCTCCTCTTCTGGTGGAATGGCAGCCGGAATAGCGGGTCTTCTTGTTGTTTTCGTTGTTGTTGTTGACGGCAAAGATGGCTGCACCGGAGGTTGTGGAGGTGGTGGAGGTGGTTGAGGCTCCAATATTGGTGGAGCAGTTGTCAACTGGACGTGGAATACCTGAATACGAGTCAAAGGTCAGTCAAATTTTATGGGTGTACTTCTTGTCGAACTTCTGGTTGAGTTGTTTGCAACGTGTGCACTTCACCAACAACGTGATCCGTGTCGACCTGCAAATTTTTGTTAAATTTGACCAAGAAACAATTTGATTTGCTGTAGAACCTGAATAGAAGTAACGGTTGTTGTAGATGTAGTGGTAATTGCTGGAAGAGGCTGCCAAGCTGGAGCTGGTGGAGCCCCAGAGCCCTCCACTACATTTCCTGAAAGTAAATTTATAAATTTTAAAACCACTCAGTTTTAAGAGCACTTTTACTTTAGAGGTGTATGTTCTCAAGCCTACTGTACTAACCAGATCCTTGAACGACATCATCCTCGTCATCAGATGGATATCCACTCCCTTGATGCACAGTTAAAATTGATTCTTGGTCGGGTCCTTCAGGAAATCTTTTTGAATCTCCCGATCCCTCGATCACTCCTTCTGATGTCTTCGTCACTTGGACTTGAGGGACAATTGAGCGCTTTTCGTTAGCACTCTGAAATTTTTGGTTTACTAATGCCTTGAATCTCGAATCTACTGTTTCTAGATCTTTTTTTCCTTTTAACTCGATTGATTTTCAATTTTCATATAACGGAGAATACTATTTGCTTTCAAATAATAATTCTAGCGTGTCTGAGAAAAGAGTCGTAAATTGATGGGACAAATATTGGGCGAAAGATCGACATTGGCGGCTTCTTTGAGCTTTTCGATTTCCGGCTCATTGAATTTGGCAAGAAGGTTTAAAATTTGCCGCGAAAAATGGAAAATAATTCGATGATTTTGAGCTTTTACTACCTATAAACAAATTGAGCTAACGAAACTTCTAGAACTTTCTTTAGCTTTGACCTCATTTATCGAATCTCGTTATTTGTCACCCGTAACCCTTTAAAAAATCGTACAAATTAGCGAACAGCCGCTTGAATTCCATTCCTGATATCAAAGAAGAAAAAGTATGAAAAGGAAAACGAGAGAACGTATCTTGAAGGGGAATCCGAAAAAGAAAAAGATCGGAATGGTTGAACGGGGCTATTGGTCACCTCCGATACTCTCAAATGATCACCTCGTTGATTGATTCGTTTCTTGAGAAACATGTGTTCACCCCAGAATGGTCTTGTAAAGGGTCATTTATTTGAGAATTGTGTACAACTTGAAAAAAAACGAGCTTAAACAAAATCCTCATAAAAAGTATCATTATCCTTTTTTTTAGAGGAATCATCGTTTTGTTTTGAATGTTCGTTAATCACTCACCGTGAATTGCAAGAGTCCCACCAACAATATCAATGATATTCGTAATAACCGCATTTTGCTGTCTGGTTCTATCAATGTGAGTTGTCTCTCAATCGGGCGGCGAATTGATCGACCTACCCTGGAACCATTCCTCGTCACCTGAAAGTGAATGCACTGTATAAGAATCCTACGAAAATTGGAAATGAAAATTGAAATCAATAGCAAAAATCAGTCTAAAAGTTGAAAATTTTTGCGACAGGTCAAGAAAAGGATTTTTGTCTAATGTGGAGAAAAACCGGTTGATTGAAGAAAACCAATTATCGGAAAAAAGAAAAGAATGAACGAAAGAAAGGTCATCGCAGAGGAAAGCCACCGGCGGGCCATAAAACGATAAAAAAAATGGGGATAATCTTTGGATGAAATGGATTGATTGGAGGAGGATTTAGGTGATGAATATTGCCAGGTAGAAAAGCTTTCAAAGATTAAAGTTGAGTGTTTTTCAGGACAAAGCACTTTGGTCAGGAAAACAACAGTTTCAAGAGAGGAATGATAAAAAATTGGGCTAATAAATATCGGTAAACGTCACTTGGGTCGAAAAGATCGAAAAATTTGTATGAAAACGATGGCTTTCTTCCGGAAAAAAGATAAAAGAATGCCGCCAGAGGACTAAAAGATTAGGCTTTCGTTTTCAATATTTTCTTTTGGTCGTTGCAAAAACCAGAAATCGTTTTCTTAAAACCTACAATTCAAAAAAGATATTATCCAAAAGATCCGTACGTATTTGTAATAATTTGTAAGTTTAAACTGGATACTCGAAGCACTGCAGACAAATTAGCTCGTGAATTTTTAAAATAAAGCAATTCTTGTTGGTGGAGAGTAAAGTGCAAATAGATGTGCAAATTGTTTACACTCAATCGTAAAAAAAAGATTCACACAGAGGCACAAGGAGGTGGTGATTTAGAAAAGAAAAGTGCTTGCGGTAGTTCGAAAATCCATTAAAAGACATTAGCATTAAGAAGTTGAGAATCTAATATTAAAAACAGGGGAAAAATTTTGCTTGTGGCTGATAGCGCCCTTTTGGGCTGACCTTATGATCTCCAATAACAGCACTTGACTGATTGTAAACACCCAATGGCAAGAATGCCACTAGCGATAATTGATAACCCTTTTTAAAACTTTTGGATTAAAGTTTTTAATTTTCTTGAGAAATGTTAAAACAAAACCAACTGAAAAAAGTACACGTTTCATGATTCAATATTAAAGTAAATTGGGATGTTTTGGATCATCACAATTTGATTGCGCAATCAAAATTTATCAATGAAATTCAAAAGATTTAAAGCTTGTTGATGAAATTGGAGAAAACAAGAAAACACAAGTCGATTAGGCGGCATCACCGACAAAGAGGGAAGCGCGGAGATGAAGAGCAAATAGGCCATTCCAAATATCGCCCGCCTACAGGGAAAGAAAGGGGATGGGTGAGGGATGGGCAAGTTGGGCCACACAACACCCCATCAACCACCCCTTCCCTTTTGCTTTCCTTTTCTTGCCTACAAGAGAATGTTCTTCTTTCTTCGTAAGGGACGGCCACCCTTTGGCGTAGCCTGTTCTCTTTCTTTTCTCTTCATTTGTGTGTGTCAGTTAGGGAGACTCGTGTGTGTAACACCCGGCACCCCAACCTTTCCCCTGGAAAAGAAAAAAAGAGAGTTTTGTGTCCAAATTGAACACATCACAACTGATTACGGTCTCCATTCAATTCAATTCAAATCAAGTCTCCAAATTTAAAGTAGAATGTTTTTATGTTGACTTTTTTGTACGTACGCCCTCTTCGAGTTAGGCGATAATAAAGAATAAGAGTACGTTTTTACGCGAAATAGACAAAGCAAGTATGACTTGACTTTTTGGTATTATGTTGGTATGTGAAAATCTAAGCTGCCTCAAGATTTCAAAATAGTTTCTGTGTTTATAAGTGTTTAATTAGAACGAATGACTCACTTTGTTTCCATAGAAATTGGAAGGAAAGCGCCGCTGAAAAATTATGAAATCAGATGCATAAAAACAAAACCAAAATAAATTTAGGGTAAAATATTTCTAAACAAATAAGCAATAATTGTTGAGGGAATCGATTTCGCAAAATCCTCATCCATTTCCCCTTTCCATCGGAGAGAATGGCTCATGGTGCACGGGTGAAAAAAGAGCTCGCGGGGACAAAAAAAGAGCCACCCTCATTTGAATATTGTTTGCATTTTTATGGGTGCAAAACCCACAATTGCTGTCAAGAACATTTAGTGGGTTAGAACGAATTCAGGAAATATTAATCGGATTAAAAAGATTGGCGGGAATTGAGAGTTTTTAGATAAGAAAACAGTAGCTTGAGGAAAGCTTTGGGAAATAGCAAAAAGGCGCGAGAATTTAATCCTACAATGCTAAAACAATCAATAGTCTTGTTTTGATATTACCTGCTTCGAGGCATGACTCTAGCTACCGTTGATGCATTATATCATTGTAATACTATCATTGTAATACTATCATTGTAATACTATCATTGTAATACCATTATTTCATTGTTCTATTTTTTAAACAACAGACTTAAGTTCATTTTATAGCTAAAAAAAGGTAAAAGACGGATGGGGATGGTGTGGAAAACAAATGAGGTCTCTGCACATCAAAAAAAAGTCTCTCAAAATGGACAAGAGGGCAAAAAATGAGGCCCGAAAATGAGAAAGCTGTGAAAAAAATAAGAGAAATGGGCCATCTGCACGAATCTTTCACTCGTCACCTCATAGAAGATCGTTTTAATTAGCGACGGGCGATGGCTGAGCATTTAAAAAAGGCATGAGACTTGTGAATGGACAGAAAAATTCCAAGGGGAAACTCGGAAGGTGATTGTCAAATGTTTTGGTGAGGTCTACTACAAACTTTTACAAATGGAACCTGCTCTTATTAGTGCGGAAAAAAAAAATCAATGCTCACATACAAAAAGTTGTGGCGGCGTTTTTTTCTAGGGTAATGGGTTGGGGAAGATTGTGGGGAAGAAACATGGATCGTTTGTGGGTTGAAAGAAAAGAAGGGAAGACCCCGAAGGACAACCAGTGGACAACGAAAAGAGGAAAGGGAGGAGAAAGGAAAAACGATCACAAAACCCCGTTGGGACTAAACGAACAGATGGGAGATCAAGGCATAAAGAAGGGTAAGCAAAATAATGAAAATGGTACATGTTCTCAATTTGATAGTTTATTAATCCATTCAAAAGGCTTGTAACTTTACTGAGCCGTGCTTCTGAAGCTTTGGCTTAGGCTTAGGCTTAGGCTATGGCTTAGGCTTAGGGCTTAGGCTTAGGCTTAGGCTTAGGCTTAGGCTTAGGATGAATAGTTGGAAGGGAAGTGTTATGAAAATTCGATCCAAAAATCAACAATTACTTAACTTTCTACTTATTCCGAGCTTCAAACTAAAACAAAACGATTTGAAACTAGAAAAAAGCTGACAGCCGATGCATCAACATTGTAGAATAGTACAACGAGTGGTTGGAAGAGGATGAATAGTTGGAAGGGAAGGGTTAAAGGGGGAAGAGGCAGCATCCGTCAAAGCGCGTCTCGATATGAGATCGGCGGGGATGCAAGGGAGAGGGAGATGGGGGGAAGGGAGGTGAAGGGGATCGCGCGCTCATTCCTCTTTGATATTCCACTAACTGTCTCTTTCCTCCCATCCTATCCATGCTGTTCTATCTATTCATCTTCTTCTTATACTTTCTATATCTGAATCCTCTTCTTCCTCTCTTCATATATCCCCTCGGGGAAATATCAAAGCCTCGATATGAACCCTCTTCTTGCCGTTCTATGTCTTTTGAACTCTATCGAGGTTTATCATCATCAAATATCTAGAGTTTCTTTTATCTTTTGTTCGAAAACAAGAACATATAGCATAGAATGATGTGACTTGTTGAATGATGATTGAGTAGCTCGGAGAAGATTCATTGTCAGAATGTCATATATGAGATCTTGAGTAAATTGTTTCTTAGGGATTTATAAATTCTTTATTTGGGTCAGAGACTTTCTAAACTATTTCTTTGTTATCCTCAAGTATCCACTAAAATTTTCGGATTGAAATGAGTGACCGAATAGTGATTTCAAAACTGGAGCTCATCAAAAAGGGAAATCCAAACAGAGCAAATCAGGGACATCGAGAAGGATTCAGGACTGGATTTGAGAGAAATTTCCAAGACCTGAAAGGGAGAAGGGCTAATTTATGTGGCGTATCTAGGGTCGATTTGATGAAAGAAAGATTAGAAAAGACTGAATGTGAAAGGGAGCGCATAACATAAGAAGGAAATGAAAGAAGAGATTCACGATTGGATTGGAACCAAAACTAACCTTTTCAAACTTTACGCTCTTCCCAACATACGCAGTGCCATAAAATTCCAATAAACACTAGTAGCAACTGTACAATGTAAGCTTGGTTTCCTATTGCCTCTAGTCGGCACTAATAGGCTATTGAGTAGCCCCTAAAAGGAAGGCAAAGCAAGCAAAGGAATGGGGAACGGCAACTCCTCAGCCCTTCTCATCCCTTTTTCCCTTCTTTTGCTCAATCCACTCTCCCAATCTTCTCGGAACTCTTTCTAACCTAACAAAGACGAAATTTGGTTTCTGCTTGTCCCTTTCCTTTGCCTCTTTCCTTCCAAAATCCGAATTCAGACTCAAGCTTGAGAGTGGTCCCATTTTGAATGACCCCATCCACTTCTAGCGATTGCGATTGGGAAAATGAACGCACTAAATAGAAAGATCCCGAGAGATTTGCCAGTTTTTCAAGATTGAGGGAAGCGTCTGGTAAAACGTGGCTTTCAAATTTATGAACAAGCATTATAAATTAAAAACTGCAAGAAAAGGAGATTGGTCAAAGAAATCTCGTTTGAGTCAAGAAGACTCGTGGAGTTCCCAGGGCAAAAAAAGAGATGTAATGTGTTGTGGACTCTTTTCGAGAAATTCCTTTTCCCCCACCACACCCCTTTTTTGACATTCTCAATAATCCTTTCAATCTTCTTATAAAGTGTCCTTGGATAAACGTTGCTAATGGATAAATAC